CAATTGTTGTGTATCATTGCTTTGAATTATATTTAATTGTGGTCGGCACGCGGAAGAATTTTGTCGTTAAACTTAACCGATTTTAGCACGCGAGCCGGAAAAGGTTGCCCACCCCTGGACTAGGCTAAAATAAGCTATCAGTAAATTTGAGCAACACGTGGTTGTAACATCCGGATCTATTTTACAAAACCCCTGGCACTAATGCAAAAATGCAAGATTTAGGAAAACCCACCCTCGCTACTTTTCAAAATAAAAATATTTTTAAATATCCAGTTAGGGTTAGGGCGTGGAACGATATGAATTTCTAACGAAATCTGCATTACTAACCCTAACTGGATAATTACTAATTATTTTGAGAGTTGGCGGGAATTATTTATATGGCGGGAACTTCGTACAAAAGGTACAAACATTTTAAATGAATACTAAAACATGTACACGGCATTACAAACGTCAACTCTCAAAACCAGCTGAAAAACTTGTTGCGATACTAAGGCACAAAGAGAAGTTTTATGGGATCAAGGGTCGGGAATCGTTTAAAGAACTTTAGTGTCTCCATGTAAAGATATAAAGGCGAAGTGTTAATATTTTCTGACCTTGTAACAGGTGTTTATTTACATCAGAGCTTTATTTTCTTCAGTGTTTTTTTGTGTGTGAACCTGATGTTATACTATATTTTAAGCTTACATAATTAGTAAGATATTTCATTTAGCTTTTCTGATTTTTTTTTATTGGTCGAAAAGCAATCTTGACTGAGTAAATACATGTATAAGGTACTCTGTATTGGTAACGGATCCGTACCGGTACCTGTACAAGAGTAACCGGTAAGGTCATCGTTGCCGTTTACTGATAATGTTGAAAGCCAGCGTAAAAGACAGTAGATTCCGAACTCTAAAATTTCAAATTACATATTTGAACCTTGAGTGTCGCTGCTCGATAACCAGCTTTGGTTGCCCGCGACTTCCCTTCCCCAGCCCAGTAAATTTGTTTAATTTTTCATTGTCTCGTAGTTTGTGTTCAATTTTTTTTTGGTTGGAGAAAATTAACTTGACTTGACTTCTTGATTGCTAGAACTCCTTATTGATTTCCATTGAAAAATTCATTAAACTGGAAGCGATAGCTTGGTATTCAGCGTAGGCTGGCGTTGCATGTTGAAGATCCCGGATAAAAAGCATATCTCATTCATATCATGATAAATTCTGTGAGCATAAATAACGCAATGATACATAAATTTTTACGCATTTGTCAACAATATTTTACTTTATTTTTGAAAGATTTACTGAAAGCTGACTATTCTTGGTTTTCTATCAATAATCCTTTCATTAAATGAACCAACCCATATATGAAAATGCGCGCGTGTACACCTTCCACAGCAAAGTAAGTCTGTAGAGAGATTATTTAAGATATTGTTATATATCAGTGGCTGCTTTTATCTAGCCTTGTTTGGAACAAAAGACCAGGTTAGCGTCGTATAAAATTAGGCTGGCTACACTCTTAATATAGGGTTATTATCATATAATCAGAGGTGTTGATTTATTTGGTAGCCATTCATATACACGTATTCCGAAATACACTTTCATCAACGATTTTCCTTGATGTGAATTTTCTCTCGCTTGTTAGATATTTTTATGCACTCAAATTTGTTAATGACCCAATTCTTGTACAATGGACAGTATTGAACATTGCCAACCGCAGAACAGGGACCACAATGCTAGGCGCAAAACTGATTGGACTTTTCTCTTCGAAGAAAACTCCCCGTTTTCTCCAGTTGATGAGGTTATTTCACAGGGTGTTTTCACCTTGTCGCGCATGAAATGTGTGAACATAATGAGGGTAAGCATTTATCAATCGCAATAACCTTACAAATACCGCTGAAATGATAAACAGTGGTCCATGAGTGCTAAACGCCGTCGAGAGGGGACCACGTGATATAGAAAGTTGGGAACCACTGGTCTGAAGTTACATTATATTCTCACATCACAAAATTTTCTGCGACACATGTGAGTTCGTTTATGCCATAAATGTTAAACCGTTTCCATCACGTAATCTGTTTGAGCTGAAATATATTGGGTTTTAAGAAGGAATTTGCAAACGAAATCTCTAAGTGGCTGAATGGTAATGCTATTGAGCAATATTGCTAGTTAGAAAATAACGAGGTTTTATTCTAAATAAATAATTAGTAATCCACAACACATGTGAGAAACAATCATCAATAATAGATTGAAAAGATCTTCGAATATTTAGGGACAAAATCCCCATATTTAAGGTGTCTATTCTGCGATATGGCGCTAACAAATTACGCATTATTAATTAGCGCAGTAGTTCCCAACCTTTTTTTGGTCTTTTTTTGGTAATGTGCTCCATAAATATTCGCGGCAAACCGATCACAAAACATGAAAAATTCCTACTCATAATGCCATTTTGCTAAAAAATAATGAAAAATTAAGAAGCTCAAATGAGAGGAATTTTACCCGTGTAAATACAACATACCCTGTATTTAGTAAAAGGTATATGGGTACATACATACATTGGTAATACGTGACGCTAATACTCATTGTTCGCTCGCCCTTCCCCGATCACGTTACGCCCTTGTTATTATCACAAGTATTCTCACTTTTACACAACTTAATTTTTTTTAGTTATAATTTAATATGTTTCTCCCATTGCCAAATCATTCAATATTGTTATTGTCGGCGAGAGCAATGAAAGAGGCAAATAAACTGTATTTCAAAATGTTGACCTTCCTAAGAATTTACTTTTCTATCGTGCCTGTTTTATTTTTGTATTTAATAGTTATTGAAAACACTGCAAAGTCATTGCGTGAATCGTGAATGTTATTTTGAATTCTACTAGTCTACTAGCCTATGACTGGGGGACACATGCGCAATTTTGCAACTTGACTCTATTCATCATTCCTGGTAACCAAACATTTGAAAAACGTAGGCAATTTACTGTATCTACGATGTCTAATCCCCAAAATAGTTTTTCTGTTTCAATAACACTATTTTTTATGTTTGAAATATATATTTCATCAATATAGCGCGCTCTGCACACCCATCGAAAATAAGACTTTACATATAAATATAAAGAATTCTTTAAATAATGCATCCTTAAAAAAAAAATGCGAATGGGTCTCAGGTAGCGGATATCACAAGTGCCGACTTGCCTATGCTGTAGTGTAAATTCAAATTTATAAGCGCTAAGCTAGAATCTCGAATCTACTTCGCTGACGTTGTTTTGCCTTCGTGACATCACTATAATCTTGTGATAAACAATGATAATTCATTATTACGGAACAATTGCAAGAATTTGCATGTGACATAAATCTTCATTTTTATTGGTTTTGGAATTCTTGGGATAAAATCTGATTTAACAGACAGGTGCGCAGCATTGTATAAATAACTATGACATAAAAAAAACACTCAAAACCGCCAAAAATGACTTGCGCAATTCGGTTATTAGCATGACGATATGTATGTAATTAAAAAAAAAGGTTATATAGTGACATATTTGTAAAACTTCTTAACATTTTAAATAGTCTAAAAAAATTAACGAAACCATCGGTTCTTCCAAAGCTGTGACTCCCATGAAATATTACTGTGTTACGACTTGGGAATGCCGTAAACGTGGGGAAAATAAACGCTTTTGGTCGATGATGAGACAACGCCGCTGCATCGTATCGCCTCGTGTTATCTAATTTATTATTATTTTTTTAAATACAATCAAGCGTTTTTTTCTCAAATTGCTTCTAATGGATATTGATTCGGATAACTTTGATATTCTGAAACTTACATCCCTAGTTATCAGTCCTTCCACAAGATTGAAATTCTAATAGTAAATTTTGCAGGGTGAAATGGGAAAGCAGGCAAACGACAAGCTTTTTCAATGGAAGACTTTTGCACATTCTTTATACGATAGTTCCAGTATTCCTCATTCAAAAATTTATGATAACGCAAGCATACATCTGGGCACCTCGAGGTGCAAACTCTCCATTTCTATGTAATGTAGTAGATAATGTGGGAAAGAGTTATGACTTGATTATAAGATATCTTGTTTATTGCTTCTTATGGGTGAGACAAAAAGTAGTTTATAATCAAAGACTGACTACAGAAAAATTTATCAATTTTCTCAAGTTGGGGAATATTTGCGATGCTTTCTTCACATTTAATTCTCCATAAATTTTTTTATTATATTTGACCACCGAGAGCCGATATCATAGGATTGTGTGGTAATTAGACACAATATCAGACTTTTGTATCCTATCCTGTACATTCTTTTATTCATAGTCCATTCCGTCCTTCTTGGTCTGCTCGTCTTTCAAGTTGTGAAAAATACCATGGAATACAAATCAAGAAATCAAGGCTGGAAATGGATCTTTCTTTTGTGCAATACATGAGCTTCGAAGCGCGCATTTTCATTTATCTCGGTTTGGTGAAAGGATTATTCATAGCAATCCAGGAAAAGTCAGTTTTCAGGAAATCGTCAAAACATAAAGTTAAATGGTGATGAAAAAGACATAATAATATATGTTTCACTGCAAATGCCCCAAAATTGGGCAACAAGGGATTATGCGGATTATGATTCAACACCTTTTACGTAATTTGTCCAGTATCGAAACGCTCGCGTAAATAACGTGACTGGACAGTGGACAATGATGTACACTGGAATTTAATCATTGACACGCAAAACTCGGAGTGTTCGAACTGAACATTCGCAAATACGTAGTTTTGTTATTACTTCATAAGCATATTGTTTGAATTTCTTTAAAAAAAAGAAGAATTCAATCGTGCCAGAGGCATACACTTTGCAGGTATAGTTGGTCGGAACCACTGTACAAGTTTAATAGGAACAAGGATAACATGCAATTTTGGATGCACTCGAACGCCCATAATTCTAAATCTATGTAGTTCCACTAATAAATTTTTTTTATTTCAAATTTATAATTTAAAGTAAATTCAGAATAAATCACGCACATACTTGATTAAGCCAATTGATCAATAACACACCTTGGAGCGTCGTTTAATTTAAAGGTTCTATAAAACTGCTTACTTAAAATTATACTAGAGAATAAATTACAATTACAAGACTCACGGATATAGCTATTTCTTTTTATTAATCATTTTTTAATTTATTTTGTAATAAAGACTCCGTAATTCAATTCAATTTTAGCGCAAATATTCTGGACCTGGAATGAGTATAGAATTAAAATAGCAAACATTTTGTTCCTCTATCTCTCTCCCTCTCTCTTACACTCTGTTTCTCTGTCTCCAGAAATTGATATGAAAATATTTTTGAATGAATTTCAGAAGATTTGTTTATAATATAATATTATACATTTTTAAATGTCACGTCATATTCAGAACTTCCCAATCTGTCAAAGTTGTAATGAATCGTGCGATAATGATTCAAAAAGATGTGCATTTCTTATTCATATTCACAACAGAAAAAAACTTGAGCGGTGGAGTTGTAATTTTGCTTTTGTTACATTTATTAGCATTAGCAAGGAGTAAAATGTCATCCGAGTTAAATTTGTTGTATAAGTGAAAACAATTATCGTGAAAGTTCATAGGCCTTTAAAATGAAAATGATCAATGAAAAACATGGGATTATACAAGATTATGAGTAATCAGTTACGCACTGAAATTCTCAAGGACGCGATTCAATGTTTAGGTATCTGGTATTATATCTGTTGTTATTACAGTTGTGAAGTCAATTAAGTTTTCCTCTGTTATTGTCCGATAATCTTGACAACATCATTCCTCATAACCACAGATGGGCTCGTGTTAGTTGATGAAATGTATAACTGGTGAATTTTATTCTTCAGCAACTGTTTCTCCGTTGGAGGGAGCCAAAGGTATGGCAGTTTCATTCATTGGTTCTGGAGAGTCACGATCGCTTTCATCAGTCTAGAAAAATACAAAATATTTGCATAATTGCATACTAGTAAGCATGTGTTGTTCGTTCGTCACAAAAGCAACTCGATCTGTATTCCGATCCCGATAAAAATATTCGGCTTACTGGCTAACTAATAAACATCTATATTCTATAGCGTGGAGATCTAAACATCTATAGCATGGAGAAAACTATCTTACGATCCAGTATTTGGAATCTTCAAACAGGTTGTTTTCGTCTGTTGAATCAATGAAAGGTGCCCTTAATACTAGACCAGTAAGAACACCTCCGACGATGGAAGTTCCTAAAGTCACTGCCAATCCGGCCATCTGCATGTTTGCTTGGTGCTGGAAATTTCCGTCCTTGACATTGGGATAGACGATTGCAAGCCTGCAAAAATAATAGTTTCAATGTTTTGAGTCAGTTGCAATAAAATCATTTCTTTAGGGAAAATATGTTAGACATTGATATATTAAAACAAAGTTGACCTTCGAGCGATTAACTGATAACATATCGCTCTCCGTTAAACTATCCTATCATTTCAGAATAACAAATTGTTGTATAAGACAATATAGTACTTACTCTTCGGGCGAGAAGGTCGTTGGGGACATAAATCTCGCCATAACAACGGCAATGAACGCAGACATTACTCCTGGCATTCCATGAAGATTATGAACACCGCATGTGTCATGAATATGGAACGCTCTGGCAAACGTGGGCTGTAAAGTATGAAAGTAAAAACATTAGAATTGCATAATTCAGTGAAAAGATATTTTTCAAGTGTTATTCCACACTTTTTTTTTCAAGATTATGCAATTTAATAAAAAGACGCCAACAGCACAGAGTTATTACGGTTGAAAATACTGAGTCAGTATTGCCACGCTCTGTCAACTTTACTGGGTCACGAGATAACGTTTTTTCTAGCCAGACACGTTCGTTGTCAAAACTACGTATTTTGAATTTGAGTTCACACAAAAACAACAGGACTTGTTTATTGAGCATAGAAACCATCAAAACGTAAGATGACACCACGAGTTCTAATGATGAAAAAACAAGCTTGTGCTATAAAAATCCTTTCAATATACCATAAATTTTAATAAATTCATCAGAATGAGCAAAGATCGTGTATGCTGCGAGTATTAATATAATAATAAATCGTTGATGTGTTAAAATATCAAAAAAATCATCTTCTCATTTCCTTTGTTTGCAATCTTTGCAAAACAACATGCTCTTACTGTAGTTTACAAAATAAGGGTGCTGACGGATTTCTCATCCGCAGAACCACAGAGTATATACTAGAGATAAGTTAAAGTCTTAGGTTAGTTTAGGTATTAGGCTAAGAATTTGGGTTCATAAATCAGTTTTACATAAACCTCTAGGTTCGTTTGCAATTATGTGGATTAAAGATGAAAAAGCAATGGCTGCAAATACATTGCCGTTGCTTAGCTTTTGGTAAGCAGTTTTTGGAATGCGATTATGTGTTGCGGCAATACAATTAAAAAAGTTCTTCCGTCAGGAAAGTTTAATCTTGTTTAGTGTCTCATAAACCAACTCACAGGTATACTATTATGTTGTAAATCAATTTAGTAAATCCAAGCGATCTAGTTATTTTATTAACTTGTATATTGGGAACTCAACGCATGCGTAACCTTTCTTCTGAAGAGTTATTTTTAAAGTGAGATTTTAATATTTTGTTGTTGACGTGACCAGAAATTGGTACAAATATTTCAAGGTAGAATTCAGTAATTTTCCCTGTTTTGCAATAGCTTGCCTTACCGTGACGTATTTGTATCCAGCGACGGAGATTATACCAGCGCATGTACCAATCAGCAATGCGCCCATCGGTCCTGTGGCCAAGTTTGCAACCGCTCCGGCCGCAACACCTCCTGCCAAACTTGAATTTTGCACATGAACCTAACAATTAAAAATTAAATCGATTCAATATTGTAGATTAAAATTAAAACAATTAAACTGCACTTTTGTATGCCATTCCAACGTCAGGTAAACCTTTTTTAAAACACATTACCCATTGTTTATAAACTAACCAATGTCCGTGAAGTAGTGCGTCGCAGACTATACATAAAAATCCATTGGTTGTATATGCAACTCCTTGTTTGATGTATGACACACTTGGTCGGCTACATATTATATCTGATATACCATGACCATATATGAAAGTATATAAACGTCAAATCCCCCTACAAGCTGTATAGTTGTGAAATCGAGTTTATGGCATTCTGTCTAACTGGATCATTTATTGAAGCATTGATGTATTTCAAAAACCCATGACATGTTCGATTTAATTTTAGTTGGTTATACGGATAAGATTTCAGCCTCAAACATGTTTTCTCTTACAGTTTGCAGTCTTGTAATAAGAGATAACGGTTGAATTTATACATTCACCTTGTTCAAGTCAATATGGAGTTAAGTTAAAAATTTAATTTGACCAATTTATAAGCCAGCAATCTGCTCTATTAAAATATTTAAAGCAGTAAATCTGACAAATTATTTTAATTGGCCCGAGTTCGCTATATGGACTCACCCACCTGACCACTTAATTTTTGTTACAACTTACCATAGACAGTTTTCCCTTTTTATCTATAATTGAAGATATGGCGAAAGAAGCGATCGTTGAAGCAACGATGGAATACAGAGTGTTCGTAACACATCGTTGGGCTACCACAGAATGGGATGCCGCCAGAGCACCGTTGAAACTCGGCCAAAAAAGCCAGAGAAACAGTGTTCCTATAGTGATGAAATAAGGAAAATAATGTTACATCGATTTAATAAATTCAGTTGCAAGTTGAAATATTGTCTCACCTATCATTGCAAACATATCTGAATGATATACTGACTCTTCTTTTTGATTGTCCACTAATCGTTTCTTCCAATGCATGACAGAGACTGCGAGGCCAAAGTAGGCACCAAATGAGTGAATGATTAAAGACCCACCAATGTCATTAATCTTGAATCAAAAAAGTAACTGGAGTTGGCTTTTGTTGTGAGTACCTAACATTTATCATTCGGATAAATCGATTAAATCATTCGTTATGTATTCAAAACACAATTGTGAGGACATTCATCATTTAAGAATGTGCTAGGGATGAACCCTAGGTTAACCCGAAAAATTATTTCTTTGAAAGCCTGATGTTGGACCAGAATTTGAAATAATTTTGTCATTTACGACAAAGCATTTTTTTTTATTGATCACACGTAATTATAACATCAATCATAAAAGTAGAACTCTGAATTGAATAAATTTCAACTGCAAGTCTGTAAGTTGAGTGACATGTCTGGTAAAATCATACGCGTTATATATAAACGTGTACTATAAATCGTGATCATTCAAGTCTATACCGTAATGATGACTTATTGTTTTAAATGATCTTTTTCGAATTGTTCATTTTTCATTGATACGGTTATACATAGCAAGTCGAAAAGATTCTTTCGTTTGCATAAGATAGTTTCCCCATTTTTTTATTTTTATTTTCAATCCCAAAAAGGGAGCCCGTAACTGTGTAAAAGTAGCATGACTATCTAGCTAGAGCGTAGTGTTAAAGAACCTAATGTACGTGTTTATTTAAACACAATATCCATCTAATCCTACAACACCAATAATTTCAACTCACATGCAGATGTTCAACGATGATATATTCATTCGCGGCATAGACGGCTACTTCAAGCAGAGCCATAACCAATAATTGGATCGGACTCAAAACACCGAGAACAGCTCCAAATGAAATCAAAACCGCACCGGCAGCAAAATCTGCGTTCATTATCCTGAAGTTTGAAATTGTAGTTTCAACACTAGGCTAACTATAGCATCAAAATTTCAGGTTCGCTCAATGCCGTTATTCTATTGCAACAAACTTAGTTTTTAAAAAGCGAGCAGTGGCGCGATCATGACTCGAATTTGAATAAAATGAAATGCTAAATACTAAGTCTCGCCCTCAGCCCTCTTAAAAATACACGTTTTCCACGACCCACTTATCCGCTACATCCAGAATACGAGTTTATAAGGACTTTTTATCCCACTCTCGGGTCTAAATTTGAAAAAATTTGAATGGTTCCCGCTCCCAACAAGAATAACAAAAATTTACCAAGGAAAAATATTTGTTCAATGCGATTATTTTTTAGCTTTTGACCTTTGACTCTGGAAAGTTTCCAATTTCTACTAGGGTCGTTATGCGAAATATGAAGAAAGACACTTCCCAGGGGTTTCAATTAGAAGCAGAGCTGAAAGTGAATACTAAGTAAAACAATGTAGGGATAATAAATCTATATATCTCTCGAAAAATTTATTACGTTTCCACGGATAGGTGAATTTTGCTTTCTGCGGTAAGTGATCCCCTCATCAATATTGCCCATTGAATGACAAAAGCTGCCAGCAAAAGATTGAACCCGACCGCTCCGTATCCATATCTTTTAAGAAATGTCATCAAAAATCCAAAACCGACGAAGATCATCACATGTACATCTTGGAACACTGAAATATAGAAATTATCGGATAAATGCCAAAATGTTGTATGGACTAAAATTAAATATCGAATTTTAATATTGCAAAACAATATTATTATTGTTAAATTATATCATGTCAGATGGGGACTGACCAAATAATAGAAGTTCAATGAATGAGAACGATTCCCTGTCGTATAATCAATATCTCTACACTATATAAGCATTGTCAGTTGTTGTACGTGAATCTTGTCCTGTTGGCCTAATTTACATATTTACGTTTCACGTCAACTCGTCAAAGACATCATTGACAGTGTTGTATTCGAAATTCAAGAAAAGCCTGTGAGAGCCATTGGAGTCTAACATAAACAAACTTCACAGGTAGCAAATCGTCTGGAAAAAATCTACGCGTGGCAAATATATATGTATACAATTTTGGGGGGAAGTGCTGGATATGCATGCAAAGCTGAATTAAAAATTAAATTAAGAAGCTGAACATGTTGTTTTCCAAAAACGTTACACTAACAAGATTCCATGACCGCTGTTATTGAATTGTTCGGGTTAAAGAATTGTTTTAAGCTGTTAAATATAAATCAATTGATTTTTTTAGCTTATGAAAACTGTTACAAAAAGAAAGTAATCGTACTTGGATATAAAATTTCAAATTGTCTGTTGTCTTCTGCAGAACTTTGGTTGGTTTTCGGTCCAGCTACTTCATCGTACTCAACGAAAAAACCGTACATGAAGATGAAAATAACTTGCAACAGTAGCAGAAAAATACTGAACTTCATATCCTTAATCATACTGACAAGCTTGTGTATAACCAACTATAAAATGCAACAAAATTCTCACTTTGAATCGTAGAACGTGACGGATATGATTGGAAACAAATATTTGCTCAACGGCGCAGCTGATAGCCCATTCAACAATTGATAAACCAACAAAAGATGCCGGGTCAGCAAAAAAATGTGCCAAATTAACTAGAAATGCAAAGATAGAGTGAAGCTGTTCGGCATTATTTATGGATAGCGATTGTCAAATGCGAGTAGTAAATAAGGTGCGGTTAATCTATTGCCTACAGTCTTTCAGCGTTATGATTTCTACATATTTCTATTTGAGTTCAAAGTGAGTCACTTTTTATCATTTAACTAACAGTATTCTATACAAACCCAATGCTTTTGTTACTTTTTATGGGCGGTATACGAACCCTTCAGTTGGGCCAATCAGATTAACCATCCGCTATAAAGTTGAAAGCGTGCTATCTCATGATTGCTATGTTGCTGAGCACTCAAACACGATGCGAATGATCCGAGCTTCGACTAAATAAAAGTTACTCATTTATGCATCCACTTTGACAGTAGTATTGGCCGCTATTTCTCGCTTCAAAACGCCTAAAGTTCGATATAATATTAATGCTTTTTATTTTAGTTTTTATTTAGTTTTAAGTTTAAACGATGCAATAACCAAGTAGCATATTGCAGAAAATGGGTCTCAAGCAAAGACAAAGAGAAGCTTACAATACGTGAGTAAATTAAAATAACTATATGGTATTTTATTTGATACTGTATAACATAGATGAGATTTAAAACATTTTTTGCTTTTGATTTATCATTTTCTGTTAACAAGAAACTTGAACCTCAACTTAAACCAATGTTTTCAACTGAGGTAAAGAGGCGAATCCGATAATTTTATAATTATTTGGGCATTGACGAGTAGTATAGTATAGATATCTTAATATTCGGGATCATGTGCCGAGTACTTAGCGCAATGGGCGCAATATGTTAAAAATAATATAGCATTTGGTGCTACCTATTATATTGCTGGTGCATTAACATATATGTAGAGCAATGGAGGCGATTTTTGAACAAATAAGTTGATAGATTGAATCCTATTACATCTTATGACATATATCGCTGATATATTTCAATTTCGGAAGCATGAGCTAATGGCATATAAACCGTCATAATACGCTATTTTTTCCCGGCAGCATTCATTGCATTACAAATGTATACAAATTTACAAGCTATGTAGACAAGTGGAGAGTATGAATAATAATTTGCAGACCAATTTGACAACTCTTTTCAAAGATTAGAATGTGAATCTTCCAATATGTTCCACAGAACGAGCTTCTAACAGATCTTTCCTGTTTTTCTAATCGTACTAGTTTATGGCAGATGCTTAGCTTGACATTTGTGGTTTATCTTCAACATCTTGAAGTTCTTTGAAAACAATGATAACCATGTGTAATAATATCTCATTTACCGCACGAAGTTGTACGTCTATTTGAAGATAATTGTACTCACATACAGCCAATCGTGAATCATATTCGATACGCGTTACTGCGTTTTTGCACGTGTGGCGAAGGATTAGATAAGATTAATAATGGGTAAACACTTATCGGGAGTCGTTCAAAATAAAATAGGAAATTTATCTACTTTTGATACTGTTGCAAGCATTGCAAAACGTTTCTGCACGACTTGGACTAAGTTTCTGCTAATCCAGCGCCTTTACCGCTGACCTACAATCATACCCTATACTAATTTAATATATGTTCACACTTGGCACTCTAGCTAGGGAATCCTTGAGTAGAAACACAGTACGATACGTTATGGATTATCACCACATACAGATGTCAGATGGCAGAGTTCCGCCACCGTTTACATCGTTATGATAAAGCGTACAAACTAATATGGGTACAGTATTCTCGAGTTGGTTACCAAGTGTTAGTATAACAACACCGCTTCTAGTGATTTAAAAACTGATTTCTTGCTTAATTTGTGTTAAACTCAATGCACACGATTTATATGAGTATCACACATTATCTTTATTGTGCAACTACAAGTGCATTTGAGCCGTGCTAGCATAACATACTTACTATCCCAGATACAAATATTCATGGCGTAACATCTCCTAATTTAGAAATAAATTACTCCATATATAACCATTAATTCAGTTAAAGGTAACATAATTCCGTGCCACTTTGGTATGCAATCTCAACGGTTGTGTGATCGAAGTGATTTTAGTATTAACCTAACCCTAACCCATCGATGACAGGGTTAGGAACTGAATTCTATGAGAATGGGTTTAATGGCGCCGAGATCGCCGATACGAAAGTGGCATCCATAATTCTTATGATCCTCCATTTTTACAGCTATTGCTTGTAATGTATAGCGGATATACAAACTCTCGAATCAATTTTTCAGTGGGCGTACTTTAATACACTGGGTTGAAAATCGAATTGCAAAATATATTAAATTAGAGCTTAAATTAGCAAATTTAATCTAATTATATATAGTTTTTTTATTCTATTTCTGTCATGTTTTATTCATCTGATGTCTGTCTCGAAATGTTGTGCAAACTTAACGATAATTCAGCTTAGTTGTACTGCCTTCTACCAACAATAACCTGCCAGTAAATATTAAAGAAGAATATCAGTGCAACACCAAAATTTCTGAGCTACGATTGTTATGAGGGCGTATCAACAGACACACTGAAAGTAAAACAAAGTTTAGCCCGAAGCGATAATCTCAGGCATTTTTAAAGAATTCCTCTCGGCCAATCGCGCGATAAAAATGTCCCGCATGAGTGGACATTATCTTACAAAATGCAACATATTATTAATGCTATACGGTTTCCTCTAAAATTAATCTCACAGTAAAAAATAAATTCTGTTTAACGGAATCGTTAAAAATATTAGTACAATTTAGTGTCATATATATATAAAAACAATTGTAATTTTCGCGTCTTTTGTCTCATTTTTTTTGTTAATCAGCACATCCTATGATAACAAATAGAACTAATTACGAATCAATAAGCAGGTATCTGGTTTTAAATTAAGTCGATTGCATTATAATAAGAAGTAACAGCTCAATATTTGACATCTCGAAATCTTTCGTTGATGTTTGATGACATCACAAAAGAAATTTAGTTAGTCGTTAAGATTTGTCAGTATATAACAGGCAATTTGCCAACGTTATTCATAATACTTACTGGACTTTATATGTGATATTTCTGTCAGGAAGGTAGATATGTATTTGAAGAGTAAAACTGAAAACGCTGAGTATAGAAAGCGCTATTGTCACATTAAATGTTATTGCTTTTTCCACCTACCTTCAGGTATCTTGGATGATTCTCTTCGTTATTTCAGCGTTCAGCGAGTTCAAAAAAAAATATATTTGTACTTTAGTTTTTTGTGGACCTAAATTGGAATTCGCTTAGCTGCTAGGTCTTTTCGCTATTTCTCTTCGATGTCGAAACCAATCGAGATAACTATTAGGTAATTGGATTCAAACTTTTTGTGTCCATGTAATTCATGTTATAAAACATCTCCTGCTGTTTAAACCGGTTGAAAATCACTGAGCAATACACTTTGTATCGTGTTTATTATGTGCGGTTAGGAATGCGGCACCGAAATACAACAAATTTGATAATTTGACGAGAACTCTGTTTAATATATTAGGATCTTATCTTACATGCCAAAGAGATCATTGCACCACACGTTGATTGTTGCTCGACAACTTGATGACAATGGGTGATGTTTATGATCTAAGTAAGGAAACGAACAAACAACATTTTTTAATTAAATCTTCAGGAAAACATGACACAGACTCTGACAGGACCCAGGGAATAGAGATATCAGCTGCCAACTTGTATGTATGTTGAGGCGATGGTGCGTCATCGAGGCATTTTCTGAAAGCATAAAATATTTAAATCACTGACTAGTAAATAAATTTTGATAATAAACAAACTTTAACAATTAAAATGTTCTCTGTGCTTCCGTCATTTACTCGTGTCGATGCGCTAGCAGTAGCGTTTTTAATATCAAAACAATCCACAAACCCCTTCAGCGAAGTCAGCCCGCGAGAGCGCTTCAAAATATATTCTACGGTACAACTTGTCTCAAGCAAATTCATGTCATGCGGTACTGTTAATTCATCCAAGCATATTTCAATTTGATGATGCCTATAGGTCTTTTAACGCCACCGCCAATGTTTAGAATAGAAGGCTTTCAACGCACCTTCTGAGGTTGTGTGTCTGAAATCTGCATACCGTATCGTTTTGATGATATAGCAATTTTATCCTTTGACAGCTATAGGGAAATAAGGCTTTTAACGCACCTCCTGAGGTTGAGTGTCTGAAATCTGCATACCGTATCGTTTTGATGATATAGTAATTTTATTCTTTGATATCAATGGGGGAAATAAGTAATGGATTCGATGGCACAAGTACTGCAATATATATATGTTTTTTTTTGTGAGTGGAAAAAATAGTGCAACACGAAATCGTTGGTTGATTTGGTTTGTTTTTAAAAGGCGTGGGTTAAGTATTATTTCGCTTCCCCCCTTCTTCCTTATATTGGTATCTAACTGTCATCCTTACATTTTCACCTGTAAACGTCAACCAGGAATGACGCACCTGCCAACTCCTCCCTGCACCCAAGTACATTGCACCTATTGGTTCATTTTCTCGCGGTGCGAATGTTCGTGAGTGCAAAGTTAATGACATCACAGTGCTTATCAGCTTCAGGAAAATCCGGAATGTCAATTTTTTCACATATACCACACGTACAGTGTTTGATCTGAGTATTATTCTTTGTTTATTATTGTGTCTGCTGCCGTCATCTTACCTTCAAGCGATTCGAGATTCTGCTCTTTTTCGATTTAGGGCAAATAATGAACAAATGAACGAATTATGACAATGAAAAATATAGGGAATAGGTTGAAAGAATATTTCAAATTTGTCTGCAATCAAAACTTTTGTATCAGTTTAACCACCCAGCATTGAATCAGTTTATTTTCTGAAAATAGCTCTACTATATATTGTTGTTTTGATCATTTTTTTTTAACTCCCTAGCTTTTTCAGGTCAGTTTTCGAAAGCGAAATATTTTCACGAAAGTTACAAACATATAAATATTTTAGGAATTTGAAAAATAAAAACAATTATTTTTATAGCCAGCAGAAAATATATCAACATAAGTAACTTGAAACTTTTGTCGTTTACTTATATATATAATGTCATATCATGAATATGTATGTATTGCTTTATAACTATTGTTTTAACTTCAATTTTGTTTCAAAATGGGTATACAAAACGTCATTTGCTATTATATACCGTACGGAGTGATTACAGGTTGATTTTATAAATATGTAGTTATAACATGAAATATTCCAATGAACAAATTGCAACATAGGCTCGTTTACAGGAGTTATTTAAATAACATGTGTCAATTCAGATATTTTCGTAGATCCTCTGATATCACCCCGAGTACATAAAAAAATTATACATTGCCTGCAAGCAGTGATATTAATCTGATAATGAGCTAACAAAATCTCACAAAACACTAGTGAACCATATAATCATCCGGACTGTCTATAAGTAACAAATGATCTATTTATTTACGTATTTGTATTAAATGACTTTATCGCGGCAGTCCTAAGGTTCAATTTTAGCGGTTTCCGGTGTCCGATCCACAAATGATTATGTTATTTTGCTTACAGCGTTATCGCCTGGTTAACTAAAAATTATACATGTTTCCGAACTGTTTTCTGTCGTTAAATTGGGTTTCCGCTTTGTATATCTGTGATTACACGACTATCTCGGCCAAAGAATATTTTGGTTCCATTACATTTGAACCCATGTACATTTGAACCCGTAACTTGAACCAACGACAATTGCACCTGCATTTTTTTACCGATATTTGAACGCATACTAACCCTAACCTATGGGTTTTAGCAGCCTCATATAGATTGAACCCGCGGATATACGGATGCAAATGTAGGGGTTCAAATGAGCGTGGGTTCAAAATTTACGGTCACCAATTAAGACATATCACGAAACGAAATGAGAATAGCGTTACATGTCTTTCTCAGTTTTCTATGCAGGCAAGTAGTACTGCCTGGTACTACCTGAGGTAGTACAAACAAATATTACATTTACTCGTCACGAAATTGATGCTATCACTTATTAAGAATTATATTTCGATTTGAATCGAAAAATATCTTGTCAATTTTTTAAAATTTAAATCCAAAATAAAGTGCTCGGTGGCACGCTAAGTCGATAATGTAAGTATATTTCAACGCTTTTAACTTTTCCTTCAAACTTTTGCTTTGAAACAAAGGCCCTCATCCTTCTTCTAATAAACTACGTATTTTTTTAAACTTATATATTTTTGTTTATCGTTGCCTAACGAATTGATTACACCCAAACCGACGCGGTGATGATGGCTTATTGGAAGCTCTTGATATTATTGAATTATGACGCTAACTCACGTCCAACACGAATACCAAAAGAATCCATCGTCAGTACAGTAGCATCAATTACGTCTTTCCCCAATAATGAGAGATCTTAATCTCAAGTTATCACGCGTCAGTCGGCAAAATTCGACAAGGAACTACCCCCTGATGTCAAAGGTATTTCGTCGACGTACAAAATCATGAACAGGATAACATCGTGCTAAACATAATTTTATATCATATATTATAATTTCTTTTTAAAAGAAATTAGAGAAAATGATGCGCCCAAACGCATTTTGATTTTAATTGAATGATATAAGTATTTCGGATTTGAATGAAATTGTATATATACGGTTAGTTACTGAATTAAAAAAATAATTCAATAATTCAAATCACTCTCCATGCATTGACGAAAATGAGGTTAATGGAATATTTTTTTCGTATAAGAAGAATGATAAAACTGTATATATTATCTGATATTATTTATATATATATAAACGAGTCAACTTAGGAAATATGATTAGCGCTTGTTTTTGCACGTGATCACTGAACAATATAATCGAAGTGTGAATTTTGCTCGTATAATTTAGATAAGTCGCTCTTAGAGTCGTGTGCGAACACATCGGGATATCATTAGGCTAGTCAGCTCTACAATACCCAGTATTTTAAATATATATTGTAAATACGTCTGACATTCAAGGACTTGTGAAAGGGGCAGCAAAGAAGACACACATCTCATTAAAATCACTTTGGTATTATGATATCTGTAGTCAACTTAGGGGAAATGATTAGCCCTTGTTTTTGCACGTGATCACTGAACAATGTCATCGAAGCATGAATTTTGCCCATAGACTTTTGATAAGTCGCACTTAGAGTCGTGTGCTAACACATCGGGATATTGTTAGGCTGGACAGCTCTTCGATACACATTATTTTGAATATATAATGTAAATACGTCTGGTATTATGCTTTGTTTTACTTAAATTTGGGACAAAATACTAATAAAACGCGCAATGTAGATTGACGTTACCTAGCCCGGTATGCAACTTCATTTTGAAATTGCATCGGGACCCATAGCAAAAATAATTGCCCAGCCCTGGGATAGTAGAATAGGATCAAATATATCTGTGTGTGATTTTCCAAACTTTATTCTATTTACTCTTTCTAGTCTACATCAACAAATGGACAGTATACTTTGTTTGCATAAAACTTTTAATTTATAAGTAGACTTTATGGCAGTGGCTTTCAATCAGAATTCCATGGAACCCACCAGTACAGTCCGGGGGTTCCGCAAATTTTTATTCAAATCCGATTGTTTATGTATATTGTCTATATAACCAAATACCTTTTTTCTAATTGAAATATTAAAATAATTCTTCCCTTTGGAATAAACACCAACATAATTCGTCACGCTAATATCCGAATTGCGTAAGTCATTTTTGGCGATTTTGAGTTTTTTTTTATAAAATAGGTATTTATGTAATGCTGTGCACCTGTCTGTTAACTCAGATTTTATTTCAAGAATTCCGAAACCCAGAAAAATGGAGATTTAGTTTGACATGCACATTTGTGCAATAGTTTCGTCATAATGAATTATCAGTGTTACCGCAGGAATATTGTGACGTCACAATGGCAAAATAACCTCGGCTAAGTATTTCGAGTTTTTGCATCTCGGATTCTAGCTTAGCACGTATTAATTTGAATTTTTGCTACAGTATAGGAAGGCGTGCACTTGTGATATTCACTGTCCGAGTCCAATTCACCTTGGTTGGCTTTTATATTGGGTGCATTGCTGTTTTATTCTTTATATTCAATCTTAGTCTTATTTCGGTGGGTGTGCAGAACGTGTTACATTGATGAAATATATATTTTTAAACATAAAAAATTGTAATGTAATTAGAACTGATTAGCTATTTTGGGGATTAGACATTGTAGATACTGAGAATTACATTCGTTTTCGGAATGTTTAGTTTTCAGGACTGGTGCATATAGTAAAGTTGCAAAATTGCGTATGTTCCCAAGTCATACACACATTTCTGCCTAAGTCACAGTGCGCCATTATGACGTCACTTAACTGCGTCATACAAATTAACTTAAATCCAGCTACGATGAAAAAATTGAACCATGGCAAATTATTGACTCTCAATGGCATAACAATATCATTAGGAAGTTTTTTACGTTTTTCTCAAAACTGCTAAAAATGACTTACGCAATTCGGTTATTAGCGTGACGATATATATATATATATAACTCATTTGATAAAAAATTGAAATTGAAATATATAGAGGTTAAGATAAATAACTGCTTGATTTTCCGTTTTTTTTCCAAGAGTTATGCGAAGACGGTATTTATCCATTCTGTATATCAACTTCCCATTGTTTTTTACACAATGTTGAAAATCACAAATCAATGTATTTTTCAACTGGTAATTGCAACGGGTAATGAGCATTGTTTTCAGCGAATATTTCACGAAACTTTTCGCAAATGTACTGACATCTCAGTGTTACTGGAAATGTTGTAGATTGCACATGAAAATGTCTCGCACGCCATAATTGCACGATGAAAGAAAGCAGTATTTTCAAAGTCCGTAACTCATTGAGTATCGCCTTCTTTGATATGGAGCGATGAAAACATTCTTAAAAATAGTTTCATTCAGAATAGTAACCCCTTATGACAATGCAAACTCGTACTCAAAATCAGAAATCAGAAGGACGAGATATTGCTGATTTTGCATAACCCTACATTGTATCACACCTCGACGGGGTTGTGTGAATCGACTAGAAGCACTGGAAAATATGTGAACTAAACTACTCGTTTGTTTTGTTTAATAACCTGAAAGGGCTGTATTGTCGAATCACGTATATAAGTATTCAATATGATAAATTTAATTAATAGAATATGGAAACGATACAGTAAAAATTTGAATTCAGCAGTATAATTTATAGCTGAAGTACTGGAACTAAAAAGACAATTTCGAATTTTCACCAGGCCTTGCGATAATTAGATTGCTTAAATAATTACCAATGGTTAGGGGGAGATTACAAAGCAATTGTCAACGTCCTTTATTTATTTGATAATTCGGCTAAATTTGGTGCGAGGTATTCAATTGTTATTGGACAAAGGAACTTTAATGCTTCCGAGGAAACAATTGTGCGATAAATGTCTGTATGGGCCATGAACCAACGCCTAAAGCGAGAAAAAATTTACTCGAGCGATACTCTCTTCTTTTTCTTTCGTGACTGCATGATTGGTTGATATTGAAGTGTGTGGCTGAAACTATATTAGTTTGGGTTGGCAACTTGCAAGATCACATTAAATTTTTGAATCTGATTAAAGTCAACTTTGGGAAAAAAACATGGCTGCGTGAGTATTTCTATTTTTGCTTTCTTATTAATTAAAATTTGTTGAGTTAGATGAAGAAATTCTTAAATTTTTTTTATAAAAACATTCAAAACTCCAGGTTTTGTGCCAAATTGTACAAAAAATTAATAAAAATGACATGTTTTGAGAAAAGTTTTAAAAAATTTTGTCAACCTTTCAAGAGTGTAAAATGATAATGACCAGTTATTTTCTAGTTATTTATCCAAACCTAAGTGATTAAAGAGTCTTGCTACAGCATTATATGTATGCATACAGACCGGTCGTCACAAAATCATAAAAAAGTTAGTCCCGTAGAAACCCAACCTATAGCAAATATCTGAATAAAGTCCAGTTTTAGATGCAATATTTTAGTATGGTTTACAGTCTGGTGCATCAAGAATTTAGAAGTTGCCACGATTGTAAATCTCAGGAATGCAAAATATTTCAGAATGTGTATATTTTCGTTTTTGCTTCTAGTGACGCTAAATATGCCAAACTAAAATGCTTGAATTAAGCAAAACTTCAAACGTGTAACTTCAAGGCTAAAGCGTGCATTATACATTAATTTGAAATATATGTGCTGTCCATTTCTCAGTGTCCATATGGTCTGCAATATTGATAAATTGTTATCTGATAAAATATTAGGTATCGTTTTGTATATATAAGCTCATGGCTTACGGACAAGTATTTTTGTTCTCATGTTTCAGATAAGATTTCGCAGATTGCAGAAATATTTTTTAAATTGTACTGAGTTGTGTTTATATTATGTTATTCGACACATTGTAAATACATAACAACATAACATTCCAGAAGTAACTTGCGTTTGGCAACGAATAGGTTTTCACTGAGTTTTCACAAAACAAGCCCAGTGATAACATTTATTATTTAGAAACAAAATTATTTCCTTGAACTATAAATGATCATCACAAATAAATATATCAGAATTTTGTGTATGCAAATTACAATGATTTAAATAACAATATTCTTGAAATACTGCTTCAAACCTTCGCCACTTATTATTAATTATAAATTCAATTTTTTTGCCATTTAAAAAGAAAATAAGAAATTCCTATTTATTTCTTATTTTCAATAAGAGCGTGTGAGCGCTTTGAGCAGTATCATCTTTTTTATTACTTTTACCAAAACCGTTTTACGGATCAGTAACTTCTATGGTGCCATCGCTTCTCGAAGCCCTTGCTAAAAAGGACTGTATAGATTAGTATGAAGCGCATGGCCAGTGTGGGTGTGACCGCTCTGCAGCGCCGCCATAGGAAGAAGTCTTTTTTAATAAAATAGTTCCAACAATGTAGTGGTTTGTATTGCTGTTTTTGATTTGCTATGTATGCATTGTGTTCGATAGAGGCTTTCTTCCGAGTATTGACCGCCATAAAATGGAAATTTGTGTTACAACCCTTTGTAACACATTCCTTGTTAATATTATTAAATACTTCTATGCACCCCGATCAGTTGAACGAACTATGATAAATATGAATAAGATAATTATGTTATTAATTGTTTGGATACGGTTCCTAATTTATTAGTTGTTGCTTTGACCTCGGGCCAGGAAAACGTCATCAAATCGATCGTTCGATTTTTTCGATTCACGTGATGTTACTTATTTTTATAAACAACACTGTCGCACATTGAAAACTCATTGAAAAACAATGTTTTCTGATGAGTTAATTACGAAATTATTATTGTTTACGACGGTATTTCCATTGACATTCGAGTTATCCAATCCAAAGAGTATCCAAGAGTGTGCCAAGCAATATAAGCAAGCAGGCACAACATCTTTTATCGAACTGTTTTTTATTTTCGCTTAAAGTTCATCACATACCACTGATATATTTGACTCATTTTATACGTATGCAATTAATTGAAACAATATACTATCAATGTTCATCTTCTTTCGACAAAATCATTTCGTTGACGTTATGTTTTTGCACGGGCACAGACAATTTTAACATTTCTACCATGCGATGCAAAAGAATATATTGTTATTTGCATAAATAAGCCAAAAAAAATTGATTCTGATGCAATCTCAAAAAATCTGATATTGCTAAAGTAACCATTATCAAAGATTACTGTCTCAAATGTTGCTGATAATTTATACGCAATCACTTGAATTAGACGTTTTTTGGATAAAATATTTGTACATAAATAGCAGAATGCTATAGTGAGATTTCTGTCTCATACAAACTCTGCAAAATGTTATTTTGTTGATATTTTCATTTGTAAAATATATACCGGGATAACACAATATCTCATTTTTAGGAACACTCGAGGGAAAGCCACTGCCGTCTTGATAATAGCACAGATTCTTTTCGTCGTATTGTTTGGGTTGTTCGTTGACTATGCTCCAACGGCTTCACAGCAAACAAACAACACTCATCATGATCCCGAACACGTTAAATTAGAGTCACTCTACCCAAGTAAGTGAACCAAATCGACTTAACTACAACGATTATTATTCTATAATCCTAAAATGATCATGAAGCAATGACCTTGTTTTGCTGACAACTTTACGTCTTTAGTTTTTTGCTTTCGTATTGGCGATTCTTGTAAATCATTTGGATTATTGTAATCCGCCTGATATGAAACGCACAAAAACCTGTTGTTCCAAACCAAATCTTTGACCTTAAGAGTCATAAATAAGCTCTCCAGAATAAATAATTTCTGGAAATGCAAGGGCTATCTGGTCAATCGTCCTTGAGTTTATTCTTCCTGGAATATTTTCAAAGCTAATCTTTGACCTTAAGAGTCAAAAATAAGCTCTCCACAGTAAATAATTTCTGGGAATGCAAGTGCTACCTAGTCAATCTTATATGAGTTAAAATTCTTCCTTGAATATTTGTTTCGTATAATGTAATTACTGTGAATTAAAATCGATCGTGCTCAGTCAAGTATGAACACTACTTACTCGCTGAATAAAAACCACGGTATCAAAATAACCTCTAACTATAATATAGGAATATTTGAGGTATACTATAAGGTTATAGAGACAATCATAGCTGTGCGTGGAATTCATACTTCAAAAAGTATTCACACAATCTTGGATTTCCATCAGATTTCTAAGTGTAATTCGCACGCAATCACCAAGCTTTCTCCATATATTTTTGTTTTTATAATTTATGTAAAAGAGAGAAATTTATAAAAATCACTTGAATACGAAATTAAGAAATTATAGTTTTGACTCAAATGACGATTTCGATAATTTTTCAATAAGCATTAACAGCTTCGAATTTTATATCGGTCATTTAATTTAGACACTAGATTAGTGTTTTTGAAATAATTTCTAATTAAATAAATTTTCTTCATAAAGTGTTTCAGGACATTCACGTTATGATATTGATCGGTTTTGGATTTCTGATGACGTTTCTTGCTCACCATGGATTCGGGTCAGTCGGGTTCAATTTTATGCTGACATGTTTTGTCATCGAATGGGCGACACTTATCAATGGGTATTTTAAAATGATTGGAACTGGAAATAACAGAATTTTGCTAGATATTACCAGGTATGTTAATTCACCGATGTTTTCTTACTTTGCTTTCAAAAAATACTATTTTAAAAACGGAAGCTTAAATGATCACATTATGTATTTTTAATAATATACTATATATATGTGTTATATCAAATAAGTCGTCGACCCGTTCAAAACTTTCTATCATTTTTTTACAATCAAAACATAATTGTTTTATTTAATATACGTTTGTATCTCGCTCCAAATATGTATGCTGACTGGAAGATTATCATTTGAAGGTATATCATAATGTTGTATCGTTTTTATAAAAAAATTCTCCATACGTTTAGAATAGCTCGAGTAGCCATTCATTGACGTAGCCTTGCCTGTAAAATTTTATCAGCAGCCCTTTGTTTGTGACCTGTATAGGGTTCATACTACATTCCCCATCGAAGATTGGAATTTAGCGTTGAGTGCCGGTATCTCTGTTGCAGATAATCCCTCACTGTTTTAACTAAAATATCTGTATGTTTAATTATTGTGTTCCGGTCAAGGCATCGCGTGCAAATCGAGTCGGGATTGCCTGAATAAAGCGAAAGGAGATACCTAAAGCCCCAATGTTGATGGAGTGGTGCATAAATTTTACCATTGTATATGCAATCTTAACCAACTGGAAAAATACAATAAATTTGCTGTTACGATTTAGTATTAATATCCGTGCAGTGAATATGATATTATCTTTATCATTCGCATAATCAATTGATATTGTTCTTTACCCATACTCATCAGCAAATTCATACTTGAAGGTTGAATTACTGAATTTGTAAACATTGAAGTTTATTAACATAATAATACAGAATACAGACTAAATTTTTCCTTGAAGGAATCTCAAGTTCAGTATTTGGCAAACCTTAGCGGTAAATTGTTCAATAGCACCTTGTGTAACAAAGAATTCGATAAAATATTTGAGTAGAAATTAAAAAATAATCGGAAACTGAAAAATAACCAAAAGCAGGCGGTATTTTTATAGCCAGGACTCTTGTCATATTGCAATACGTCAAATGACAATAAATGCAATATAATACTCCAAAATTGCAATTGTCTTCAAGGTTGAGTTTCAGGTAATCGAGAAATATATACTGAAAAATGTGCTTTTAACGTAATCCTATCAACATACCAGCATCCAACCATAAAAAAGGGTAACGTTGTTCCGATAAAAAAATTTCGTTCAAATTTATCTTTTTTATTGTAAAGAATCTATTCGACCATACTTTACTATAATTGGTGAACGTGGTTGACTAGCTTTTGGGGTGTTATTTCATATCCTCCAATAGAAATACAAATTATGTGCTCCATATACATGCGTATCGCTTCATCGCTCACGCTTCATAGTTCATAAATAGCCTCAAATGTGGTACCGTATATATTTTTTCTTGGATTGCACAACACTTCCGGGTTATTCGCCATCGTTTCGGTTTACAAAACCGCAAATATGATGGTAGAAGACGGCGCTTTTTTGGTAAACAACATCTTACAAAAAATGCGAACTAATAAAAGGCTGTACTTGGTATACCATGTTCGTCCCCGTCACAGTGTGTGTTAACTTTCAACTAAAATTATTTGACCTATAGGAAAGTAAGTAATTCAGTAAAATTTATTTATGAAATATAACAGATTGCAAACGAACCAATAATATATTTTGTGCATATTAGTTTCATGGAAGCCGACTTCGCCGTGGCCACCGTTCTCATATCATTTGGCGCTTTGCTGGGTAAGACAAGTCCTGTCCAACTTCTTGTTATGGCAACACTTGAGGTCATTTTCTACAATATCAGCATTTACGTTGGCGTCGGTATTTTCAAGGTTTGTATATTGCAATATTGTTTCACGGGTATGCAAAGTTCGGATAGAATATGGAGAAATCAAATGAATACAGGTTTTCTAACCTGTCTGTACGTTTCAGTTGTTATTTGTACAGCACCTTCTTGAAATAAATGAGTGAGAACATGTTTGTAACTCAGAAATGTTGAGATTATGAACACAAATAGAGCGATGTTGTGGGGAATTTTCATTTATCTGTGTGTGCTAAAATGTTGAATATCTCCACTTTTTGGGTGATACACATATATAATATATATATATATATATATATACTGTATATATTGTATCCTTGTCGTTGAGTATTGAGTCAAACCAATAAGAACAAAGGCCTTAGCTTTTATATACATGAAACCTATAATCATCGTCACTAGGAGTCAATTTAATAAGTGTAAATAAAACTTTTATGAGATATTTATTAATATGCTACAATAAAACTACCGCTGATATCATATTGAGTCTTTCAACCATGAACAGGCTATCGACGTTGGAGGATCAATTTTTCTTCACGCATTTGGTGCTTACTTCGGTTTGTCCGTATCTCGAGTTCTTTACAAGAAGGCTCAAACTCAGAGCAGTAAGGAGACATCCATTTACCACTCTGACATTTTCGCTATGATCGGTAGGTAAAACTTTTTATTTGCGTAAAATATTTGATAAGAATGTTTCAAATAAGCGCATTATCAATATTGCAGCATGCGAACTCCCTGAACTCATTATTTCCAGGTACGATTTTTCTTTGGCTGTACTGGCCCAGCTTCAATGCGGGTCCTGCTGCTGACAACGAGCGCCACCGTGCAGTCATCAACACAATACTCAGCCTCTCTTCTTGTACAGTGATGACATTTGCTCTATCTTCTATCGTCAACAAAGACAATAAACTTGACATGGTAATCTTTATAATATTCTATTTAAATAAAAACTATGTATTTCAAAATAATAATTCTTTACACTGTAAATGTGTTGAAACACATTAAGATCATGGCGATTTGCTTTTTATTATTGATTGAAATATTTAAAGGTTCATGTTCAAAACGCTACATTGGCTGGTGGCGTTATAATGGGAGCATCTGCCGATTTGATGATTCAGCCATTTGGTTCTTTAATTGCTGGTATGGTAGCTGCAACTGTTTCAACTTTGGGATATAAGTACCTGCAGGTGAGCTTTATACTTAAGTGGACAATCGACTATAAATAATTTTCAATTTTCTAGTATAATTTGTTGATATTCGGAAGATTTTGTTTAGTTTCTTATGAATTTTTTAGCGGCAAAACGAATTCTGTTTGAATGTATTTCAATAAATATATCATAGAGCAAATACTCTAGCTGAGTCTGAACTAGTAATGTAAATATGCAATTGCATTTATTTGTAGTAAGCATGTGTGCTCAAATAAATGTTACTGTTTGACTGAATGGGAAAATTAAAATTTATATTTTCTTTAGCCGATTCTCACGGAAAAAGCCAAAATTCACGACACGTGCGGCGTCAACAATCTTCACGGTATGCCCGGTATTTTGGGAGCTGTTTTGAGTGCAATTGTCTGTGCTGCTGCTACAAGAGAGACATATGAGAAAAGGTGAACATATACATTCAATGACAACCTGTAATAGATAACGTACAAACGAAAGTAACTGGTGATGACATTGTAAGAACAACAATCCTTATTGAAATTAATGATTGCAGTTACGACGAACTATTTCCGGACTCCCGAAGCGGAACGACACAGGGCGGTTATCAGATTGCAGCTTTGGTCGTTGCTTTAGCGATAGCGTTAGTTGGCGGAACACTCACCGGATTTTTATTGAAAATGTTACCTGGACTTTTCGACGCCCTCGATGAGAATGATTACTACGATGACGCAGTATTTTGGGATGTAAGTCAAATTATATATATGGTTAGACTGCGAAATGGGCACATGCGTATCTAAAATTCCCACAAAAGTCGTTTAGTTGAAACATAAAAACTTGTGATAAAATTGAAATTCTATAACACGAAAATGATTGCGCCTAAAAAAAACTTAAGTCATAAATGTGTTCTGATTGATTCCAATGCCTTGCGATAGTGAATATGTAAGTTTGTCTCACTCGACAAGCATCGAATAACAACTTATCAAATTGTTAATATATTTCATATTCATGTTTGACAACATTCAGGCTGTGGACGATCAGCCTTCGATCTTGAACGAGACAATACCTGAACCTTTACAAGCCAGGACAAGTAAAGAAGACGAAGCAATGGCACAGGAACAACAAATTTAAACAAACAGATGATATAAAAAAACATTCGTTTTTATGACACTAACGTCAAATGTGTATGATGAATTAATTGTCTTATACTTTACTTCATTGGTGATCTGATAATGTAACATGACTTGTTAGGTTCGCGCCGGGCTTATGAATGCAGGAATCGCAAGATGGATGACCTTATTAGCCTGTTACAAATATTCATTGTTGTAATAAGAAAAACGACAATTCCTAACTACTAAAATAAACTTCATTAGTAAACACTTTCGACATCAATGTAATTAACAATAAGTCCATGCGGCGTTTTTGAGTATATTAATATCAACTAAATTATCATATTCTTTTTACAATATTTTTTGATATATTAATATTTTGTCTGGAAGATTCTAGTTTCAAGTTCCGTGTGGATGCATCGCTTGGATGCACTTTATTATTAATGAGGTTGTGCGCACGGACAATTAGCGTTTTATAACACCATCATCCGATTTCAATCAATCATGAATTGCGGTGATTGTATTACAATCTATTTTGGAAGTTATACTCGATGAATTTGTTTATGGCACACCTAAAATTGTGTTTATATAGGATTGGCGGCAACAGCCGATAATATCGCAGTACAGTTATAAGAAGCATTTGCAGGTTGGGCCAGTTAGTAGGGCGAAATATCTCGAATTTTTTTGAACGCAAAATACAGTTATAAGAAGCATTTGCAGGTTGGGCCAGTTAGTAGGTCGAAATATCTCGAATTTTTTTTTATAAAATTATCGACAAGTAGATCATTTTTCATATCCCATTTCATCATTCGCTGCTACCTATACTTTGAAATATCAAACTCCTGAAAAAACGTCTACGGATTTCGAGCTCATTAATTTAGATATAGCAATGGGCGAGAAGGTAGCACATTTATTTATGTAGCTCTAAGCTAGGTGATACGAAACAAATATTCAACAAATAATTTAAACTCAGGTAAGACTGCCTAGGTAACACTTGCATTCTTGGAAATGGTTTACTGTGGTGAGCCTATTTTTGACCTTAAGGTCAAAGATTTGCTTTGAAAATATTCAAGGAAGAATTTAAACTAAACCAAGATTGACAAGATAGCACTTTCATTCCCAGAAATGATTTATTGTAGAGAGCTTATTTATGACTTTTAAGGCAAAGATTTGGTTTAAAAAGACAGAATATTGAATTTTTGAACAACAGGCAGGTTTTTGTGCGTTTCATATCACGCAGATTACAATAATTCTAATGATTTACAAGAATCGTCAACATGAAAGCAAAAATCTATAAGACGAAAGGTTGTCAGCAAAACAAGGTCATTTGCCTCATGATAGTTTTAGGATTGTAGATAACAATCGTTTTATTTAAGTCGATTTGGTTAAGCCGTCGGAGCATAGTCAACGAACAACCCAAACAATACGACGAAAAGAATTTGTGCTATTATCAAAACGGCAGTGGCTTTCATTCGAGTGTTCCTACAAATGAGATATTGTGTTATCCCGGCATATATTTTACGAAATAAAATATCAACAAAATGACTTTTTGCAGAGCTTGTATGAGGCAGAGATCTAACTTTACATATCTGCTATTTTTGTGAAAGTATTTCACTCAAATATGTCTACTTCCAAGTGACCGCGTATAAATTATCGGTTTTTGATTCACCAATCATGACAGCCGTCTTGCGCTTTGATTTTGAAAATCTTGCTTCGCCAAATTCTTCGATACCGGCGACCCACTGTAAATAAATACGGTACGGTAAGTTACCGTTAAAGGTGAAGTATTTTAAATTAATTAATACTACAGTTGTGAGTCGTCTCAGTCGAGTCATTCAACATTTCAATTTACGTTGCCACAAGAACCAACTTCGGACAAATATTTCAAACTGGCATAAGTTGACTAAAATTCCCAGTGGGCTATACCGATAATGTCATTCATTATATGTGTAAACCTATTCGATAATAGTGCCATCGATTTGCGCAATTTCCAGTACATTGGTAATCTAAATCATTATAGCAAGCTCTGCTCTGTTATGTGTTAATCCATTCGAGGATTCGATAAGATATTCTTGTTCTGTATATAGGTGATGTCAGTCATGACAGAGAGCGTTGTCACGAGACAATCTATTTCAATATTCGATAAAAGAAACTAGTTCTAATACCACCAGGTGTAGATGTGACGAGAATATCAAATGTCTGATTCCATTTCTTTCCGGTACCATCGATTGAATTAGCTTCGGACACATATTGGCATATCTTGGCTAGAAGACGAAAAAAGGTTCATTTAGTCGATACTCGACTTTAGTAACAGATATTTGAACCTTGGGTGTCGCTGCTTGATAACCAGCTTTGGTTCCCCGCGGCTTCCCTTCCCCAGTGAAAGGTGTATTTAATATTATTTATTCGTCTTAATTTTGCATGTTAACTTTTTTTACTGGACGGAAAAAATAAACTTGACTATGACTATGACTATTTCTTTTTATGCGCATGCCTGTACCATTAAAAATCGATTGATTTTTTTCCGACCTCCGACCCGAGACTTTCAGGACACGAAATGTACCAATGGATTCTTTTGTTGTTGTGCTGTTATTGTTGTCTACGGGATTCGTTTTTCACTTTAATTATTGTGTGATGAAATCATCAAGATTAAAAATTGCTCACTGTACCTTGGTTCCGTGATCGAATCTCATCGATCATGTGGCTAGTCACCAGTCCATGTCGGATATGGAATAAGATAGGCCGTTATTTTTTCAGATGCGTGGACTTGATGGTGAAGGAAGTCGTGATCCGCGCCGTAGCTGCCAACTAGCATTATTTTGTATTAGATTCATGTAAAGTGCAGTCTCATACATACTTTTTTCTTCCGGGAATCATGAAAGAAATAAAGTTACTTTTGGGGAGTGTTTAATGTAGTATAGTAGAGAGGCAATGGGTAGCAAAAGAGTTCGTTACTGGGCCATGTTCTTTTTTATATACAACATACTTATAAGCCTTTTGGGTTTGAACAAGGCTCTCCACAAGAAGCCACTGATATGTAGAGAGCCACTTCATTTTGAGAGGACCGAAATCTTTCCAGTTCGGCATTGCCACGATGAGCGATATTTTTTTAACCCGGGATGTGTTACTTGCGATGTCATCAATATAACGGCTACAGCACCTATTATACAATGGTCATGTGTCATGTGTTCTGACTGATAGGAGGATGTGTTTGCATAACCACTTTATTTTTGTTGACGAGGTTCTATTCGATAGTTTGCTATCTACACTCCAAATTGATTGCTTGAAGGAAATTTATTAGTGTGAGAAACGTTGATGGAATAGATTAAAAGTCGAATAAAATACAGTGCTTACTCACCTAAGGGAATAATTATACCTATATGAAACAAGGAAACATAATTATTAAATGTAAATTGAGCCTAATCATTAATGATACAATGCTATTTAAGCTTAACAGTATTGAGGTAATGTTAAGCGTCAGTCGTTGAATGTTTAAATAGCATTTCGCCGTAATTTCAATACTATTAAAAAGTGTCAGTCTTTGAACGTCTGAATATAATTTCATTGTAACTTCCTTCAATAATGTCGATACTCGACTTCGCTGAAGGTATTTATTAGTTCGGGTTACAACGCAAGACCAACTATTTAGCCTCGCTCCGTTATGCCGACGGATTTGTGGGCGTATTATATAGCAAGGATGTTGTAGCCATGACTGAATTATCCAGTAGGCAAAATAAGCACGCGCTTAAGGCACCAAGAAAATGGGTCCCTACAAAAACTTTCACATCCGAGTTTTCAATAGTGCCTCGGTGTTTAATGAAATGATATGTCAGACGATTCTGACATCAATATTGAACCGGTTGAAATTAATTTTGCTTGATTTCCCTAATAATTAATCCTAATTTGGCCTTCAATCAGGATTGAATACTCAAACTGCTCACTGAAATATATCTCTGTGTTGTTGCTGCGTTGGCGATATGGAGATTTCCCCGGCATCAAAACATCCGTATTCGTAACTAATCACAAGCGAGCAGAAACAAACATTCTCCGCTGGAAATCGCTCAGACAGCTTTGGACGCATTCCGTAACCGACCAGCGGTTACGTGAACCACCCTACGGCGGCGAGGAGTCCAGCAATCCTCTCGCACATGATCATTCTCGCATGAGATTCGAACCTGCGATCCCACGAAGGGTAATCAGAGATGCGGTGGCGAGCGTTTTCCTAACGCTTAGCACGATGCGCCACGCCGCCGATTATCGCCACAATACCTCGTTTTCGCGCTTTTGAACTCTATTCGTTAGTTTTCTGTTGTGTTTTGGAGAACTAAATATAAATAGGATAAATCAATGATCAGTCTGCCTCCCTAGGAGTTTTAACTTAATTGCAGTAATAAAAAATTATTGTAGAAATAGCAGTGATAGACCAGGCTAAAATTCTTTACCGGTACTTTTAAAAAACAGATTGTTATATGCGATGAATCATAATGATGGTTTGAAACACATACCCCATTTTACAGGCGCTAACTCGCAAAAGCATTCTTAAAATAGCCCCAAAATTTTTGCAATGGTAAAGTATAGGAAGAATTTTTCGGGGGTGAAAGGTCTATGCTGAAGAATTTTTCTGGGGTCAAGGGTCGTGAAAACATCCATAATAAGAGGTCTTTTGGTAAGAAAGCGGAACTCCTGGATATATTTCGCATTGTACCGGGTACCGGTACCGGGTTAAATATGTAAATCCTATCGTATTTTTAGCTTTGACACTTCAGCATTTTTAGCATACCAGTGTTCAGTGTATACGGTAGGCTAAAACCTCTTTAATTTTGGTTTCTTCAATTCAATTTAGTTTTAAAATTTGCAGATTTACGGTACCGTACCGGTACTGATTTAATAGAATTAATCGTACCGGTATTCAAATTCATATGTTATTCATTTCTAACGTTACTTATATCCAGTATATCTTTATTTACTGATATATAAAATACTAATATTCGGATATTAGAATCTTATTTGATTGCAGGATTGTGTGTGATGATCTTCATGTAAATTTAACATTTTTGCAACTCGGTTCACTCATTGCAGCATTAGCTGAATCATGGAAGAAGAATTATCAAACGCTAGTTATGAACATTTGGTCATAGGGGCACAAAGCCTAGAGTATGATGGAAGAGGAGAAGAAAAAGAAATAGGTAGCCTAATTGTTACGGTATATTAAAACCAAATTCATTTAGGATGAAAAAAGGAAATGTGCATGACCTAGTGCAGACTCTTTATAATTAATTCCAATGAAGTTGCAATAAAGACTTTATATTTGGTTAGGTCTGTAGATAAAAGTTCTGGTAAGTTGTGATAAATTCAAACATTATTCAGTTATTTGATCAAAACCTGATTTTCATAAAATTGCTGAAACTTTTATATCGTAGAGACTGCATTTAGGAGAAAGTAAAAACTTGTAATGTAATTCCAAATATACAAAGTTAGATCATTCGGATAGTTCAGTAGTTGAATTAAATATCCTTCACAATTATACATATCAGCATATTGCATATTTTGTAATGTGGTTCCTCATATACAAAATCCAGTCATTTGGGTTGTCATAGTTTAATTCAATGTCTATAGCAGGGAAATTTTAATTTCCATGGAATGTTTTCCTTGTTTTGAATATGTATCTACTGTACTTGGTAATAGGGTAGTCTTGAAATAAATAAATTTACAAAAGTTTTTTATGGCGTTTTTATATGCTATCCACAATACTTTTTACAAGCACTGCTAGTGCTAGGTAAGAAGCTACTTACTATACTGAAACTATACTGGGTTGAATAAGACAGGCAGAATTTGTTCATGTTATTACAAGCTACTAAAAGTCATACATATTTTTAAATATTTTTCTCAGTACTCATAGTTTTGCAAATCTTTTATTTAACTACTTTGAGAAATCAGAACTATTTTCAATTTATTTTTCTTCTGTAGGCTACTCACTGTTTTTGCTTTTCAAAAAAATATATTCTGTAGTAATCCCTCCATCTACTTTAGATTCAACTAAAAGTGATCTTGATACACATGTTGCCCTCGGAGTCGTCGATGTTAGCAATGTCAAGATTGATCAATCTCATTCAAAGCTAAAAGTTATTGGTCTGTATTTTGGTTGTATCACTTGATTGTTATTGCTAAAAAATTATGCTTTTCTTTCTTATATTATAATTAGGTCTACATCTAATCATGTTTTACATAAATTGGGTTTTTCTACTGTCCATATATGTTGACCTGTACCTGTACTCTCCGTATATGGTGACCTGTATTAGCATTTATTCAACTTAGCTTAGCTTTGACTAGCTTAGTCTTGGACAAATTGGAATAGAAAGAGAAAGACAGAGCTGGTAGCATTGGTCACTCACTCACCGTTATTAAAACCTATCTTCTATTCATCACAATATTAATTTGAAATACCTTCTGCTCCTAACATCAAATTCATTAATATTGTAACGGCTTGTGATACTAAATTAAAAAATGACACAAACTCGAAAAATATAGCAATCAATTGAAATCATTTGATTTATAAATATATATGTGGAAATGTGAAAAAAATTTATTATCAATTCAGGTGGTGGCGAAGGAAAGACCACAGCAATGAACAGAATTGATGGTGCTCACAGTCTTCATTTAGACCAAGATAATATGAGTGCTAAAGTAGGCAAGTATATCCATATTTGAGAAATAATTTAATAATATAATGGCTCGGCAGTATGGTGCATCTTATTAAGCGTGAGGAATACCTTTTCCATCCCTGCGTGAGTTTGAATCCTGTGGAAGGTAATCATGTGACAACTGAGAGTAAATTGCTGGACTCCTCGCCACCTCATTCAGGTAACATTTTACCCTCTTTTCAAAGTCGAGTAGCCACCTATAATTATTTTTGCTGAAGTCTATTGATATAATTTGATTTTCTTTAGAATCGCATGGATCTGGGATTACAGCAGTGAATCTTATAACCAATTCACAAAATATCACACAAACAATGAATAATTCAAAGTTTGTCGTTGGTGGCAGTAAGAAGCCCAACAGTATGTAATTTTACTGAATTTAATACTCAATTTATACTGTGAATACTGATACAAATGTGTAGATTTTTTATTTTAAATACTAGTAAATAGATGTCAATAGTAAACTCAATGAGACTCAGAATGGAATTTAAAAAAAGGATGCCAGTAAGTTTTTTGGTGTTATCATGAAAATTTAACAAATCTCAACTATAAATAGGGTCTGCCCTAGGTTATTTTACTTTTTCTTTCAAAAGGATGTTTTTTCATTTTCATGTAGTCTGCACAGAAAACATTAATTGAAACTAGAAAGTCGTTTAAAGATTTTTCCAATCGGTAGGTCACTGGTGAAGGTAATCGTATATTTTGAAGTCATTTTTAGGGTTTCTGTTCAATAGTGATCTCCTGCAGTCCTAGCAAATGTTCCAGATTTTTTGCTTCCGCTATTCTGTTTGGTTATTCTATTTCGCAAATGATGACTTCTAATGATTTTAGTAGATTAGTAGTTACGAACTCAAAAATCTTAAAATTTTACTTATGTTTCTATCCCTTGCCATGGAGTGAGTCTTAGTCTTCTTTCCCCTTTTTATATCAGGTTTGCATTTCATTTTTTTTTTCGTTTCATCTAATTTTATTCCAAAGTTTTGAATGCTTAGAATTAGCAGTTACATGTTGCAGTCGAATTTGCAAATATTCCGGAAGTTGAATATTTGTTACAGGTCCACAACAATGTTTTGAAAATTATGACTATTAATAATACTGTTTTGAATGATGAATGTTAAGAGTGATTGACAATATCCAGTATATGTTGCCTATGCTTACTATTTCCTAATCATTATCCATTGTCATGGCACTTTTATTATTGATAAAGATATTTATCTGATCGTCTTTTTTACAGGATCATCGAAGCCAAGTATAACGTCAGTAAATCACTTCGATCAATGCCACGGTATCACTATAACAGGCAACTCGCATACCAGAAGTCACAAAAGTATGGCTTTATGATTCTATAATGCTTTTTATTATTATATTTCAATGAATTGGTTGGTTTTGAGATCCACTTTGCAGCTGTCTTCAATTGGATCGGATCGTTGAGATCAAGCCATTTTTATCATAAAAACTTATCTGGGGATTGACGGGAGCGAAACACATGTTGTTTGTGCGTGGCTCATAAAATTATTACTGTTCGAAAGGTACGATAGTCTGGCACGAACAAATCATTATTAATTACCGATATTGTAACTGTTTTCGTACACTAGTGTGCACGAGAACGCTGTCAGAGCACTTCACGTCTTTGTGTGACGTGGTCGTCGACAACCGCCAATGCTGCGCTTCGGTTTTGCTCGCCCTCCCCCACTTCACCCCTTATTATTATTATCATATGTGTTCTAACTTTACAAAACCTAATTCATTCTCGTTACAACTTAAAGGTTGCTCCCGTTGCAAAAGTCATTCAATAGTTTTATTGTGGTTATTTGTCAGAGAAATCTTAAAGACAAACAAACTGTGTTTTATTACAACAAATAAATATTATCGCTAAGGACATTGATCACCGGCCACCGCTGTCCAACGTCGGCGACATATATGTTGATAACAACTATTAAGTAGTGGATTCAGGATTTCATATGTTACGTGACAATGTGTGAACACGGTTCCGTGTTTTTGGCTAAGGATCCAAGTTGCCCCCTCCCCCTAAAATTATGGAAAGTGTCCGTCCCTGCATGTTATGATGTTCATGCCAAAATGCACTAGAATATCAAAGCGACGTTCCACATGTATCACGGTCATATTTTTTCAGAAGGAAGAATCACCGCTCACACTGTCATCAGTGGAAATTCAGATGTTACCATTCACCAGAATAATGGCACCAACACCACAATTATATTTGATTAGATTTAATATTGTAAATGAGTGACCTTCAATTTAAACTTTTATTCTAGTTTTTAGTCGATTCAATATAACATATATTTTAAATTATTTTGTTAAACTTTTTATCAATTTCAATCAGTCAATATTTTTTATCGTCTTTAATATTCTAAAAAGTTCATGAGCATGAACTGTCCCTCATCATTAGACAAAACTGAAAGAAGTATACCGTTATAAGTCCTATTTTTCTCAGAGTGACAGTTGCACCTAAAACTAGCAAGCCTTTTTAAGAACAAATAACGGGAGCAGCTTGAAATAAATAAGAGATCCAAAATATGCAAATGGTATATAGCTTAAAAAAATGGAACCACTAGATTAAGTCGCTCTCATGAATATGTATCACTTGTGTTTTATCTTCAACGGTGCACATATATCAGTAGCAAAATTTCTCCTTCCTAACGAATTTGGCACTTCGTTTGTATAGTAACCATTGCTATGTCTTGTATCCTTTACTTGTTGTCTCACTATCATTCTTTTGAATCATTGCGGTGCTAGTTCTAACTAACCACTGCTAAAAATACAATAATACTGTCGTTTTTAATCTTTCAGAGCCATGGGCTTTTTTGATAATTTCGATAAAAACGGTGTTTTCTTTACTAGAAACAATGCTTTTCATCTAAACTGCATGGGAAATTGCTTTAAAACAGTTACAAACAATATGTTCCATTATAAACTTTAATCTTTTTTACCCTTTATTCTTGCTTTATGGAGTTGCTTTAATTTGTCTTTTTCAAGCTTGCCCACAATTGTGGGAAATTTTTGATCTCACATTATTCATGAAATGACTAAACTCTTTCCGTGAACCACTGGAGGTCCACGAACCTTCGGTCGGTGTCATTATACCAATAAATGCAAAAGTCGGTTTCCAATCGATAGAAATACCTGGCAAAGTGTTTCAGCTTATCCAGGCAGCTGATAAGCTAACATCAACGAGTTATCAATATTATTATATACAGCGTATCTGGGTGCATTAAATTTTTTTTTAATCGCACTGCTTCATTTGGAACACGCCTCTCTGGTAATTGGCGATTGACAATAATGCATTTATTCATTTAGTTGGTATATGCAAACTTGTTGATAATTTTCTTTATTATTACTTCAATAATTTTATGCTTCAGTTTTGAATCATGAAAACAAAAAAAATTTGGTGTCTCTTAATTGGGTATCTGGGCTGGCACAGGATATATATATCTCCGGTTTCACGTCTAGCTGGAATGAATGATTTTACTTCTCCATTAGAAGAAAAGTGGAAGGGTGTTGCATATGGCCACTCAGTCAGTCAATTTCTAAACAAATAGTTGTCACAGCTCGAGTGTTTTATTTTTGCTCTTTCGGATTGCACAACTTAGTGATACGGACTTTCTTCATTACTGGTTTGAATGAATGCATGCTTCGTAAATGCCCATAATTAGTATAAGATAAGTACATTTTGCATTGGAAAACTCTAGTATGGAGCCCCTTACAATTTACGCAATTAAGCCAAAAATATGTTTCATACCAAATGATAAAAAGAACAATTCGGGATTAATATTTCAGTATAGGAAGTAATGTAATCCCCGCATACTCAGTATTTTAGTACAAACACAAGTTTTTCACTAATAAGCCATTGGAACGCCATAAGAAATGTGCTATATATCTTGACCTGGTTTACATTCACTTTGGTCAGGATGTTCATTTATTCTAACGTAGAATATCATAACGACAGATTTAATCACCGCAATAGCTTTTCTTTCCGCCCTATGAACATATGTTGTAGCTCGTGCTGATAATGCACCTTTGTTCTACGTTAAATTTTCTCTTTTTTATTTGGACAAATGCGTTTCTTTCTTTGTTAATGGCCGAAACTGTAAACAATCAGAATTAGGAGGCTTTTTAAACATTCAAGTCTCAGTCAGATGTTGCTGCAATTGACTATTTTCTTGGGATACATTTTTGTAGGTATGTGGCTTACGGAATTCTATTGTCATAGCAAAATCTCCATTTTTATGTGTTTCGGAATTCTTGGGATGAAATCTCAGTTAACAGACAGGTGCGCAGCATTACATAAATAACTATTTTATAAAAAAAAACTCAAAACCGCCAAAAGGACTTATGCAATTCGGTTACAAGCCTGACGACATGCAAACCTATTTTTAAATTTTTTTTCATGAAATAATCGCACAAGAGCCCAGAAGCGTTGTAATGGCGCTAACAGTACAACTGCAAACTTGTTTTCTATTATGTTCCCACGAATTTTTATTATATATATACGAAATAGTCGCGGAAGATACCAAATCTCTGTGGTAACGTTAACAGTATACTGCAAATCCTATTTTTGATTTTTTTTCTACGAAATAGTCGTGGTAGAGCCCATAGCTGTCTGGTTGGACTTCCTGAAGTAAGAGCACCAAGATAGCGCACAAACTGAACTCAGGTTGTGTACCAGGTTAGGGTTCAGGTTGTGCGACATATTGTTGTGCATACTTCAGGAGTACCGCCTGGTGTTATTCACAGTACAAATACAAACATACACCGAATGACACACCCGTTGGAAACTTTGATTCTGAGTAACATTTATAATATATATATTAATTTATATGAGAATTTGTTTAATGCATGAACTCACGCGCTAACTCAGAAATAAAAACTCAAGTTACATTGTTTTTTATTACCCTCTTCCCAATTTTGTTTTCAAACTCCATGCCTTTGTCAATATATTTAGTGTTTGAATAACAATAACAATTTTTTTCTAAAAGATAGGCTTGAATTTCAGAGCATTTCTCAAGTATCATACAAGTAACGGTTTCTTACAAGGATATGACGAAAATATTCAAACTCTGTTCAAAACACTTCCCGATGCGCAGCGTGCAATATGCCTTTGATACAGATAATGGACCAGCAATACCCATAACTTGGGACAAATGTAGTAATGCAGAAATGCTGGAAGTCACTCCTGTCAATTCAATACCTAAAGTCGAACCTGGATATGTACAGGTTATTCTATTTTTTTGTGTGTGTGTTTTATGCAAGTGACAAGGTTAAACTAATAAATTCAATCAGTCATGAGGTCAGTAATATTTGGTAATTGATAAGCGACCAGACCGCGTTTTCAAATGTTATGTAAATTATAGTCAGGTTGTTTCTAAATGCATTGATATTCTTATTATTATATTTAAACCCAATACGGCCATTGGTTACATATATTTACAATTCTACAATACATATACCAGGAGCCCTGGTACAAATAAATGCACTTGAGAACAAGATGAGGATTTCGAAGTATTTTTTAACAATTTCAATCCAATATGTCAAAATTTTGCCTGCGATTGTCTGAGCATATCACTAGTAAAAAGAAAAAACGCATTTAATTATTTATCATGAATTGTTCTATTTCATATGGAAATCTTTGAATTCCATATAGAGTTCGTACAGTCAACGTTGAACAAAGTTCATTCGCACTTTGTCCTGGTGTTCATATCCGACCAAAAAAGTTTAACGTAGAACATGTATGCATCCGGAAGTAAAAGCAAAAACATCGGTCATAATCGTGAAGAAGAATACTGCGGTGATTTTGCTGCGAGAGATTTGTTCCAACTGGACTTTTACCACCAGAAAAAGTGCTCACATCTGTTGTCATGATATTCTATCTTTAGGTTGAAATTATTTGAACTGCTGCAATTCCAAAATTGACTTAGATGTGATTCAATATTTTGAAGTGCAAATATGATTGAATAAATTTTAAATTCATTATAGATCAGGCATTCAAATTTGTTCTTATTTGCAAGATTAGAAAGTATATATAAAGAGAAATCAAATTGTGAGATATGGTAGGCAATGTTCTTGAGATTCACGCAATAAAGTTCGTTAATAAATATAGGCAACACATAAAATTTACTAAAGCAGAACAATTTTTAAATTAGGCTCAGCGTTGATGTATGTACTTTAGTTTCTATAGAAAATTTTTAAATTTTTTCCTTGTATACAAAAGAAGAAAACTTAATATATGAGATTGGAGAAGACATTATTTTTGCAATTTCGCTGGGTGGGAATGATATTAGTAATAGGAGTTATAGCAATATATATTTCTGCACTAAATTTGTGCAAATTAAGCATTCGCTTCATATAGTAAAACATTCATTATGGAATGAATGTTATTTGAAAACGTATTAAAAATAACAGACAGAAATAACATTTTATTCATTTCTGTTTTATAAACGAGTAGTTTTGATGAAGAATTATGCTTTGACACGAAAAGAGAATAAGACTAAAAAAATTGATTTGAAGCGTGTGTTCACCACTCATAGTGAGCACATTAAGTTACATGAAATTTTTATCAAATTTAGGTTTATTGCGAAAAAAGTATTTTACAAAAAATTCTGTCTTTAAACACGTCGTTCACGTCTTGTTTTCAAGACTAGTGCGTTGCACTGGATGTAAATCAATTGTTTAATTTCGTATTCTTCAATACATAGGTTCTCAAACTTTTGTTGTTATGGGGCCCGGGAAAAGGTTGACCATTATTCACGAAGCCCCACAATAAATACAGAAAAAAAACAAAAACATTGTTACTTATCAATTAATGCTCCAGAGTAAATTAAAATTACTATATTTAGGGAAACGAATGTATTTGCAGCTATGTATTTAAAAAATATTCCGTATTCAGATTTAATAGAGAAACAAATAGCTCGCGGAGTTCGTATGGAGCACTTTGAGAACATATGCTTTAGTACATTCATGCTTTAAATATTTCTGGATATTTTTGAATTTACTAATGACACGGAAATGATATAATAATGTGAGAATTACATTCACTGAAGATCAGGGTTTGTTAATAATAACTACTTGTCTTATAACTACTTGAATCATCTTTAATTTCAGACGCGATAATACCCATTTTCTGTCGAAGCGGCCTAGATTGGATTGAAACATAAATGTGTATTGCAATATCAGTCTATACTTCTATAGTACCAAGATTATAATCGAGCCTTTGACAATTCATGTTAATACTTACATAAACTTCGAGAATATTAGACAGTCACTATAAGTACAATAACAAAAACGGAACGCACAAATATGTTCACGATGTATCGGTACCACGGTGTTGAATAATTATAAAAACAATAACAAATTTCAAATTTAATACGACCAGCTTATTTTATTTTGAAAATCATTGATCGTCGGCAATATGGTAAAATACCTAAAACTATTACTGATGTTGCGCAATCAATATTACTTCAATAATATTTGTCTCAATATTTAGGCTTTGGGATATTTGATAGCTGTATAAGTTTTAAAGCCAAAATAATTTATATCTTCAACTATGAAAATATATATTGCTTTTAGAACAAAATCTATTCCTTTCATGAAACGCGATATATATAATTTAGAGCGCCATATCTTGAATCAAATGTAACTGTATTATTTCATTCAACTCCTCATTTTTTAAAGAATTTTAGCACGCAGCAGTAATATTAATTTAAAATCTCAACCAGATTCTTTAATCGTTTAATTAAATACGTTTAGCTGTTATTACTTGAATAAGCAATAACTTTAAAGGCTTACATTTTTGTCCTTGAGGTGCGACTCAATTGAAAATGAATTGAAAGCAGTATGGTTATACCCCGGTTAAACTCGAGCTCACATACGAGCTGGTGATTGAACATTTGTCTTCTGAATAGGCAATAGGCATCTCTGTAAAGCCTCCAGGCATAAGCGTACATCCGACATTTGAACAACTTGGTGAAGGTATATTATTATAATGAGAGATAGTTTGCAAAGCTAGTGTAGTAACAAAATGTCCTAGGTCTACTGGTATTATTCCGCCTTGATGCATATTGGCCCATAATTCATTTATTGCTTGTTTCAGATTTCGAAAATAAATAAATAATGAGTAAGTTATTGTTTTTGTCCTTTCTGAATATGCTGCTACTGTATACCACAGATGCAAATTTATACCAAATGGAAAGGGGTGAGCATATCAAATTGAAATTTTTATGTAGTCTATACTAGCAAATATGTTGACAAAGCAATTGATAACCACACGCTTACAGCAGATAACAATTGTTGTTTAGCATAGACGTTGAATGTGAAAATCGGTTGATTGTAGAGATGTTTTTTGATCGTTTTTCTTCTCATTAGTTTTGGTAGAAATTATGCTGTATTGAAAAATATTTCTGTGCAATAGATGCCCAAACCAAAGAGTGAAAAAGACAGTTGCGAATTTGGTGGTCTTTTATAAACACAGACTATATAAAATCCAACAATAATTTTCCGATCAGTCGGACTGTTATCGATAAGTAATTTTTTGAACGTATAAGTATTTGTGTATGCACATTATGTTCTTGGTTCATCATTTCAAAAACAGCTGAACCGGTCTCTCCCTGCCACGATTGTATGCAATGATGAGGCTAGATAAGGCTGATTTTTGTGGTTATTCCAACTCGAAGCGTGCGAAATTTTTTGAAAGATGAGGATGTATCTGCTAATCCCATTGCTTTGATTAACTGTACTTTGACACACTGCTATTCTATTTTCGTCGCCTTTACCTACAGCACTGGGCTGATTCAAGGCACAGAAACATATAATACCATCTCCACTTAAAGGTTATTTTTCACAATTTTCTGAGCAAAAGATCAGTTTAATAACATCATTTTCAATTGCTTTTTACTTTAATAACGGACTTATAAAATATCGATTTAATATTTCTGTCGAATTTTACTTTCGAGTACTAAAATCAACGGATACAAGAGGTAAAATAATTTACATGCTTCACGTCATATAACCACGATTAGGTAGAACATAAGAACGTTCTGATAGCCCAAAAATACTAGTTAGTCTTCATTTCAAGGTTCAACTATAAAGTTGCAATGTCCTAATACGAACGATGATGTTGCGAACCCTGGCATGAATATGATTATTGGAAGACCCGGCAAAATGGTGAGATATTGTCGTCGAAAAAATGTTTAAAGTGATTTTCCATATATATTTATATTAATTCACTAACTTGTTTCCTATTAAATCCACCAGCTTGTTATTCCCGAGTACGAGATGACCTATGTATTTCCCAGCCGCAGGCTACGCCGTGCAAATGTTTACCACTGAACACGAATTATCTGATAGTTGAAATGATATATTATTCTACAACAATCAAATTCATGTCACTACAACAACAATTTGAATAACGATGTATATATGTTTCAATGAAAATGTTGCTAAAATGTATATTATTATCTATTTCGATTACTGTGAATTTGATTAGTTATAATTATGGTTGTATAATCAAAATAAAATGAATATAAATATGATTATATCCAGTGGTGGGATTAATGCTAACCGGTTCGTACCGGTTCTATAAAACCGTCTCACGGAATTTTATGAGATCAGCGAACCGGTTAGCATTACTGGTTACTGTCAATGTTCAAACAGAATATGACTTCTGTGATGGAACCGGCTGACAAAAAATTGAATCCCACCACTGATTATATCTATGTTTTATCTCAGTAAATCAACTTTGTTTAGGGTCCACAAGGTCCACCAGGCCCACCTGGCATAAAAGAACCCGACTCTGTTCTAAGAAAGAAATACGAAGGTTAGATGCCAGTCGTGATAGTCTACTAATTTGTGCTAAGATTTACCTTTCATCGTTTTTTTATTTTAATTTCAGGAAGAATATCAGAATTGGAGACAAAGTTATCGAGTACGCGTAATGTTATAATTTGAGCACTTTAATAGAAGTGCATCGTTTCTCGCGTTGTTGGATAAATTAAGTACTTAGTACCACATTTTATAGTCAACGCTCGCGTACACAACAATATCAATTCAGCGCAGTCAAAGAGAATTTATTTTAAATGAAAAGTTTTGTGCTAGCAGTGTTTGTATTGGTTTGATTTTTGTTTGTTGTTTTCAACAAGATTGGAATCATTTAAAAACTTCTTATCATATATAATTGCAATGTGTACTTTATTCCTATGGACTATGACAAATGTTTGTACGCACGAGCCATACTCGATAAATTAGCAGTTAGTTAGAGTTTAGAACTTCTTCAGATCATATTATCCTACAAAGATTTATTAACCAGAATGACTGTTTTTAACAGATCTGAATGCAATCGGAAAATTAGGATCTCACGCCAATCCAGCAACTAGTTGTTTGCAAATCAGACAAACGAATTCAGCTTCAAGCAATGGAATATACTACCTTGTCGATAGTGAGGTGCGTCAATATCATAGAACATAAAAACAAATAATAAAAACTTATACAATAGGGTTGAAATACCTAAACTTTATTTCAGCTTTCCATAATAGATTTAAACTATGGTACCCAAACAGATTTGAGTCTTCTCGTAATTTTATTGTTAGATTTTAGTTGTTGACCAAAACTTTAATATATTGTAGCAAAACGTGTTCTCGACATACTGTGATATGACAACAGATAGTGGTGGGTGGACTCTCATTGCATCTATCCATGAAAACAACATGAATGGAAGGTGCACAGCTGGGGATCGGTGGTCAAGTGAGCAAGGAAATAGCGCTGAACATCCGCACGGAGACGGATTTTGGGAAAACCGAGCCATTCATGGAAGTGCCTCATCGTCTAGCAGTGATGATTATAAAAGTGTTGGCTATTTCACTATGAAAGCAGAAGATATCATGATATGGCATGTTCCGAATGACACACCACTCAACAGTTTTGAATCAAGGTAAAAATGTTGGGAAAACCTTACTGAATTACCCGTTTGACTCAATTAAACTAAAATGCCTTATTATCTACTACTTAACACTCTTCATTAAAGTAATCCATTTTGCACATTCATTAGCTATTCCACATATATTTCTATAAGTTTTGAGACCTAATGACGACTTAATATCTTAAACCAATTGGTAAGCATTTCAGTCACATTCGTTACGGCGTTATATCCTACCTTCAGGCTAATGCCCTTCGCGTTCATTCATCACTCTTTCTCATAAAAAAAATACTGGAAGAAATGGTTTGGTTGAGTTTCTTAAGCACTTTCTAATTGCAGTGCATTTCTAAAATACTTCACCCGATCTAAGTTCTTGACGACATACGGTGGAAATCTGCAGACTTTATACACTGGGTATTTCCCAATGAGAAGCAAAACATACAGAACAAACACGGACAATGGACCTGCGATTCCAGTTTACTGGGCTAGAGGAAGTGGTGACAAATTGGCGGCTCTTTTACCTTCCAACGCTCAGGCCGAGACGGATTCAGGTTATATTCAGGTGGGTCCAAAATAGACGTTGCTATGGCTCTACAAATTCCTTTGACCACAAACATGCAAAAATGATCACAAGAAAATATTCAATCCTAACAAAGCTGATTAAGACTTGATTGTTATAATAATGTTTTCTAATTCTGTTTGTTTACAGTTTCGAGCCATAAACAAAGAAAGAAACGCCTTTGCACTGTGTCCAGGGGTGCGAATCAAAAGGGGAAAGTTTAATGTTGAACACGTGTGCATTGGTAGCACAAGCTACAACATGGGGGGGCATAGTGGAGAAGAAAGATATTGCGGTGATTATGCAGCAAAAGATTGGCCAAAGTGGACATCAAGCGACAAACTCATAAAATCTGTCGTTATGATATTCTACCGTTAGAATAAAGTAACATCCTGACAAAACTGAATTAAAATCATATGAAGTTTAAATAGCACATTTCTAATGTCGTCTTAAGTGAAAAACATTGTTTTAAAATGTTTCACTTTCGCGTCGTTTATATTATTTACAATATGTACAAAAATATTGTGTATGTGGGAACTATATATATTATGTAATATATTGAGATATTAATTACAAATTGGCCTATTCCATCATGTAATTAAGTTGTGAAGAATTCATCATTTGTTTACACAACGTACAGGTATTGTCCAAAAAACATTATACATATTATAAATCTATAATAGCGTTAAATTAGTCATTATTAGGGCTGGGAATTTCAGGGAAAATATTTTAACCGTTAACGGGGTTAAATTAACCGGTTAACCTCAGCTAGTGCTGTAGGGAAAATAAATAGGAGGAAATCAGAGTCCAAAAATTAAAATAAAACAATGTGAGTAGCAGGTATACGCTCATCTTTTAATATTTCGCATGCTTAAAGTTGAAATAACCACGATAATCTTCTTTTAGTCGCATCATTGCATACAATTGTAAAATGATGAAAGACAGTATTAACTGTTTTTGAAATGATGAAGCAATCGCATAATGTGCATACACTAATTCTGTCACTTTTTGAACTTATTCTCTCAAACAATCACTGATAGATTACAGTCTGATGGATCGAAGAATTACAGTTGCACTTTACACTGTTTGGGTATATAAAAGACTACGAATTTGCAACTGCCTCTTGCACTTTTTGGTTTTGGGATCTATTGAAGGGTAAAACTTTTCAGTGCAGCATATTACCAGAACCAATTAGAAAAGAAAATGATCCCAAAACATCTCTACAAATAACCAATATTCACAGTTAATGTCCATACTAAACAAACAATATTATTCTGCTGTAAGCGTGTAGTTAGTTATCAATTGCTTTATCGACACATTTTGCATCTGCAATATACAGTAGCAACATATTCAAAAATGACAAAAGCTTTAATCTTCTCATTATTTATTTATTTTAAAAATCTGAAACAAGCAATAAATGAATTATGGGTCAATAAGTTGCATCTAGGTCTAGGCGCATCTATATCGGTAATACATTTTCATTGCGATACAAGCTTTACAATTTTCTATAATAAATTAAATATATTTTTAATTGAGTTATATTGATTGCACCTTAGAGGTAAAAACTGTAAGCATATAAAGTTATCGTTCATGCATATAATAACATATAAACGTATTAAACGATTCAAGACTCTGATTGGGATTTCAAATAGATATTAGTGTTGCATGCTGAAATGCTTATTAAAAATGCTGAACGTTGAAGAAAATAGTTTAGCTGCACTTTATTCAAGATATGACCGATTAGCACCGATACATCGTGAACATATTTGTGCCTTTTTATTGTACTACAGTAATATAAATTTTCTTTTTAACTTAAATTCTAACTAATTTTTTGTAAATATTAACATGAAATGTCAAAAACTCGTATTTAATCATGGTATAAAATTTTATTGCAATACGCATTTATGTTTCACTCCGAATTCGGCTACTTCGGCAGAAAATTGTTACTTTCGCTTCTTAAATTAATGATGATTCAAGTAGTCATGAACAAACGTCTATGTTCAGTAAATTCAATGCCCAGCTAGTCCATCTTACATTAGTATATCATTCCCGTGTTATTAGAAGGTTTTAAAATATTCGAAAATATTTAAATCAGGAATGTATTTGAGAATACTAAATTGAACAATTGATTTCCATCCAGCGTAATGCACTATTTATGAAAACAAGACGTGAAAGACGTGTTTAAAGACATGTTTTTTTGTTGAAATACTTTTACCGCAATGAATCTAAATTGATGAAAAATATTATGTAACCTAATGTGCTGACTATGCCTGATGAACACTCAGTTCAAATTAATTTTTTTTTATTCTCTTTTTGTGTCAAAGCTTATATATCTTTGTCAAAACAATACTTTTTTAAAAAATAGAAATAAATAAAATATTCTATAATTTTTAAACGTTTTCAAATAACATTCATTTCATAATGAATGTTTCACTATATGAAGCTATGCTAAACTTGCGCAAAATTTGTAAAAGAATTACAACATATACTGCCTATAATTCGCGTTATTAATATCATTCCTATCAAGCGAAATTACAAAATAGTGACTTCCCTAATATCATATATTATTTAGTTTTCATTTTGTATATCGGAGATCTAATTAACTATTTCCCAAAGAAAGGAACGGGCCATTAAAGTGCATACATCCAGGCCAAATTAAACACTGTTCAGCCTAAGTATGATGAAATTTATGTGTTGCTGATGTTGTTAATTAACGAGCTTTCTTTCTTACTTTCTTTCTTACCTTATCCTACACATTGATTTTTCCCCTATGTACTTTCCAATCTTGCAAACGAGAACAAATTTGAATTCCAAATTTTTGCCACTACATTTTATTTAAACGTTTGTACTTCAAAAAAATGAATCACAGCTAAGTGGGTCAGTTTTGAATTGCAACAGTTTAAACCATTTTTACTTAACGATAGAATATCATGACAACAGATTTGATCATTTTTTCTGGTGATGACCATCTAGTGCTGAACCAATCTTTTGCTGCAAAATCACCACAATATTCTTCTTCACGATCATGACCGATATTTTTGCTTGTACTTCCGATGCATACATGTTCTACGTTGAACTTTTTTGGTTTGATACGAACACCAGGACAAAGTGCGAATGAACTTTGTTCGACGTTGACTGCACGAAACTGTAGATAGAATTTAAAGATTTCCATCAGATACAGAAATGAGAATCAATGACAAATAATTAAATGTATTTCTTCTTTTTACTAGTTATATGATCAGACAATAGCAGGTAAAATGTTTGACATATTGCAATGGAATTGTTGAAGAATACTTCGAAATTACCATTTTCTACTCAGATATATTTATTTGTAACAAGTTTTTTGTTATGTATATGGAGAACTGTATATACGAGTATATGTAACCAATTTTCGTATTGAATGTAAACATAATAATAAGAGTATCAATGCATTCAGAAACTATCTGTCTATAATTTACAACACATTTAAAAACGCGGTCTAATTACTTACCAATTACCGAATTTTACTGACCTCTTCACTGATCGATTTTTTTAGTTTAATATTTTCACTTGCATAAAACAAACACAAAAAATAGAATAACCTGTACATATCCAGGTTCGATTTCCAGTCTTGAATTGACAGGTGTGACTTCTAGCATTTCTGCATTACTACCTTTGTCCCAAGTTATGGGTATTGCTGGTCCATTATCTGTATCATAGGCATATTGCTCGCTGCGCATCGGGAAGTGTTTTGAATAGAGAGTTTGAAGATTTCCGTCATATCCTTGTAAGAAACCATTACTCGTATGATACTTGAAAAAGGCTCTGAAATTCAAGCCTATATTTTAGAATAATTTAGTAATGTTATTTAAATAAAAAATATATTGACAAAGGCATGAAATTTGAAAAAAGTTGCCAAGAGGAGAATGAAAAACCAATATCTGGGAGTAGGAAAAAATGACAAGGCAGTAAATTGGTAACGCAGTTCCATGCCTTGTGCTACTGGTATTTATGGCGCCTATTGTACGACTACATGTTTGTATATATGCCATAACTTTTGCTTTTTCAATGGTTACTTGTTACTCTCTTTCCAGGTAACTTGAGTTTTTGAGTATTTCTCTGTTGACGCGTGAGATCATGCATTGAAAAAATCTAAATTATATATTTTAATAGTTACTCAGAATCAAAGTTTCCAACGGGTGTGTCATTCGGTGTATGCCATATCATAATGTCACGTGCATTCATTGCAAAGTATCCAGAATTTTTATAATCGTCACTGGTGGATGAAGACGCACTTCCATGAACAGCTCTGTTCTCCCAGAAGCCGTCACCGTGAGGATGTTGTGCACTATTTCCTTGTTCACTCGACCATCTATCGCCTGATGTGCATCTTCCCTTCATATTGTTTTCGTGAACAGAAGCAACGAGAGTCCACCCTCCACCACTAATATTCATGTCGCAATATGTTTGAAATACATTTCCCTGAAATTTTTTATAGTCCCAGTATGCATCCCATCTAAAGGTCTATTTTATGCTAAATGACAACAATATGCAGTTGAGGTCAATGATGCAAACATAAATAAATAAATATAGTAAACATTTCAAGGGTAAAATATCTTGTTTAGCTATCAATCTCTACTTGATGGTCACAAGAAATTTAAGAAAACAAGTACGAAATGAATATTTTACCTCCATATCCTTGATATAATAGAGACCATTTTCGGCGTTATCAGTCGCTTGTTTTATGGCTTTGCAATTTTCCGCAGGATTTCCAACTTGTCCTAATCCACCTAATTGCTCGCTTTGTGCTGAATATACAACTTACATGAGTTACGTTTATGAGTTACAGTGTTTCACTAATTTTATAATTATTAATAGATAAATGTTTTCCAACAGAAACTGAAAGCTTTTTATGAAAAGTATTGCTGCTCTGATCAACAAAATTGTTCCAAGATTCTATTTTAGTCATTTTGATTGTTTGCAAAATGAATCAGCGCCCAAAAATTAAAATTCTGTTATCAATTCACATTATTTACAGTCAAATCACCAGGCTTGTCCATGGGACATATTTTTTGTCCCATTCTCATCCCATCCCATAGCAATTATGCCTGTCCCATCTCATCCCATGGGATTTCCATTGGAATAGAATTCAATAAAAATTGTTAAATTTGGGTTTAGCGTCCATTAAACAGGACTACATGTACGAATAGACATGCAAAACAGCAAAATTTACGGACTTTGTTAGCTTTAAACTTAGAACTACTATACATGTGTCCATCAGCCCCTTCACGAAGTATATTGTTAATGCTATATATATTCGAATTTTTCTAACTAACAAGAGAGTTATGTTCAAATATATGGAAACGAAGTCCATAACAAAATGTTTTACCATCATTTCCCCGAAAATCATACGGTTTTCGCGTCCCATGGGATATACAAATGTGTGCTGTCCCATCCCATCCCATGGGACGTTTTTCATGGACAAGCCTGCAAATCACACAATACAACAACAATATTAAATACGCGATCATACGTATGAATGATAAGTTTGGACTGTTTGTTTTAAAAATGTTTCAGCAAATTTTTTATCGGATATAATGAAGATTGTTAAATCATTTTGATATCGTTTTTACTTTTAATTCCGAACGATTCCGTTCTCTTTTTCAGTTCTCTCGAATTTAATATATATATATAAATGATCTTGTTTATGATCAAAGTCAAAAATTAGAAATAAACTCATCACATACCTGATAATTGAGTTTCCAACCCCAAAATTCGATCTAGATTTGAATAAATATGATTTTGTTACATTTTTTAATTTCGAAACTTGGCAGGATTCTTGGTTTTTTGTTTGACACGGAACAGGAGTTTTAGCAACTGCGCGTTTTTGCCAACTTTCTTTTTTAATATTTTGCCTATTTTGGTGTTGTCCGAACAACTTGTAAGCTATATTACGCTCTTAGTTGGGATATCCTTTTGGAATTTTATATATATAAGATTCTTTATAGTTCACCTTCATATCTTCTCCGTATTTCTGAATCTGGTTCTTTTGCACCAGGCGGTCCTGGTGGACCTTGTGGACCCTAAACGTCAAGTAATAAAGCTAAACTCAGAGGTTCAAATTAACTTGTTTGGGCTTGTGAATGTGAATATGTGTCATGAAGCACTGATGTAGGCAATCTTAATTTTGTCAAGATTTTTTACCCTTGTGAAACAATATGAAACATACCAACGGCAACAGACGGGAAGGACATAAGGTATGTTCGAACTGCCGTGGCATGTAAAATACACCATTCAGAGTATATAACTTGAAAATGATTATTACTAACAGCACTTTTATTAACAGAACTCTTTAGTACTACAACAATTCAAAAATTAAGTTTGCTGTCAATAAAGTTTTCACGCTTTCCGTTTTAAAAGTTTTAAAATTCTTACTCTTTTTCCCGGTTTTCCTGTAGATATGTTTACATGCGATATATTTGACTCGTATTCTAAATCATCTTGTTCGTCTCCGGGACAGACCAATTTCAAAGCAGATCCTAAAGATAAAATTGGACCAGGTCCTGGATATGCCAGAAACAAAAATATTAGCAATAGTAACGTTATTTGCTTATTTAGGTCAAGTGTGACTTTAATCATCAATAGCTCATAATTAATAATCATTCATAGCTTGAAGAATTTTTTTATACAATCCCATACCTCTCTCCATTTTGAACATCGATGACGTTGCATTTCCCAAAAGTAAAAAGAGTAAAATTATGAAACACAACTTCATTTTCGCAATAGCGAGCTTTGAGCTCAGAATTTCTTCGAAAACTATTGATTTTATTGTTTTAAATATGTTTGCACCTGAAATCATGTGAGACAACACTTATTGTGAACAGTTATTATACTTTGTTTTGTTACGAAAGCATACAAAATTGTATTGTATTGGAATTGGAGATAATTTTCTGTTATTTTTAAACTTTATTCTTTCAATTTTATTTTAAATTGAATCGAATACCGCGTATAACCTTTTCATTTCATATAAACTAATTAGTTTTATAAGTTAAGACTATACTGTCCCATTTCTACCAGGCCGCTGTTATTGTTAAATATATATTTCAATATTATATTAAATTGCAATCCACTTCTTTGTAATAAATTCATCGGAATAGGAGACATTTTGCAGCACCATTACCCCTTTCCATAGTTTTCAGGAAAACATTTTAACTGATGCAGTGGTCACCAAACTTTTTTGACCCCAGATCAGGTATGACTCAAACTGTGTTGAAACGGGCCGGACAAATATTTTTGTCAATGCAATACAATAAATTCACAAAAGTTGGGAAATCCATTCAATTTATTCAACAATATAAATTCTACATTTCCGAAGCCTTGAATATTAAATTCTATATCGTACGTACACAGCAACAGTTTCGCCACGAGTGCAAAATGAATTTGATTACTGCAATTAAACTACAACTCCTGAAAAGTAAAATGATGATTGACTTATTTGATTCATACTTAAATTTCCGAAACACAACCCAAAACTAACGAATAGCATTCAAAATCGAGAAAACGAGGTATTGTTCACAACCACGACTGAAAATTTGTCTGAGCGGATATGAAAAGACCCATTGTTACGTCACTCTTTGCATCTTGCTGGTTGGCCAATGTTATGAAATAAACAAGAAAGTCGATGCTCAGGGAAACAAACCTTGGAAAAAAAATCCGATATCTTTCTGTGTTATTGCGGGCCAGATGAAATGAGGCCACGGGCTGGATCTGGCCCGCGGGACGTAGTTTGGTGACCCCTCAACTAATGGAACATAAGGCACTGCGTATAACATATTTTTTCAGTATTATATCAACAATTAGGTTATTAAGTCAAGTTATTAGGTTATTGATGATTTTTTGTAATGTAAGGATACCACGGACAAATCATACAATGTGTTTTTTATTACAAGGTTAAATGATGATGTCAAATCAAAGATGCAAAAACGTCAGATTAAAATAAATGATTGCCAACAATAGATGAAACTTGAATTCATTGAACACATTTGGGAATATTGATGCACTTGATTTTATGGTGATACATTTTTGGATTACAATAAGCGAATGAGTATATTTTTCCATCTGTCTACACTCTACACTCAACACTACACTAAAATTATTATTGTAACTTTTTTAATGAAAAAAAACCCATAAACCGAACATGTAAAACTGCTCTTCTGATGACATTTCATGATTCGTCTCTAAATCATATAACGTTGCCCTCCTTAACACAAGATCCTCGCTACAATAATTACATACTTGACATTTTCTATGTCAATATTGAATAGAATAACTTATTCGAAACCTTGGAACACGAGACGAGCGTTTTGCATTAGGACTTCGCATCTAACAAAACGTCAAATTCGGCAAAACGTAATCTTATCTTAAGTGAAAGAACATTTGTTTGATTATTGAACAGACATTTTCATATCTTACCCACCCAATTGAATGGTTTCTTATTTTTTATTACCTATATATAGGGTTACCATATTTTTGTGACTTCAAATCGGGTCGCCTCGAAAGACAACGACCCATTAGCTGTGATTTTGTCACTTCACATTTTCCAATTTTACTACATAGGCCCATATTCCTACATTTAAAGCTGTCTGGGCTGTCTTTATTGACCATATTGTTATCGAAATTTCATGCGCTTATTCTCTGTCTAAATATCGGGTTTAGTTCGAAAAATAGGAAGGAATTGACGGTAACGATACCGGTACAAATAATTCGAATTTATACTAATTAGTATTGGTTTCACATGCGATACGTCTGCCATCAATGGGAATCAGCGGGAAACGAACGCATTCACCTTCAGTAAGAAGACTAGCGTTGCGCTACACAGAAACAACAGTAACAAGAACATGTTTGTGTATTATGCTGGAAAAGCGGGACTTTTGGCTGACTTATAAGGACGGCGGGACAAAACGATGAAAAGCGGGACTGTCCCGCCTAAAGCGGGACGTATGGTAAGCCTACCTATATATAATAGGTTGAAAACTGCTTCTAAAAACTTCTAGTTGTTTGTCTCTAAGACATAAATTTTTAGTTTATTCAATACAATTTTTGAAACAGCTATTTTCAACTTTACGGCTCCTGTACTATATCCTGCTCTTTTGTTCTATGTCAGTTTTCTTTATTTTATAAAATAGATTTCTGTTCAAACGAATGACGATTAGTCAATTTCATTATGACTCCTTTAGTGATCTTTGGACACTCGGAGCAAAGTGAATAAAATCTACTCACACATTTCGGTAATCCTTTAGTGTTCTAGATGTACACAACTGCACTAATGTATCAAACACAATAAGATTACTGGATACTGCAATTTATGGTAATGATTGAAATGAAGAAAAAAACACACATGGTATTACCAAAAAATGTTGATACTACTACTGTTGATACTTGATAAGGAAATATTATGCAAGTGTTTATTTCTTGATTTTCAATTTATGAACTATTCCAATTTAACGAGGATTTTCTTGTGATTTGGCCTGATATCCAAATTCGACCTCTACTCAAATTGTTTCAGTCTACTTCAGTTCTCTGATACATTTTGAAACTACTTTATGGGCATTAATTATTTCTTGGTACAATGAATGAGGAAGTCATTATTCATGAACGACGTCCTGTTGGTTCACTGCGCCATCATCAGTTTCATAAATAGGATTATCACATGATCATTTCGACCAATGTACTTTCATTTACTGTTTTCTGCACACGTATAGAAATCATGCCCAAATACTTTGTAACTGTACAACTAATCCTCCTCCCGTTGGCACGGCTTTTCACATCAAGTACTAGTTTAAATTTATTAATGGTATTGCAGTAATCGCAACAAAATATAAAACAGTATAAATGTCTTTAATTAAATGAATCTCATATACTTTCCAATCTTGCTAACAGGAACAAATTTTTCTTGTAATATATACACTTTATTTCAGTTTTTGTATTTTAAAACTGATTCACTGGTAGTTGTTGTTGAAATCACAACACAGGTAAATTTTCTCATCCTAACGATAGAATATCATGACAACTGATGTGATTATTTTTTCTGGTGCGGACCACCCTGATGAATGACTCCAATCCTTTGCTGCAAAATCACCGCAGTATTCTTCTTCGCGTGTATGGCCGATGTTATAGCTTGTACTTCCGATGCATACATGTTCTACGTTTCGCTTGTTTGGTTTGATACGAACACCCGGGCAAAGTGCAAACGCATTTCGCTCGTTGTTGACTGCTCGAAACTGCAAATACAATTTTATTTTTGTTTCGGAAATATATATTCGGACTTAGAAGATTAATCAAGAAAACCAAAATTATTATAAAGAAAATTTACTCTAAGTAAAAGTATTTCTTCTTGTTATGAATGACTGAATCAGGAATTTATTAATTGAAATATTTCAAATTAGTGGTACGGAATCTCTGGAGACAAATTTTATTGTTATGTGTTATATAATTAAATACAGAATATGAGTTATGCGTCTTATTCCTGCGTCTAATATTTACTATAATATAGCATATTTGTTGCATTAAATATAACTTGACACCGACAATTTATTACTACAACCAAAGCAGCAATAGACAATATATCAATGCATAAACAAACTATTTTCGCCTAACCCGCATGTCTAGCTTCAATTAAATTGGGAAACGCTGCGTTAGTAATTTTGTTATTTAGTGAAAATAAATGAGGATAAGTAAATAACCTGTACATATCCAGACTCGGTTTCACCTCTTGAATTAATTGGAGTAAGTTCCACCATTTTCGCATTACTACCCTTGTCCCAAGTTATAGGTATTGATGGTCCATTGTCTTTATTAGCGGTATATTGTTTACTGCGCATCGGGTAGTGTTTTGAATAAAGAGTCTGAAGATTTCCGCCGTATCTTTGTAAGAAACCATTACTCGTATGATACTTGATAAATGCCCTGAAATTTAAATCCACGTTTTAGTATGAAGTTTATTGATATAATTTGGATGCAATTTATTACAAACATACTTTTAAAAGGCATGGATTTTAAAAGAATTGCTCACTGGAAAAAAATTAAATAAATGGAATATTTGGGGATAGGTAAATATTTACAATAACCTGACAGTGACGTTTTCTGAACGTTACTTTTGATCTTTTCTTCTGAACATGAGTTCTGATCATTTTTTAAAGAATTGAAATTTTAATTTTTTTTAATAATATTTTAATTTAATAGTAGTTACTCAGAATCAAAGCTTCCAACTGGCGTGTCATTTGGTGTATGCCATAACATAATGTCGCGTGCATTCATTGCAAAGTATCCAGAATTTTTATAATCGTCACTGGTGGATGAAGAAGCACTTCCATGAACAGCTCTATTCTCCCAAAAGCCGTCACCGTGTGGATGTTGTGCACTGTTTCCTTGTTCACTCGACCATCTATCGCCTGATGTGCATCTACCCTTCATATTGTTTTCGTGAACAGAAGCAACGAGAGTCCATCCTCCACCATTAATATCCATGTCGCAGTATGTTTGAAATACATTTCCCTGAAAATTTTATTAGTCTCAGTATGCATCTCATCTGAAGGTCTATTTCATGGTTGGGCAACCTTTTTCGGATCGCGTGCCAAAATTGGCTAAAATCAACGACAAAATTCTTCCGCGTGCCGACCAAAATTAAAAACAATTCTATGCTATCTTCAAAGCAAAGATACACAATAATAAACCATTTGAACATGTACAGATAGATTCACTATTCGGGAAAATATCAGTCCGACAAATTTATTTGATTACTTTACTTATTCTATATCAGTAAGACTTCTGCTGATTCATTACCGCTGATAGAGATTTTACGTTGGGTTCATATTTTGTAACTTTCAGAGTAATACACGGACTACTTGTTTCATCAGTCAGGCTACTCCTATTACGAGACTTAATAAAGTTCATAACTGAGAACAGAGATTCACAAACATATGTAGATGAAAATATGGAGAGTAATGCAGTGCAAAGTTTTTAGGACAGGAGAAATTTTCGGGAATGGCAATCCAATCTCGCATTAGTTCGTTTTCTTCACTCCTCTCTTGTATTCCTTTCTCTATCGCATATATTTCTTCCGGAATCAATTTATAACAGTGAGTTAGCAGGTCACTCTAACCAACATGATCTTTACAACTTCATAAATCAATCAGAAATGAAGCAAAGGGTGGCACAGACGAACTATATGAGTAAGAATGTGACCAAATGAATGCTGCGCTATTCTCGAGTGCTCACTCATTTGTTACGTCATAATATATTTCTTTGTAGCCATATGTCATGAAAAAACAAAAAGAGTTTAAATAAATAACAGATGGTTAAACGATAATAAATAAACAAACGCCGAGTTTTTTCAGATGATTCATCAGAGTCTTGAAACTTTTTATCTGAAGGACAATGATCTCGTTTCCGAGCGCTCGCTCGCGTGCCGAATAAATGGGCTCGCGTGCCAGGGGTTGCCCACCCCTGGTCTATTCCATGCTAACTGGCAACAATATGCAGTAGAGGTCAATGTTGCAAACATAAACAAAAAAATATAGTAAACACTTCTAAAGTAAAAAAAATTGTTTAGCCATCAATCTCTACTTGATGATCACAAGGAATTTTAGTTAACAAGTACAAAATGAATATTTTACCTCATTATCCCTGATATAATAGAGACCATTTTCGGCGTTATCATTCGCTAGCTTTATGGCTTTGCAACTTTCCGCAGGATTTCCAATTTGTCCTAATCCACCAATTTGATCATTTTGTGCTGCATATACAACGTACAGTATATCAGTTAAACTGTTTCGTTAAGTTTCATAACTTTCAACTGATAAATATTTGCCAAATAGAAACTGAAAGAAACTTTTCATAAAAAATAATGCTGCTGTGTAAAAAAGAAATTGTTCCAAGATTCTATTTTAGTCATTTTGATTGTTGGCAAATGGAATCAGTTCCCAGAAATTAAAACTGAATTGTGTGATCAATTCGCATCATTCACAGTCAACACAAAACACAACAAAAGTTTCAGCAAATTTTTTTTCGGATATAAATGATGATTATTGAATCATTTTAATATCGTTTTTACTCCTCCCGATTCCGTTCTCTTATTTCGTTCTCTCGAATTTATTACATATATGAAGATGTTTATAGTCAGGGTCAGAAATTACCAATAAACATATCACATACCTCTCAATTGAGTTTCCAACGCCAAAATTCGATCTAAATTTGAATAGATATTTTGTTACTACATTTCTGCATTAAGAAACTTGGTACGATTCTTGGTTGTTTGTTTTTAGCAACTGCGCGTTTCTGCCAACTTTCTTTTTTAAAATGTGCCTATTTTGGTGTTGTCCGAACTTGTCAGGTATATTACGCTTATAGTTAAAATTACCTTTTGGAATTATATATATATACACATTTAATATAGTTCACCTTCATATCTTCTCCGTATTTCTGAATCTGGTTCTTTTGCACCAGGCGGTCCTGGTGGACCTTGTGGACCCTAGACGTCAAGTAATAAAGCTAAATTCAGAATAAGGCATAGTGATTCAAGCTAACTTGTTTGGCCGTGTGAATATGATTATGTGTCACGAAGCAATGCTGTAGGGTGTAGGCAGACTTCACCTTGTCAAAATTTTCAATCAATATGACAATACTAATGACAATAGATTGAAAAGAACATAAGGTGTGCAAATTGTCGTGCCTTGTAAAACGCACCATTTTGAGTATATAACTCAAAAGTTATTATTAACTACAGCACTTTTAGTAACAGAAATCTTTGATACTATTAACGATTCCAAAAACGGTTGCTGTCAATACAGTTTCCAGTTTCCGAGTTTTATATTTGAAATATGTTTAACACAAGTTTCTAAAATTCATACTCTTTTCCCCGGTTTTCCTCTAGATATGTTTACATGCGATATATTTGACTCGTATTCTAAATCATCTTGTTCGTCGCCGGGACAGACCAATTTCAAAGCAGATCCTAAATATAAAATTGGATCAGGTGTTGTTGGACATGTCAAAAACAAAAATATTAGCAATAGTAACGTTATTTGCATGTTTAGGGTAGATGTGACTTCAATCACCAATAGCTCATAATCAATATTCCTTCATAGCTTGGAGAAAATTTTCATACAATCCCATACCTCTCTCCATTTTGAACATTGATGACGATGCATTTCCCAAAAGTAAAAAGAGTAAAATTATTAAACACAACTTCATTCTTGTAACAGCGAGCTTTGTGCCCAAAACTTCTTCAAAATATTATTGATTTTATTGTTTTAAATACGTTTGCACCTGAAATCATGTTAGACATTACGTATTGAGAACTGTTATTATACTTTGTTTTGTTACGAAATCTCACAAAATATGAGAAAATTATGAAACTGATTTGGTTTGGCATTTTTTGTCATTGGAAAATTTTATAGTTTCAATCTTTTGGAATCGAATATTTTTTATAACCTTTCTATTTCATATACTAATTAGCTTGTTAATACTACTCTCCTATCAATACCATGCTTTTGTTATCGTTAAATAAATATCTCGATACTATTGGATTAAATTTCAATCGACTTCTTTGTAATAAATTGATCGAAATAGGAGGCATGTTGAAGCATCACTACCCCGTTCCATAGTTTTCAAGACAATATTTGAACCTAGAATATTGGTCGGAGACCGAAGACTTATCGATCGAAAGTTAGGGGATCCCAAAAATGCGGTTCCGATTCATCCCCTCTTACTCCATAGCGACACCGTGTGTCCCATCACTAATTGATTAATGACTCGCTAATTATACGACATAATTTGTCCAAAATCCTAAAATTCTGGTCCGAGATATGATGAATGCATATGCAAAATTTGGAGCAGATTTAACCTCGCTTTCGTGAAATATAGCGTCCATCTAACAGTCAAACAAACAGACAGACAAATAAATACCTTTCAACATACTTATCGAGATCGATAAGTAATAATGCAACAGAAAGCACTTGTAGGCTAAATACTGTGTTTTTGCAGTATTATATCAACAATACCAAAAATTAAATTATTGTCAATTTTTTTTTTTGTAATTGGATGATACCACGTACATATCATACAATATGTTTTATTTTTTGCGCGCTGCATATCTTTAATACCAAATCAAAAATGCATAATCGTCAGATTAAAATAAATATTTGTCGGCAACAGAATATTGGGAATATTATTGCACTCGATGTCCTGGCAGTAAATGTTTGGGTTACAATAACCGAATGAGAATATTTGTTCATTTGTCTGCACTATACACTACACTAAACTTATTTTACAAAATAAATTAATGAAAAGAATGAAACATAAACCAAACACATTTAAAGCTGCTCTCTTGATGGCATTTGATAATTCGTCTCTAAATCACATAACGTTTGTCTCCTTAACACAAGATCCTTGCTACAATTATTACTTATCTGTCATTTTTTATGTCAAATATGAATAGAATCTTTTTTTCAAAACCTTGAAACATGTTTCGAGAGTTTTGCATCAGGACGTCGAATCTAACAAAACGTCGAATTCGGCATAACGTAATCTTATTCTAAGTGGAACAACATTTGTTCAATTTTTGAACAGACATGTTGATATACAGAATCTTACTTAATTGAATGATTTGATTCTTTAATGCCTATATTAGGCTAAAAACTGCTGCTGAAAAGTTCTAGTTGTTTGTTTCTAAGATTTATATCTTTAGTTTATTCGATACATTTTTTGAAACAGTTATGTTTTAAGTTCACTGCTCCTGTACTATATCCTACTCTTTTGTTCTGAGTCAGCAAGTCTTTATTTTAAAAAATGGATAATTCTTAACAATTTTTTTTATTTCCGGCCAGACAAATGACGATTAATCAATTTCATCATGACTTCTTTAGTAATCTTCAAACACTCGTAGAAAAACGCGTGATATCTACTCAAACATTTCGGTAATCTATTAGTTTTCTATATTTACATAACAGCACCAATGTATCGAACACAATAAGATTACTGGGTACTCCCATTTATTGAAGAATAAAAACTTGTTAATAACACAAAATGTTGAGAGAATATTATACAAATGTCCATTTCGTGATTTTTTATTTATTACTACGTCAATTTTGCGATTCTTCCCAGGATTTGGCTTTGATGCATATTCGCTAATTTAGTCACATGATTCAAAAATTAATAGCTTGTGATAATTATAGCCAAAAGCTACCGCTGCTCAAAATTGTTTCAGTCTAGTTCAGATCTCTCTCATTATGGCGTACAACGTTATGTACGTTCACCGCGCCAATTTCGAGTCCGAGGGGCTTTTGCTCAATAATACCAATCAGTTTCATATAAGGATTATCATTTCGACCAATGCAATTTCTTTTACTATAGGTTTCTCACGTATAGAGACCATGTCCAAATTTTTTTGTATCTGTACAACCAATCCTACTTCCGTTAGCACGGTCTCTCACAGCAGGTATTAGTATGAATTCATCAAATCGTATGGCAGTGATCGCAGCAAAATATAAACCAGTATAAAAGTCTTCTAATGACTCTTAATGGCTGAAGATTGTGTTTGCCTTATATTTAATCAGCTTTCGGCAAGATTCATAGTTGAACCCAGCTTATTGATTAAATATAAATAATGAAAAATTTTGTTCACTGCAATCCACAATGCAACACATCAATGGACTATTCGAAGTACAAATTAGGTTCTTGCATTCTCGAAAAATACTAAACTGATTAAACAAAAAATGTTGAATTGACATATATGTTGTATTATGTAATACAAGAGCGTTTTCTTTATATTGGGAATATGCAAATACTGGCACGAATTTTGCTGTCAATATTTTATTCGTTGCTTCCACACCTGTATCTATACTAATACGGATATGAGATATACTTAAGGATGCTAAGTATGATTACTTACAAGTATTCGATTCTTATCCGATTCCTAAATTTCCGAATCGCACAAAAAAAAAATCGCACAAAAAAAGGATCCACCAGAACCCACAGAGATTTTAGAAATAAATAAACGTAAAAGCTATCTAGCGAATTGTTTGATATATATGCATTGAAGCCTGCGTCGTCGTAGCAACTCGACATAGCCGTAAAGCATTTTGTACCTATATGTGAAGGTATTGCCACAAAACATTACACATTGCTTGCAATTCAAGTTTTAACCTTGAGAATCGATTCCAATCCATCGGAATCAATTCTAGTCGATTTCGTGAAGAATCGATTCTGTAATCGAAACCGGACTCGATTCCGCCATCCCTAGATATACTATACAGAGAATCTATATGTACCCTACATTAAGTTTTTTAAAGTTTCGAAAAATCATATTCCTGTCCACTTCCGCTACTCAGGTGCCATTAGAAATGTTAGCTTAAAACTTGGAGTGCTTGTACATACTTTGATGGATTGTTAGTAGCGAAGGCGAGATTACCTCCTGTCATATAGTTTTGTTGACAAATCTGAACAACAAATTAGTATGATTAGAATACAAATCTCCAATTCAGTGGATCTCGAAACGCTAATATTTTATTTTTGTTTAACACAGTATTTTCTAATGATCCATTCTGAACAGCTTGCACGCATACCAACAAAATAGCTCAATTACATACAATTCAAGGTCAGATAAGCTACAATACTTCGGATGCACGATATCTTGATGGCGCAATACATTGTTATAAGGTATTGTATCAATATTGCCGCTACAGTTTTGTCGACAAAGCTGAACCATTAGTATGATCAGATTACAAATCATTAATTTAGTAGATCTGACAACGTTAATATTTACTTTTGTTTAACACAGTATTTTTAATGATCTACCTTGACGGCGCAATACATCGTTATAACGTACTGTATAATTATGGGGCCTAGAGAAAGTAATGTAACTTTTCTGCTACTCAGTGAAGAGCCACAAAATGAGAAAAAACATATTTGTCATATTTTTATTATTTTTTTATTACACATTTATATATTAGCACGAAGATGTATTTTGTCTTCATCATGATAAGCTGATTGCATCTTATTCGTCTATTAAAAATGTAAAATAAATATTTGTTTTAGTTAGTACTACTGTCCCAAAGTCTGCTTGAACTAAACAAAATCAACCTTCTAACATGTGGATACGTTTATATAACTTTTTTGTTTGTTTATATTTATGCGAGTGAATGGACATGTATAATAATTTAGGTATTAACCACTCATTAGTAATAAAACCAGTAACGATGTTGAAAAGTGTACCGGTTTGCTATTCCATTTCACAGTATTGCAAGGCTTAGGTGGATAGAATGGAATGTCTTTCGCGTATGAGAAAGTTTGTCGATTGATTTCAACTTGAATTAGCTGAAAGATTTATTAAAAAATAAATACAAGCATGGCCACTTTTCAAATCACTTACTTTCTTCCATATCACTTGCTTCAAGAAAATCTGCGAATCTTTCAATTGCATCATCCATGCTGATGTCATGCTAGAAAATTTAATATGGACATAATTAAGATTTTGTATGTAATTGTACTCAGTATATTGATTAATAATTATTAATTATTATTAACAACTATTATATAGTGTAAAATTCGAAGCAAATAATATCTAGAATCTCTAGATCAATTAACAGTAGAAACCAGCATCAAGAAATTTTACCTTTTTTACTCTTCACTTAAATTTATAAATTTTCGAAATTTCATGCAAATATTTATTTTAAATACTTATTTGTCCTGATGATAACATTTTCAATTTTTTCTTTCACTCACAGAGACACTGCTTTTTGCAGTAAGAGCTGGTGTATGCTTTCCGGTAAATGGCTTATACCACCACGCATCAGCACAGTTCGTCATCGTCAATGCGATTATAAAAAATACGAGCGCTCCTCTTGTATCCATGCTTCGAGTATCTAAAACGAAATGTTACATTTGAAAAAAAATTAGGTATAATATTTTTAGAAATAATTAACACATTTATTACGATAAAGAATTCACACCAGCGTAATGTGTCGTGACTTTTTTATTATGTTCGAAACACTATAATATTTTCAGTTCTGCATATTCTATCCAATACAATACATTGTATGATTTACGCTTTGACTAAAATTGAAATCGCTGATGCCCAAATAGTTTTTGCCGCATAGCTACTAATATTCCACCACGTTTGTGAACGTCTTCCCCAGCAACATACCTGGTACTAAATTTGCTTTGAAGTTCCTTGAAGTTTATTGAAGGTCACCTTTTGCTTTATATAATTGCGCTGTAACAAGATTAGGAACAATAGTTTAGTACTTCGACATTACGTCTTATATATCTTCAAAACCTTACTTTCCAGATGTTAGATTAAACAACAGGAATGTGGGTATTTTTGAATATAGTTACGTATGCGGTTAGATTTGAATAAACTATAAACGACATATGTTACCTGATATTTACTCGTGAATATCAAATAAGCAAATATCCCGACAGAAGCACAGAAATAGCCCATTGGCAATACTGAATCCCGGATTGTACTTTACCGAAATATCGTGCGTCGCATGCACAAACGATGCGTAGTTGCTGAAGTGATTACGTCACGAGAAAAAACATATGGACTTTACTAATAGTAGGCTTTACTAATTACTTTACTAGGTTACTAATATTTTTGTTTCATTGCATCTGCTTCGTGATTTATGCAAAGTATTATTTTGATGGGACTTCAGTGTTGTATTAATTAATCTTCCACTAAATGGTTCAGTATGATTCCCAAAATAACTGAATATTATTCAACCAAAATGTGAAAACTATCTCTCAAAATTCAAAACAAATTATTTTAATAATAATGGTAAAATAAGATTCTTCACTTATTTATCAAAACTGATAATTTTTACATAAAGCACCCTGCCGAATGGCATTGAATACGGATCACAGCCAAAACAGATTTTTTTTCTCAAAATTCGAAATATGAAAGAGCGGGATAGGAATAAAATTTTGCAAAAAAAAATTATGACGTTGGATATGATTCTTTAATAAGCAGTATGATTCAGTATTTATATTATGCAAATTAATATATTTGTATACTCTTGATTATAAAAATCAATTGTGCACGGAGTTACTGTCGGCTAAAAGTTTTTCATTTTAATACTCAATTTTGTAGTAGTTCAATTCGTTTAAATAAATGTAAAAATTGAATTTGAAATAATAAAAGTTTACAAATAAGATTAAACTAAATAAGACGTAAGCTAGAGAAGAAAAATATATTTTTCTAACACGTCTAATTTTTGTTGCAAATGAAGGATATGACTATAAAATAAAAATATGTATTGTTCGAAATGCACAAACAAAAAAAAAAACTTGAATTAAATTACTTATGCTGTCGTTTTTCATTACTTTAAGTTTTGCAAGTTTATACATAGTTAACTAAATAATGGGTGATCATTCATTCGTTCAGTGAATCATTTTAAATCGTGTTTAGGTAATGTCATTCCAGTTCACGCAAGTTGAAAAACGTGAAGTGAATAATTATGTCTTAAATAAGATCAATATGTGAAAATATATACAGCTTGATGTAAAACGTTCATCAATTTTATTTCAGCATTTGTAAATTTAGCCCTTTGAAGTTGTTTTCGTGTTGAAGCAATATGTTGCTATTTAGGTGGTCATCACGCTATTGGGACATACTTTGATTTTTCGATGTAATCGTACTTGCTTATACGAATTATTTTGAGAGAACGGCCACGCGAGTTCACCACGTACAGGAAAGGATTTCAAAACTTATTGAGGTCATGAGAGTTGTTGCATTTAGGTATTTTTGAAGTTGAGCACTTCGAAAGTGTATTGATGAATTGTTTTAATAATATATTTTCGTTTTACTTGAGATTACAGTTTTTTTACTGCTTTTCTCTGCAATAAAAGGAATGAAATATAAATTCCAAAATTTTAATACTTAGAGATGTTTCAAGCCTCTAAGTCTAGAATGATATTAATTTTATTTTCTTCAAATTTTGACCATTCTTTCATTCTGCCCATATATTTAAACATGACTCTTTCGTGAAAAACAAATTGGCTCGGTATATCAATAATTGATTTATCTACTATAGCAGTGGTTCCCAACCTTTTTATTTTGCGACCCCAATTTTCATGAAATCAAAGCCTACAAACACTCGCGACCCCACAAGTAGAAACGTTCAGCAACTTCAAAATTTAGTATATCAGTTTAATTATCTCAATGGGAACAAGATAACAACTGCATGTGGACGTTGACGGTAAACATTTTCCCAAAAAACATACGAACGAGTCCGACAATGCCCCGGGTAATTGGGGAAACCTCAGAATATTTGATAACACATGGCAGCGCATGAAAACCACGGTGTAAAAATCTGTTAGATTATAATTAAAACGGTACTTTGGCAAAATATACACGAACTTGATAAAAGGTTCTAGATTGTAAGGAACAATAGTAAGATTGCTTCTGAACATAAATTTGAAATCCTATTTAGTACCTATATTCCAACAGTGTCTTTTTTATTTTTAATTCAATATCAACATATTACAGATTGCTCCATTATTAATTCGAAAGTAAAACAGAGCATGAGAGTAAAATAGGAAAAAAACGTGTACGGGATCACATCATTTAATGGCCTTTTATAATGCTAGCTCGAAACGTTTAAAAATTATTTATGAAACGTCTAAATATATAATATTGCAATGAGGCGATGTGGACGAAAACACGAAGCATACTCGGAGATTTTAGACACGCGCGCGATTTAACAAAGCACTTTCGCAAATGATCGAAGCCTGAAGTGTGATTTCTCGCACACCGCCTGGCAATCAATGCCATACTTGCCAAACACCTAATTAAGGGCCAGTCGCCAAATCAAGCGAAGCTGCTTTGTATATTCGATAACCAAGCGGCTACACTGGTACAAAATAACAAACCAACATAATTTCTCGCAGCCTGGCACAAAATCCGGTACGCGTACCTGCGGGCGGGACACTGGCTTAGCCTGCAGTTGCTCGTGAATGAAAAGATGATACCGAACGCCACTCACTCATTCGGATGTAACATGATCAAAAAAGCTATAAAAAGGAAATATTATTGGCGCTCGTAAAACTCTTACAAAATTACATTTACTGATACCTACCACATGAATGTTTTACCGAGCGATTTTGACGCCCTTTGGACTATAAAAGGTCGAGTTATTGATGAAAACAAGGTCATTTTATCCGAAGTTAGGCACTTTTCCGGTACCTGCCGACTATCACCAATTTCACTTTCCAACTTTCAAATTCAAGTCATTTGTGTGCGCATATTTGACAGAAATTGGGCGACCCCGGAAAATCTTCACGCGACCCCACTCGGGGTCGCGACCCACAGTTTGGGAACCACTGTACTATAGAACGCTGAGACGTTCAGTCGGTTCTTCAGGTAAACATGACACACTTTTGACAGACACTGTTGCTATGTATTCATTTCTTTTGCATCTTTTTTAAATAAAATTTCACAAATGATAAAATTATTTTTAACTGTGAAAATATTTGTGAGAGGAAATTGTACGCTATTCTATTTTTAAACTGAATACCATACTCCGACACAGCCAAAAGGTATGGAATGACTACTAACTATAACTATAATTGTTCTATAATTACTTGGAATATTGATAGATTTGGTAATTTTATATTAAGCAAAGGGCTATCTTTAACGCCCCGCGTTTGAGTAAAAATATCACATGTTCATATGCTCTGTATAAGTACGTTTTTTTTTTTGATTTTTGAAGTAGCTCTTTCAACAAATTAAAAAACACGAGGTATCGTCTTCAAATCTATTCAGCACATTTTATTCTTTGGATTTAAGAAGGCCGTGCAGCGCACGTGCCATTGCTTTTTCAATCTTTCCATCATCCCTGGAAACCTTTATGTAGTCATCATTAGTCATGGAATTGAATTCCTCTGTAAAAATTGAAGCATTTGAAAATTCTACTGGATTAAAATTTATTATAAATGAACTCAGTAGGTTGTAAACAACTTGCTTCTTTAACATTAAAGCAAATGAATAAACATGCATCAACATTCTAAATGCTAGTATTTCCTCTTAAAACTTTGTCTGTCATTGACAAATCGTTCGAATTTAGGTGTGTCCCACATAAAAATTAAATTATTCTTTTGCGTATTCTTGCTGAAAAATTTTCTCATAGTATCAGCGACAATACCATAGACTTTCGGGTCAAATTTGGAGATTTGCGTAACCTTTAAATATTAAACTTTAAATTTGAGCGAGTTGAAATTTTTTTCAAATTATTTCCTCGAGTCTGCCGATCTTCAATTTGTGAAAAGATGTGCGTAATATCTTAATGTACCAAAATTAAATTTGTTTAATTTACCGTCACTCAAATATCGTGCTTCAACAAGCATATCCAAGAACCGATCAGTTTTCATTTTGCCGAAATCTCTTTCTAGTTTTTCTTGCGCCTCCTCCAAGAAGCTGTCGAACTCCATATCGCTCTGAAGTTGAATATGTAGGTAAATATTTCTTATAATGGGTAAAACTTCGTATATTTTCAACAAAAAGTCTTGGTAAAGTTACGTTATTATGTTTTTGCGCAAATTGAAAAATAAAATTATGTGTGATTGGATTGGAAGTATTTATTAATTTCACTGTACTTCACAAAATTTGTTACGATTCAGTATTCTTCCTCTTTCAAAACTAAATTCTATTTACGCTGGAAGGTGATTTTAAAGTAAGGCATGCGGCTTTAGGGTCAGTTAGTTGAATGCCTCATAATCTAGAACGTTACAAACGTTTACAAATATTCATAAATTTTGATTTTACATGGTACAAGCTTATCATGGCAAGGTGTAATATGTGTCTTGTTATATGTAAGTGATCAATACTGCCAACAAAATGAAAAGTATGTTTTTAAAGAACTAACGTATATGAAATCATGCTGAAAAAATTTCAATGGTTACCATTTTTCTCAGTAAACGGATGTTGTCTCCAAACCACCAATTAACAAGTTTGGCTGCGCCATGTACGACTCTGAAAATTCACAAATTTTTAAAACATTTTTTGTGCTATTACATCTACATATGCATTTTCGGAATAGATGGCATCAAAAATAATTGCCTATAGTGAATATTCGACCCATTGTTCCATATTCCAGTTGACGAAATCACGAGTCATGATAATTAGTACTATAGTGCTATAGCAATAAACTTCAAACAACTTTTTCAAAACATATCAAAATTTAATTAACACGTCTAATTTCGAACCATCGTTTTCTTAATTTACACCAGCAAATTCCAATTAACTTTGATTAACTTTGGATACTATACCCGTGTCAAACAATCAACCATGAGCGATTGAATAAAGCAAAACAACAAAACAATTTCGCCAAAGCACCCTGAAAGTTTCCCGATTGGTAATATCTAGAGGTGAAATGGGATTTCTCATGAAAGTATCCCTATTTTCAAAAAATGTTTAAAAAAGACAAAAAAGATTAGAAGATTTGGCTTTAAGATAGTAAGATAAAGATAGAGAAGATAATGGCTCTGCGTTATCTGGCTATTGTTTAGCCGTTTTTTTTTTGTAAGTTTTCAATACTCTTAGAATGGCCAGGCATGATATGATTAGACGATCATAATGACAGGCAGTGTAGATTCCCATTGCTTCCAATAAAACCAAGTCTTCGCATCAGTTTGTATATATTCTCATTGCCTACCATGAAATATTTCCAAAATCACTAATATTGCGGGTATAGGATAAATTTGGTATGTGTTTTATTGAGAGATTGAAATAAAGCAAATATCTTACTTTGTCAACCAACCGTGTGTTTCGTGAACGGCCATCATCGCAATCAGCACCACTAAAACAGTAATTGTTGCCTTCATCTCGCTTTCAAGAATCACAACTATAATAAAAATAATATTTGAAAAAATTACAGAAATCAACAGTGACAGCATTCTTAATCTGATAAATTTTGGATATTTTTTACAATAAACAAGTAGTATAAAACTTGAAGAATGTGAACCGCGGACTTCAAACAAAAATAACAAACTATTGCTAGTGTTGTAAGCAAAAAATAAATATTTATTCGTTCTCACATGCGTTTAAATCGTTTATATGGCAACATGATAAAAAAGACAGACTTTCAATCGTCTGAACTTATCGCACACATTTACAGCAACAATATAAAATACCGACCTTTCTTCTTTGCTGCAATGAAAAATTACAAGTGCTAATGACAACAACTAGTCGACAATTTATAGATTTGGGTCTGTACAGGATATCCTCACTTATGCTAATAAATTTGTTTACTATTTTAATGCATTAAAAATGAATTATGTTGGCTTGAATCAAATATTCACAGCATATGGTTTTATACCACCATACACTAATTTCCGTTAAGCAGTAAAAGGAATATTATCAAAATATCATATTGCTCATATTTTAATTCAATAGAGTGGTGGAATGGTTTTAAATATAATAAGCACTTTGATCATTATTTATCAACCATAGCACGGAAGCTTACTGTGCTCATATATCTGAATAACTGATAAAGGAATATTTTAGTATAATCAGTATCAAGTATAACGATAATTTACTTGAAATTCTAATGACAAAATTTGCAAACAATAGATGAATCAAAGTGAAACGCACTTTTTATAGAACAAAATGCATTTTTATTTGAAATAAGTTTGCATTTCATGCAAAGTCTTATTTATGTTAAGAAAGATAAAGAACTTCAAAGGATGTTTTTAGCCTTATATTTATATTGTTTTTAAATGTTGACTTGTCCTATCCATGTCCTAATTGCTGGCCAGGAGTCTTTAAACCTACCTGACCAACTCATATTTACCCATCTACATATTTGAATATCTGGTTAAACTGCTGAATTCGAATTAAATCCCTATTGGTGCTCAATCCATAAGTCAGCGTATTCATTTTACAAATATGGATATATTCGATAAATAACAAATAAATTACTTATTTTCAATCAACACTTGAAAACATTTGACTTGTGACGCGGGAATAAAGTCACTCTAATTAACCTTGGACTCGAACTCAAAATTTTCGGCGACGGATGTTTTGAAAATGAAGATTTAAGTTTTGAAATGTATTGCCAAACAGATTCAACTAATGTTGATAGGTGTTTACTTGTCGTTGATCTACAAAAATCGTAGGAAAAAATATTTGATGGGCAGGAGAATAAAAACCTCGGTCCTACAGAGGCACGTTTGTCCCTCATTATTATCTATCACGACATCTTTGGTCATGTATTGTAGAAGACACTTTTGAGTATATTTACTACACATTACAAAAATTTACTATAAAATAGCCGATGCCAAAATTTCCCCGTGATTAGGACAATATAACAAATACACTGACTACTTGTACGATTCCTGATGAAATACAAACGTTCACTACATTTCCAAATGCAGGAACGTTGGCAACATATTTCCCGCAGTAGAGGAAAAGTATTCATTCAAGTGAGAATTTTCCACAAAATTTAGATGAAGTTGGAGATATTATGGAATTCCCCATTTTCAATATTTTATTTTCGTTATTATTGTCCAGCCACCAAGCCATTTAAGCTACGCCGTTACAAAACCCACAAGTGAGGAAAGCATAATCATTAAATTTATTTTACTGTCGGTGACTCTGAAAAACCGACGATAATTTGTGGAAAGACATTTGTCAAAGCACTCTGCTTTGTGCTTTGAAAAGAATAAAATTTCCGGTTCTATATTATATTCTGACACTATACTTAGAGTTTAGGTTTATGGACGGGATATGATTTGAAAATACAATATGACTAATCTAAATACCAGAAACGAATTCATGGGAACGCACGTTTCATGCAAACAATGTATCGCACCTTAGTTGGTGTTATTCGGTTTTATCGAATTTATTTAACATTTACTCCCAAATCGGCCCGGAAGTAACGAAATATAATTTTGTTCTATTTTTTTTTTAGGACTTTTGTTATCAGTTGGCACTGATATCTCACGCATAACATGTGATACTTACATTTGAAAAAAAAACGGAATCTTCCCAGTTGGGCGTTTTTTACACTCAATTTATACAATAGCCGAGATGTGTTTTTTGCAGTGCCAACACGATCACGTCCGAATGCTTTGTCCGCTATGACATCGAGTAAGTCATAAGTTAGATTCGAATTTTTTGTCCAAACTTTCAAATGTAGTCAAAATATCATTTGTTTGTTCAGATCCGACCTAAAAACCAGCATATTCTATTATATTCTATTGCAGGAAAGTATTTTGGGGAGATTTTGTACGAAAAATCTATCTGCTTTGAATATACATTATCTAATAATCTTTTGCGACTTTTCCAAGATATGATACGAAATTTCTTAATGTTATACTTTAAATATTTATGGCCTACTCAGTCTAAGCGGTGCAGAGACACAAGTAATTCATTTTTTCGATGCCAAAACGAGATCCCACAGTAACCAACCTGTACGTGCCCATTTAACGACGTAAATGAAAAGACTCAATATTCCAATTATAAAAATTAAGTTTTATTTTCAGAATTACCCACACAGTTTCGTGTAAATTTTATTAATTATTCAACTAATTTATGCTATAATTACGTTTGATATTTCTTTAGAATTCTTAATGATTTAAGAAAGATGTCCGTTAGAGAGGTATTGAGAAATCATAAATGCAATATGTCATCAAGTCGGAAGACTTGAAAAAGAAAAAGTACAGGAGTATTTTTTATGTAAAAAGATCACATCCAGTAATACAGTAATAGAGAGTTGTCTGCTACCGAGTATAAGAGTTCTTTTTTTCTAAATCATCGTTCAATGTATTATAATATTATGAGTTAAAGCAATTTTCCGAGCATTTGGTTGAAAGAATCCATCATTTCCACGTCTTCTTTTCTCATGCCATTCGACACCATTCTGTAGTCATCCACAGTCAGCGAAAAGAATTCATCTGTTTGAACCACACAAAAAACATTATTTCTACTAAACACATTTTAAAGGTGATTTTTTATTCTATTATTTTCAATCAGAGTAAACAAAATAACCAACCGTCACTGAGATTTCGTGCACTGACAACCATATCTAGAAATGGTTTGGTCTTTATTTCTCCGAAATCTGCTTCCAAGCTTTGTTTCACGTCTTGAAGAATTTGTTCAAATTCAAAGTCATCCTAAACGAAAAAGAATTAAGCTGCAGCTGCCATGATTTAAAAAATACAAAATGGTAATGCTGAAATGAGTGAATGAAAAGGTCGCAGTTTCGGCACGGTATAGCAAGCATTAAATATTAACCATTTTAATACAATAACACAAATAGGCTCAGTTTTGAGTTTGATTAAAAAATCGAATGAGTTAGAACCGTGATTAAACTGCATTAATTGGGGCATTAATTGGGGGTAATATGCGTGTATTTTTTTCTAAATACACTTTTGTAAATAATTAATGTCAAACATCAAAATATAAACGAACATATTTGCCGGAAAAGAGATTTTTTTTCAAATGAATCTTAAAATATTACCATGTCTCTCAAAAGGCGAATATTGTCCCATAAACTTATAGCCTTCGCCCCTATTCCAACCACAGCTTTTGTAATTCTGTAAATAAACATTGGTTATTTACGTAAAAAGAAAATTCTCATTTTAGACCAAATTTTATATTTCATGTCCATTGTGGTATCATATATCAAAGCATATTCCTTGTTATGAATGAAAAATAAAACAGATTGGAAGACCAAATACACAATTTAAAAGTAAAAACAGTAAAAATAACATACGGATGGCGAATAGCTTTCTTTGTCCAATTCCATGCTCTTCCCCACCAGCCAGAATCTGTATTTTCCACAGCCAGTACAGTAATAAATATTACGAGAAGAGTTGTCGCTGCTTTCATGATTCAATAATATGCTTTATACATAGATACAAGCAAACACGGTAGAAGACTTTAGATGTATGAGAACACAAATGCTATAGCTGTTGAGAAATGTTATTTCGTCTTGGTGTTAACATGCATTCGTAAAAAAAAAACGAACTTGTGATATATGATATTAACTGAATAATTCCAACATAATTTGGTCAGCCGGAACGTTACAGAAATATGTTTATATTAGTGTGCAGCGAGACTCTTGGATAAATATATTCAATCTTGCTGTAGCATCCTTGTATCATAATATGCATATGAAACCACCGTCACAAAAGCATAGAAGAGTGTAGTAGTTAGTCCCACAGAAACCAAACCATGGCGCAAGGTAGAATTTTCCGTTTTTGTATTCGTGCCATGCTTTATTATTACGATATCATGTACATAATACTTATTATGAACGTTTAAAAAGTATATATTGAATAAATCTATTTTATTTTAGATATGTATTTAAATAAAATTCTCAAATAGTTCCCAACCGAACATTAAAATGTAATGAACCCCTTCTGTGCTTTCAGCAATTTAGCATAAAACCATTTGTCACTATGCATTGAGTTACGAATAGGTTGAGAAACACGAACATGCTTACTTATAGAGCCTGGAACATGGGAAAGTACGGAATCGGAAAGGTCAGGGGGGAACATCCTGAATTTGCATATAAATATTTATTACTGACACTAAATATGATACGAAAAGTTGCACCATTGACGAAATACAAAAGATAGCGAAGGTACTTCCGTGACTTCAATAAATAGCGTTGCTTACAAAATATTGTTGATTTTGCAGCTTTCGTTTCATTCAACGCGGGAGTAGATTTGGTGATAATCCCAGTATTATGTCCCAATGAATGTATAATGAATAGTAAATTTAAACAAATATTTTTAATTTTAAAAACATCATACTGTAGCAGGCATGATTACAATTCTTATTCAAGAAACTTGGCTTTGTATATTAGTAGCAGTATTTTTATTAAACGACAAACCGCACTGCTGTTAACCTCAAAGGGTTCACTTAATCGATTGTTTGGACGGTTTATTAAATTTTCATATTAGCTGTATTACGGGTGAACGCATTCTTCGTTCCTCATCAAGTTAGAAAACTTAAGGATCGCCTTTAATTATGGAGATATATTTATGTGTACGATGATGATGTATAAAGAATTCGAATCTGAGACAATAGAACAATGGAAACACTTTCTAACGAAACAATAAACTGAAGCAAATACAGAACCTCACTTTCATAAAGCTTTTAGGTATTGTCTTGCGAGAGTAATATCCTACAGGTGCCATATGGCCTATCAGCAACATGCAAATGTGAACGGCATTTTCCGCCATATGTTGCGGGTATTCTCTGATTTTACGTCAATATGTAATCCATTATTGCTGATCATTTTGATATTCTTAGAGGTCCCGGTAATATAGATTGTGTTTCTGTATAATGTATATTTTCACGAACTAAGATTCTCGCCACACCGGCGACGCCTACTTTTATGAACTCATGTCATTGATCGAAATCTAAATGTTCTCGAAATCTCGTTGTCCTAACATAATTGTTTGATAATGTTAGCTCCAATTTATCAATGTCTAGAAAATTAATATTTTCTAGTAGCACTAAAAATTATATTAAATAATGTTTCCTCATTCGTGATTTGTTAAATTTTGAAAATACTTGAATAACTGTGTCCTTCAACTGAAAACTTTTATTTGCACAGTATCTTCACTTAACTTAATTATCATATGACCAAGAATATTCCTAATATCAAATATTTAATCAACAATGGAAGTTTGTTCCTGAAAATGAATAAAAATTACCAATAGCAATCATATTGTTTCTGGTGATAAAGAGGACAAGTATATTCTTATAAAAAAGACAAGAGAGCGATGCCCAACTATAAGTATACCATAGCTAAAACGAAGTAGTGAGGGTATGCAATCTTTCCCAGTAGACGACCGGTACCGCAATCGCCTGACCACTGAAAAGAACGCGGAACCGCCACATGGTGCGCAATTTGTATTTTTATTACGTCATTGCATAAAACAAAACGAATCGCATGGAGCTCATAGTGATTTCTGGTATAAATAAACGTCATAGCCTTCTAGTGAAAAAGACAATCTTTCACCACTCAAAGTTTCCCAGTAATTGGTCCACTAGTTAAAGAGAAATACGCCAAATGTCTATTTGCAAACTGACTGAATTTTAGAATTGTGCAATTACACAAGTACGTTCTGTCGTGGGTATTTCGTTTCAATTCATTTACTGAAAATTATGCTAATTCTGTAATATCTTGCATATATTGAAAATATTTAGAAGATCGCCATTGACTTCATTAATGCAATGAATTATTTTTCAATATGTCATGTGTCGCAACGTTACATTTAAAAAAAGCTTAATATACTTTTATTTTACTGTGCTATTTTTGCTTTTATCGAATAGAAGACCAATGTTTTTTGAGTAGTGACGAGTATTTTTTGCAAGATATAGACAACTTTTTCTCTTATTTTATAACTTATTTTTTAGTACCTTTGTATTAGGTAAAAGTAAAATTTGTTTTCAATAATCAAAATTGACAAAGTTGCTTAAGATATTGGCCGGAAAAAAATTCATGTTTTGAATATATATTATGCCAGCGTTTCTCAAACTGTGTGCTCGACACACTAGTGTGCCGTGATAGATTCTCAAGTGTGCCGCGAAGCTTTTTGGAATTTTAGAAAATATGCTATTTGTATTACACATAGGCATCCATGCAGCGGGCAAGCTTGTGAGACCTGAGTATCCATAATTAATTAGACTGACAATATTATAGCATTTGCCTTGTCGTTGTAGTAAGGGGATTGTTTTGGTATACGGTAATTGTATTGTGATGTCATAATGTTTTGTAACATGATGTCCACCTTCCACCGTGCTGAACTGCTGACTTGCGCGTTCAGTTAGGCAACAGGAAAGCAAGTTCTGGCTATCTGCTTACAAATTATATTCAATCATCGGTGCAAAGGTCATCAAAAGAATCTAGCCATCCTGCCATTTGCATCTCCATGGCTCTGTTAACGCGTATTTTATGCTCTGACTGAAATTGAAAGCAAAAAAGGGGCGACGGAACCTCGTTTCTATTGTTTCTCAAAACAGGCACACACATTATTTGTAGAATAATTTGTTCAAGTCCCACATTTTTTGACAAGTGTGCCGCAAGATTTTTTTATTTGCTCAGTGCGCCGCGAGCAAAAATAGTTTGAGAACCACTGTATTATGCGCTTATCCAAATAAGGAATAATGCTATTTCTTCGCAGCAAATATCTCAAAGACAATATTATTTAGAGTTGGGAGGACATGACAGCGTGGCAATAGTCACGATTTGCTCATGACTCAATCCCACTTTAAACATGTACTCTCAAATCGCACCTAACCCGACGAAATGAAAATTTCTCGAATTTTCCTCGAATTCCTCAACACATTTACAGTGCAATATAAAATACCGACCTTTCTTCTTCGCTGCAATGAAAAATTACAAGTGCTGACGACAACAACTAGTCGACAATTTATAGATTTGGGTCTGCGCAGGATATCCCCATTTATGCTAATAAATTTGCTTACTGTTTGAATGCATTAAATGAATCAATGAATCAATCAATTGAATAAATCAAATATTCACAGCATATGATTTCAAACACTAATTTCCATTAAGCAGTAAAAGGAATATTATCAAAATATCATATTGCTCATATTTTAATTCAATAGAGTGGTGGAATGGTTTTGAATATAATAAGCACTTTGATCATTATTCAGCAACCCTAGCACGGAAGCTTACAGTGCGCATACATCTGAATAACTTATAAGTGAATATTTTAGTAAAATCAGTATCGAGTACAACGATAATTTACTTAAAATTCTAATGACAAAATTTGCAAACAATAGATGAATCAAAGTGAAACGCACTTTTTATAGAACAAAATGCATTTTTATTTGAAATAAGTTTGCATTTCATGCAAAGTCTTATTTAGGTTAAGAAAGATAAAGTACTTCAAAGGATGTTTTTAGCCTTGTATTTATATTGTTTTTAAATGTTGACTTGTCCTATCTATGTCCTAATTGCTGGCCAGGATTCATCTTTGAGTCCTTCAACCTACCTGACCAACTCAGATTTACCAATCTACATATTTGAATATCTGGTTAAACGGCTGAATTCGAATTAAATCCCTATTGGTGCTCAATCCATAAGTCAGCATATTCATTTTACAAATATGGATATATTCGATAAATAACAAATAAAATACTTATTTTCAATCAACAATTGAAAACATTTGACTTGTGGCGCGGGAATAAAGTGACTCGGACTCAAACTCAAAATTTTCGGCGACGGATGTTTTGAAAATGAAGATTTAAGTTTTGAAATGCCTTGCCAAACAGATCCAACTAATGTCGATAGGTGTTTACTTGTCGTTGATCTACGAAAAGCGTGAGAAAAAATATTTGATGGACAGGAGAATAAAAACCTCGGTCATACAGAGGCACGTTTGTCCCTCATTATTATCTATCCCGGCATCTTTTGTCATGTATTGTAGAAGACACTTTTGAGTTTATTCACTACACATTACAAAAGTTTACTATAAAATAGTCGATGCCAAAATTTCCCCGTGATTAGGACAATATAACAAATACACTGACTACTTGTACGATTTCTGATGAAATACAAACGTTCACTACATTTCCAAAAGCAGGAACGTTGGCAACATATTTCCCGCAGTAGAGGAAAAGTATTCATTCAAGTGAGAATTTTCCACAAAAATTGGATGAAGTTGGAGATATTACGGAATTCCCTATTTTCGATATCTTATTTTCGTTATTATTGTCCAGCCACTGAGCCATTTAAGCTACGCCGTTACGAAACCCAAAGTGAGGAAAGCATAATCATTTAATTTATTTTACTGTCGGTGACTCTGAAAAACTTCCGATGATAATTTGTGGAAAGACATTTGTCAAAGCACTCTGCTTTGTTCTTTGAAAAGAATAAAATTTCCGATTCTATATTATATTCTGACACCATACTTAGGGTTTAGGTTTATGGGCGGGATATGATTTGAAAATACATTATGACTAATCTAAATACCAGAAACGAATTTATGAGAACGCACGTTTCAGGCAAACAATGTATCGCACTTTAGTCGGTGGTATTCAGTTTTATCGAATTTATTTAATATTTACTCCCAAATCGGCCCTGAAGTAACGAAATAAAATTTTGTTCTATTTTTTTAGGACTTTTGTTATCAGTTGGCACTGATATCTCACGCATAACATGTGGTACTTACATTTGAAAAAAAACGAAATCTTATAAATTGGGCGTTTTTTACACTCAATTTATACACTAGCCGAGATGTGTTATTTGCAGTGCCAACACGATTACGTCCGAATGCTTTGTCCGCTGTGACATCGAGTAAGTCATAAATTAGATTCGAATTTTCTGAAAAGTTCCAACTTTCAAATGTAGTCAAAATATCATTTGTTTGTTCAGATCCGACATAAAAACCAGCATATTCTATTATATTCTATTGGAAGAAAGTATTTTGGGGAGATTTTGTACGAAAAATCTATCTGCTTTGAATATACATTATCTAATAATCTTTTGCGACTTTTCCAAGATATGATACGAAATTTCTTAATATTATACTTTAAATATTTATGGCCTACTCAGTCTAAGCGGTGCAAAGACACAGGTAATTCATTTTTTCGATGCCAAAACGAGATCCCACAGTAACCAACCTGTACGTGCCCATTTAACGACGTAAATGAAAAGACTCAATATTCCAATTATAAAAATTAAGTTTTATTTTCAGAATTACCCACACAATTTTGTTGTAAATTTTATTAATAATTCAACTAATTAATGCTATAATTACGTTTGATATTTCTTTAGAATTCTTAATGATCTAAGAAAGATGTCCGTTAGAGAGGTATTGAGAAATCATAAATGCAATATGTTATCCAGTCGGAAGACTTGAAAAAGAAAAAGTACAGAAGTATTTTTTATGTAAAAAGATCACATCCAGTAATACAGTAATAGAGAGTTGTCTGCTACCGAGTATAAGAGTTCTTTTTTTCTAAATCATCGTTTAATGTATTATAATATGAGTTAAAGCAATTTTTCAAGCATTTGGTTGAAAGAATCCATCATCTCCACGTCTTCTTTTCTCATGCCATTCGACACCATTCTGTAGTCATTCACAGTCAGCGAAAAGAATTCATCTGTTTGAACCACAAAAAAAACATTATTTCTACTAAACACATTTTAAAGGTGATTTTTTATTCTATTATTTTCAATCAGAGTAAACAAACCAACCGTCACTGAGATTTCGTGCACTGACAACCATATCTAGAAATGGTTTGGTCTTTATTTTTCCGAAATCTGCTTCCAAGCTTTGTTTCACGTCTTGAAGAATTTGTTCAAATTCAAAGTCATCCTAAACGAAAAAGAATTAAGCTGCAGCTGCCATGATTTAAAAAAGACAAAATGGTAATGCTGAAATGTGTGAATGAAAAGGTCGCAGTTTCGGCACGGTATAGCAAGCATTACATTGTAACCATTTTAATACAATAACACAAATAGGCTCAGTTTTGAATTTGATTAAAAAATCGAATGAGTTAGAACCGTGATTAAACTGCATTAATTGGGGGTATCGTGCGTGTATTTTTTTCTAAATACACTTTTGTAAATAAATAATGTCAAACATCAAAATATAAACGAACACATTTGCTGGAAAACAGAATTTTTTTCCAAATGAATTTTAAAATATTACCATGTCTCTCAAGAGGTGAATATTGTCCCATAATAAACTTGCAGCCTTCGCCCCTATTCCAACCACAGCTTTTGTAATTCTGTAAATATACATTGGTTATTTACGTAAAATGAAAACCCTCATTTTAGACCAAATTTTATATTTCATGTCCATTGTGGTATCATATATCAAAGCATATTCCTTGTTAATGAATGGAAAATAAAACAGATTGGAAGACAACCAATACACAATCTAAAAGTAAAAACTTACTTACGGATGACGAACAGCCTTTTTTGTCCAAGTCCATGCCTTCCCCCACCAACCAGCGTCTGTATTTTCTACAACTAGTACAGTGATGAATATTACAAGAAGAGCTGTCACTGGTTTCATAATTCAATTTTATGCTTCATATAGACATGAAAAATCTATACAGTTTTAGATGGATGACAACACAGATGAAGAGATTATATTTCATCTTGGTGTTAATATGAATTTGTAAACAACAAATGGACTAGTGATATATTGAATTAATTTGATAATGTCATACTGCTCTAATTTTAGTTTCATATTGTCCCGACTATCTACAGAATACTTACTATAAATGGTTCAAAATCTTACACGAACACAACCGATTTTAGCTGAAATATTTTTATTTATGTCTCAAATTGTTTAACGTCCAGCAACGTAACTCTTCGCGAGTACGTTAAAATGACTTGCTACCCCTTTTGGGCGTTCATCAATAAAACAAAAAACATTTCTGTCACTTTGTACTGAGTGAAGAATGGATGGATGAACACGATATGCTTACTTATAAAGCTTGTAACAAAGGAAAGTCTATAATGGGAAAGGTCGGAAAAGCACGACATAAATTTTCCTTCAGTTAATTTATTTTGATCATACATATGATACAAAAATTTTGCGCCATTTATTGCAAAAATTGCCGAATGTGTATCCTTGTCTTCAACCACTATCGTTAGACATAAAGCATTATTTGCTGACAACGTTGTTACATTTAGTATAAATGAAGATAGATTTAATGAAAACCCAGACATGACAATGTGTAAATGATAAATGGGTAGTTCAAAAATGATTATTTGAAAACATCATATCACAACCATCATGATAATTTTATTAAGTTTCTTTTTTATATAACGGACAGCAATTGATTTTCAAAAAATGTACCTTAACCACAAAGCTTACAACCGCTCTACTATTGATCGGTTTACCATAAAAAAGTAAATTTACCGAATTGTTGAAACTGTTTATCAAATTTTTATATTGTTGCATTATGTGTGGATGTTTTATCGGACCAGAAAACCTAATATGCACGAAAACACAATCAAATTGCATTGTCTCGAAAGTGAAGAAGGATTCATTACCATCGTATAAGTTAAAAATATATTTATATTCAAGTTAGCTATATCATTGACGCATAAACTCTATGATGAAGCATTATGCATTCAAATTTAACACAATAACGATGGAAACACGTTAAATGAAAAATAAACTAAAGCAAATAACAAACATTATCTTTACAAATTATCAAGCTTTTAGGCTATTTTAATACGGAAGCAATATCTTACACGTACCATAAGGTCATTCAATAGTATTCAAATGTAAACTGCATTTTCCGCCAGATGTTGTACATATTCAATGAATTTACATTGTGGTGTAACTCAGTACTACCTTAAATTTTAAATTTAGGTCCACACATAATTTTCTGAAAATCACAAAAATTCAGCAAACAAGTTAGAAATAAATAGTTCGTAGTATTCCTCCCATATGTAATCTATTTCAGTATTTTTAAACGCTGTACGTTCTAATAAATAAGCGACTAAATTGTAGGTCCACCTATTGTGACTTCATGTGATTTATTGGAATATTCCTATGCATCGAATGATCGTGAGTTCGTTATGAACGTTCACACCATGTGAGATGCTCGATTCAACAAATTAATTAGCGCAAAGATTCAAATGCATAATGAAATTCATGGTCAAACTTTCATAGGTATATAAGATATATTTGGTCGCATACTTTTCAGAATGTATTGACAAAACGGTGATGCCTTCCATCCTGAGTATTAAATAAGTTATTCAGTGAATACTGGCATCAAATATTCGCGAAAAAGTCATGCTTTTGTAACTATTCACATTCACATTTTGAACCAATCCTAATGCTGGATTATTTTGTAAAAAAAATGCATATTCCAATCGTTTTGTACAAAATAATGAGATTGCTAATTACATTAATCAACACTCAACATTTTAAATGGTGCAATTTCCCTTCTATTATATAAGAAAAAATAAAGAGTAATAAAACCAGTGGATCATGATATTGAGATCATTTACAGTTATCACGACGGTCTGCATTTTTTCGACACACCAAACCCGGTACGATTTTGCAAAAGTTATTTTTTTTTTTAATTCATCTATTTAAAAGAATTTTTTGAACAGGAAAATTTCTTGGTAATATGAAATTAACGTTGTGTTGTGTAATATATCTCCTAAAGATTACGAGTTCTTATATACACTTACAAATTTTTCAAACACGTAGGTTAAATAGTACATATGTTTGTACATATCGAATAAAACGCAAATTAGAATGGGGAATAAATAAATTTATGGAGTTTCCAGGGATATTTTTTTACTACTTTGCCAGTACTAAATGCAAAACACAATAGCACCGAGAAATTTTACAGCAGAATATTTCCACATTTGTTTTTTGTTCAATTTTGATTGTATTTAAATGAGTGTGCACGTAAACTAAAATCTTTTCTTTCCGCAATAGGTTCAGTAAAATTTTGTTTGACTCAGAACATGATTGATGGCGAATAAAATTTACTTAACAATGAATTGTGTTGATGAAAATTCACAAATAAAATTTACATAGTCAAATATAACAAACCTATTGTTTGGATACGACCATATGTTGCGTGGTGGTGATCATTATTATTTGCATGTTTACAGAAAAGAAGATAAAAATTCCATACGAGATAAAAAAGAATTCCGTGGAAATTACTTCCGTGAAAATGGAGCAAATACTTGGATTTTGTTAACCCTTGGACTACTGTTTGTGCATGATTACAACCCAAATTTTCATGAATGTAGGTCCTAGGACGTTTTGCACAAATGTTATGTTATCTCAAGAGCCTGAATTTGTCAATCACCCACTCAGATTTCTGCTAAATCGCACATTCTACTGTATGAGCATGTCAATAGCAAAAATATTGCTTACCTGGGTACAACACCTCCGAGAAAAGTCTTACAGCGAATATTATATCATATAAAGTGCGCAGCGTTGGTAACCATTGCCCAACATTGCATAACCGTTCCGTATTGGTTTAAAGACGAAAATCACGCGGTGAATATGGAACATTATGTGGCAGTGCTGAGAAAGCGTTGGACATCATTCAGACGACGTAGAGAGATTGATTGAGTCGATTAGTGGACCCTGCAAGACGGGGGGCCACGCCCCGCATATCACATCACGCACTTGACTGACTGAGAGAGCGATTTCCGAAAAGGCTGATCAAGGGAAATTGATCAAGGGAAAAAGGGAAATTGTGACGTCGAGTGGACACCTCATTCATTTGATTTTAACATTTTTTAACAATATGTATCATATGATTGCTCGAACAATCGGTGAACTCAAAACAACTCAAGACTGCAATTGCAGCAACAAATCGAAAAATTCCCAAGGGATGTACGTGTTAGTGATTGACAATCTTGCGTAACTCCTGCTAGTTTGTCTCTAATGCCTAGGAGGTGATTTGTAACATATTCTAAAGAGATCATAATTTATGTGCAAAGCCTCTTAGGTTTCTGAAACTTTCGAGTAATATCATGTACAAACAGAAGTTGAAGCATAAACAATATTTATTACATGTTTTTCAAATTTTTGTAGAAATTATTGAAAAATTTTGGGTTCCGTTTTTTTGGGCCCCCCTGTATATAGTATTTAATGATAATGATCATTTAAAAATACATGATTGCATATTGTATTGATACCAAACAAACTACAAAATGTTATACAAAAATCCTTTATGTAAAAAACATGATTGTAACTGTATTAAATAAGTTGCCTTTTTTGACAAGCTGCAACGGTACTACAGTTTCTAGTTCACGACTAATCTGAATGATCTTCACCACATGTTTATTGGATCATATTTTATCCAAGCTCAAATGGAGAATACAATGATACTATCGCAGAAAAATGTGATAAAATTAAATAAACTTAGAGCTATAAATATAGCCTATTTTTCTTAAACAAATCTGGAAAAAATTTCTCTATTCAATACATTTCAAAGTCCTTCTTCACTAATTGCTGCAAGATGAACGTGCGTTTTTTACACGTGGAAATTATTGCTTTTTTATGTTATAAGATACTCAAATGTCAACTTGCGAAGACTCCGCAAGGATTAATTTGACTCTTTTGAATATGCCGTAATTGTTGTGTGATAAACCTGCATGATTTTCGAGATAATATTCATATTTTATTCTTACTTGTTTATATTAATATCAAGAAGAATTCTAATACATGTGTAGGAAATCTATGACCCCATGAAACCTAAAACAAACAAAACTAATATATTTATTATAAGCATAAAAGTTCTCACAAAAATTACAAAAAATTCAAAACATGACTTTCCCGCTAAATCGCCAATACTTGTTTTTATTGTTTTATATCGAAATTTTATGACGTGAAAAATATTTATACAGTAAAAAATTTCCCCTGAATATGCAAAACAATATACTTTTATTTCCTTAAAAACGTACCATATGCATAACTGACTTCATATTTCCCCGCATTGAATGTAAAAACAATCACCATGATAAACAAAATAAATTTTTTATTTTGCACATTGAAGACTCTATAGTAAATATTATTCTTTTTACTATTAAATTTCAAAAAGTAGTCAAAGAAAAATCTGTCTATTTATTTAATGATTATTCCATACATATGCAACGCATCAAGACGTTCATCTAATATAAAGGAGTTTGCTAAATGGTTTGGCATAGGGGACATTGATTACCAAAAAATGGAGGAATTCATTCTGATAAAGAGAATCAAGATCTGTTTTGTGTTTTTAAGTAATTCCTCATGTAAAATGAATAGAAACTTAGAAATACGATTTCGACACACAACACTACTCAAAAACTCTGTTCATTGTCTTTACATCAATTACGATTCATAAAATATTTGCGAAGTTCTTACTGAATTCGAAAAATGTAGTAATATGAAGTAATGTAGTAAATGAAGTAATATAATATTAAAAGGATATTACGTTTATTAAAAATGGAATAGGTTCAAATGATACATAATATCTAAACAGAACAAAAATGGATAAAGGAGTGTATCCATTTTCATTAAATTGCGTATGAACAAGGCGTTCATGTACACTCATTATTGATATGGTCACTATCGAATAAAAAATAAACTATAATTCGGTTGGAAACCGAAGGCTTATCGATCGAAGGTTAGGGGATCCCTCAAAACAGTGGTCTTACTCCATAGTGACACCGTGTGTCCCATCACTAATTAATTAATAACTCGCTAATTATACGACACAATCCATCCAAAACCAATAGGCTCCTGATCCGAGCTAAGATGAATGCACATGCAAAATTTGGAGCAGATTGAACCTCGCATTCGTGAGATATCGCGTGCATCTAACACACAGACAAACAGACATAGACAAATACCTAGCAAGTGTAGCAACATACTTACCGATCAAGATCGATAAGTAATAAATAACTGAAATACATTCGAATCGATTTTAAAACATTCATCAATCCTAATTGTGATTTTGTGTGTATACAACTTGCCTATTTACATAATTTGATTCTACTGGCTGGTCGGTGGACAACCGAATCGCGTTGCGTTGTAGATTTGTTCTTTACCTTGTAGATTTTTCTCCGCTAGATGACGTAACCCCGTGTTTATTGGACACGTTTAGTGGACATAACGATCGTTTTGTTGTTGTGTTGTTCTTGTTGTTCTCTGACACTTTTTGGACATCTAGTGGAAATATTAAAAAACCGTTTTTCTCTTTGATCACTGGACCAATTGCTTTGAAATTTTTAGTGGTTAAAGAGGAAATTTTTCTCCAAAAGGCTATTACTTTTATTTATTTCAAATACTATTCAAATACTACAAATGTGAGATTTGTTTTTGTTTGCTATGACGTCATTGGACGTTCTGCGGACGCATATGCAGGCACTTCTCTTTTTGATCACGTGCCATCGAACGTTGGCGGGACGGCGGATTCTGAAAGTTATTGCTACTCAAAAATCGGCGAATGGCGGTGATGCTAAAGGTACGGTAGACCGTACTGTGCTGCTTCGCTTGTTGTGAATATATTTGTAGACTGTGGTCTAGATCTAGAGGTACGGTAAACCGTACTTCACTTCTTCTCTTGGTGTGAATATATTTGTAGACTGTGGTATCTGCTGGTATATTACCGTGATAAATAGAATAAGTTGGTTTTGCAAAGAAGAAGCGTCTGGCATTACAGGTAGGCGGGAGAATAGGGGTGGGGGGGGGGGGGGGGGGGGGGGGGGGGGCGCATTTCCAATACATCGATAATATCTTTGTCAACCAATTTGCGACCACCGTGTTTTTGTCTGTTTGATTGCCGTGATGTGGTGCTTTGTTTATAATTTGACGAGTTTTGTTCAAAATAACCGTGTTCTTAAAATATATGACGGTCAGAAATGCAATTAGAAACCCAGATAGAGAAGTTCTGGTACCGTAACACAGCGCGGTGACACTGAACTTACTCGTAGCTGTCAAAAGCTCGAAAATCCATACAAATATAGGAGATAAAAATATGAAACTTGGCAGGTTGGGTAGAGTTGTGTTTCTTTTAACCATCTTTGAAGGTTTCGCGTTTTTACATTTAGATAAGGCTGAATAGGGGGGGGAGGGGGGGGGGCACATTTTCAATACTTCGATAATATCTTTGTCAATCAATTTGCGACCACCGTGTTTCTGTCTGTTTGGTTGCTGTGATGTGGTGCTTTGTTTATAATTTGACGAGTTTTGTTTAAAATAACCGTGTTCTTAAAATATATGACGATCAGAAACGCAATTAGAAGCCAAATGTTTTTAAAGATAGAGAAGTTCTGGTACCGAAACTCAGCGCGGTGACACTGAACTAACTCGTAGCTATCAAAAGTTTGAAAATCCATACAAATATGAGAGATGAAAAGATGAAACTTGGCAGGTGGGTAGAGTTGTGTTTCTTTTAACCATCTTTGAAGGTTTCGCGTTTCTATATTTAAAGAACGGGGAATAGGGGGGTGCGCATTTCCAATACGTCGATAATATCTTTGTCAACCAATTTTCGACCACCGTGTTTTTGTCTGTTTGATTGCTGTGATGTGGTGCTTTGTTTATACAGGTAATTCATCGCATATGATTTTTGGGGAATTGTTCTGCGTGTCCATATATTTGAGCATTGCTCTCTTGTTTTTCTTATGGTAATGTTTAGCTCAATTACCAAAATGCGTTTCATACATTTATATGTCATGTTTTATATGAAATGATGAGTTTCATTTTATTTACATTTTCCCATTTGAGAGTCCAGTGTTAATAGCCTATTTTCTGATAAAAGAACTTGAAGGTTAATTTTCATTATCTGACTTGGAGGAAATGAACTAGGTGAAATATGTAGGATAAAAAAACGTTCATCAACCTCAGTAGCTTTGTATCCAAGTGTCAAAAATTCTCTCATGTTTCGTTAACGATAGGCATTTTTGGTATTGCATTTGTGTTCATTGTATAACATCTTCGAGCCGCAGAGTGTCACGTATTGAGTTAATATTCAGGTAGAATGCATGTCAGAAACGCCCAACGAAACTTAATGAACCACGCAATTAAAGTTTGCCAAATCAAATAAAAAACTAAAAGAGTACTCGATTAGTTAAGCCTGGTATATTTGTTAATCCGATTTAAAATATGAGACAAGATGCCAAACGAGTCACATTTCTATGTACATCATCCTCAACCTTTGTTACGCGAACCACTAGTGGAACGCGGGAGTTTTTCAAGTGGTGCGCTCGCAGCTTTGCAACAATTATCTTTTTAGTTGGCTGACGTATGGCTGCGACTCTTTGTCTGCCATTCCGTATGTATTCGTTGAACGGGTTTATAGCGCTAAAGGCTAATGAATTGGTAGGCTAGATTAGGCGGTTTATGACAGCGGCTAGCTCCGATAAAAATGTATTCGTTCGAGATTTGCGATAATTAAAGCCTTTCTGACGGTAGACGACGCAAATTCTCTCGCGATTTTGCTCGAAATTGTTACGTTCTTACTGCTTATAATTAATACGTTGAAACGTTGCACGAAGCTCTAAAAATATCGCTTTGTTGGTGATACGCGGCCGGAGTAAGAAACACTGAAGTGGTACGCAGTAAGTAAAAGGTTGAGAACCACCGATGTACACCTATAAACATTTTCAACCATAGCGTGTCGTAAAATTTTAATTTTATTTTCATCGCGGCTGATTGAGTTACACTAAGCTTACTCAGATCGGCTTGTTGCATGATGTTTAAATATTCCTCAAGAATGGAGAAAATTAGGAACAATATATAGTATACACAAGGTTACGAATAAGCATTAATGACACTTGCTATTCACAAGTTTCCTGCTTGCAAAAAATATCGACATCACAAATGGCATCACACAATCACAACGGAAGTAGGACGATTGAACATGTTATCATCATTGTATATTTAATATGTGCAATGAGTCATGTATTACGTTTGCTAGTATTTTTTTGTAGAAATCATGAATGCTCTTTTAACAACATTTAGTTATTTTATTTATTGGTTTATTTACATCGCCCACTACTTCGACATCCTGGTATTCATTACATAGCAAGTTATACTGTAAACAGATGACATGAAGGTCAGGAGTGATTTTATGTCGAGATAACGCGACAAACAAAGGCTTAAATAAACTAAACGTGTGAATCACAAAAACGCTGAAAATATCAAAAAGTCATTTTTGAATAAAATGAATATTACAAAATAATGAAACTGCTCTTATAAGACTAAACAGAATATTAATTTATTTGCAGGGAAAGTTAATCAACAAATATGAGCTTTTCCTTTTTTAAGTATTTCTGTGACAACAGACTAGCCGCTAACGTTTTTTGTGAATAATGGCATACATAAATATTAAAAATGAGAAAGTAATCGCGAAAAAAAAGAGGGCCTGAAATACGTCAAGGTGTAATTTCAAAGATTTGTGCAATTCCCACCAGTTCGCCCAGCTGTGAGAATTTCATGGTCTGTGTATTTTTCGTCAAGTGTGTGACCGTAAATATAGTTTATCAGTGACCGTTAAATTTAAAACACGCCAATACCTTTGTATCTCTAAAAATGCGGTAAAGATGTTCCCGATAACACTTTTCAATAATTCGAAAAATTAAAATCAAACCACATAAAAATTACGTTCAAAGACGTATATTTAAAATTGGAATTAATTATGTTATATAAAAATGAAATATTTTTCCACAGTATTCAAAAAAAACAACTAATTATCAACATTTATCTACTAAATGCAAACGAATACATTGACTAAAAAAAGTTGCTCAATCGCAAAATATAATAATCTTTGCGTGCTGTTTTGCGAAGTTGATATAAGTATTTCAATTTGAATATGAAGTGATCAGCACGAATCTACCACTTCAAAACATAACGATAAAAGGCGTTTTAGGCGAAACCTTATCATATTTGATCTCGATAATTTTGTTTCAACGTTTCTATACTACAAATTTTAGAGAAAATTAAGATTTGAATATTCTTGCTATAAAATCATTATTCATCATATCGTGGCAACAATGATTCAACTTCAATGATTGTGTGAATGAATTTGAAATGGTATGTTATGTATTGAAGATTAGAGCATAGAAAGCTTGTTTGACACTAGAAGTATGTGTTTTAAAATGATTTGTTTTAATATATGGTAAAATTCTTGAATTTATCGAACGTTCATTAGAGTACCTAGATATAAATTTTACAACCTGACATTGTAGTAGTAATCTGAGGTACATTTCTGTAAACATTGAATTTCGCGCGCGTGGTAGATTTTTTGTCAGACAACATCAACGACGTAGTCGATTGTTTATGATTATCTTTTATTCGTGTGCAAGATAAACAAGATAGTTCATGACTCAATTTGGCAACAAACAAAGAAGAGAAAGAAAACCAACGTTGTTGGTTGGTGGGATGTGTGTTTTTCAATAGTCTTTATATGGTTCAACAGAAATTTTAGTTTGATATACTTGTAAAAGGTTTTATGAAAGAGCGGATGTGTATTGTGGTCTGACAATAACACGGATTATCTACAAATGCAGAAAAGCGTCAGTTAATCCCACGAAAAATCGAAAACTTTGCACAAACTGAAGCAGTACGTGCTTGTGATAGCTTGCAACTTTTTACGTGAAACTATCATCCCTCTTAGATAATTTGTGATGAGAAAAGGAGTACAGAGGCTTTTTATATAATTCACCAAAGCTGAATGACAATTCAGAATTAAAATAATTGTATCTCGTTTGTTCCAATTCTAGTTAATTATTATTATTTGATTGGTCAATAAAATGTATTTATATTGTTTTACGACGATTTTGCTTTCAATGTTGATATTGGGCTGCGATTCCCATTTGGACGATTTACAATTTACCTGTCGGACTCATGCCGGGTGTGAAGTATTTGACGTTTGCACACGAAATGGTGAGTATGCAGTGATAACAATTACCTATTTGAAAATGTGACAGAAAGCGTTGTAATCTGTATTTAGTATCCCGCCCGTGCATGATGAATAAGTTTAACCCTTTGATACTCGACAATACACCACCCACATCCATTTATATAAGCCTTATCATGAAATACGTATATACTCAATTTTTGATATTGCAGGTCTTGTTTTAACTGTTTCGACAATGTTTTTTCTTAATATACCTTCGTCTGTTTTGCACACATTGGCTTGGAAAGATTTCGGATATTCCGGGGTGTTTTCACCGTGATCGTTGCGGTTGCGCCTAGCCTTGTACATAGCGAGATATTACAAATGTCGAATAGTATTGTGATATAAAGTTATATTTCAATTAGTTACGTTTATTTCTTCGTGGTATAACACATTTGTTTTCAATTCGTAACAGACTTAGTAAAGCTTGACGTGAATTACCTAAAATGGTATTCTTGAATTTAATTTTACTATATCGATTGCTCGAAAATCGTAACGATTTTTATCAAAAAATCGTAAGAAAATAACAATTAGTGGGGAAGTCTTATCTTCAAGAATATTCCCTCGGGAAACAATAGTATTATTGAAAGAGCACAAGTCAAATACATCAAAGAATTTTATTCTAGCTAGGAAAATTATGTTATTCTAAGATTTGCCGTTGCCGTTGTCAATTTGGATTATAAAACGAAACAGCAGTGGATCTGATAAAAAACAAAAAAAAAACTTACAGTAAAACACTGTAAGAATGCTATTTTAGATACAATTCTCCTAGACATGGCTTAACCTGGTATAAACTATAAATATGAAATTGTTCGTTATCGCGAATGGGACGAAATAAATGTAAATCGATCAATCAAACGATATTTTTGTCGTGTGCTGACTTTGATTGGATTATTGAAGCTCAATTGAAATTCTAAACTGAAATTGGAAAAAAAAATACAAAAAATTTGTATCCGAATATAAAAAATATTGTCTTTTCAAAGTTTTTATTCGATTTAATTTCATTTACAAAAATCGGTTTTGAAAGGAAACTATCGCTAAAAGCCAACTGCCTATTTTAATTCAGTCCCTATTACCGAATATACTTGCTTTACAGCAATGTCAACACTTCAGGAAAAGCTCGGGGACATAGTGGAAGAAAAACTAAAGGAAACAAACCAGTCGTGGGTAAAAGATATTGAAAACCTAAAAAAGGAAACGAAAGAAGACAATATTAAAGGTTTGTATTGCTCATCATACTTCGTAATAGCAACGTTAGTGATGTCTGCAAATAAATACACCATACGTATTGAGGTGTCAATTATCTTCCTTTTATAGAGTATATCATTTTTCGGTATTCCCTCAGTATGTGAACCAAGATGGCGAACAACGGAACGTAGTGTGTGTATAATGTTACGGTTAGGCAATAATTTCAGGTACAAATACTACGGGAGTGACTTGGCTAGTCTCCGAACTTGTACAAGAACTAAAATAAGAAAAATTGGAACTAAATTATGGCCTGACCCTAACCTGGTACACATACTACGTTTCAGGGTCCGCCATTTTGGTTCACATACTACGGGAGTACCCATTTTCCATATACGTGTACTGTGGTAGGTCACAAAGAACACATTGAAAATCATTTGACATTTTATGGAATTTTTAGTTACATTTTTTTATTATTTATGTACTCATTTGCAATTGTTATCAGATGCCAGAATCGGGCAACATTTTGTTAAGAACAGAATCGAAGGCTTTCATTAAAATAAAAATTATATTTTAGGTCAATAAAACGAGCCGTCAAACACATTTTAAACACAAACTTCATATTTTCTTTTATTGATTCAATTTGTTCAGTCAGATCTTCAGTCAGTCTTTGTCGTAGTTTGGATACGCATAAAACATAGATCACACACGTGTTTAGTTTCACTCTTATATGTCATATAAACACAACTAACATGCGCCGATTTCAAATTATTAACATGTTCTGTAGATAGCCCGAGGACAACAGACTAAACAACATATTATATTTGCTTGGTTTAATAGTTGTAGGAGTTGCTAAACAATCCACATTAATCCACTGTGGTTATCAGTATCACATCATTGAGAAATTTAATACTTTTTCTGTGGGCTTTTACATGTAAATTATCTTCTTAAAAAACATGAATAACTGTAAACAATAAGACCGATTATTCTATGTTTCATCATGAAACAAAAATGTTGAGAAAATAATCAACATCTTAGCTTCAGACGATGAATTTCGTAACATTTTATACGCTGAATGATGTTTCATCGCTCTTGGTATTGCTACTATAATTCTTTTGAACATTTTCAGGTTTACGCCAATTACGACAGGAAATGGATGCTACCTTCAAACAAAAGTTAGTTAGAATAACTTCAAGAATGAATGCCTCTTTCAATGTTATGAAGAAATCAATGGAAGAAACAACGATAAAAGGTGCAATGTTTAAGAGACGGAAGAATTGTTTCAGAACAGGGTTTTTAAAAATATTTTAAATTTATGTTAACCATTATTTTTCCAAATACTGCAAAAACTAAATGTTCGTGTATATCTCCTGCTGGTATAGTGACCTCATGAAAACTTTGAGCGGTTCACCAAACTTGAATAAAGTGATATAAGCATACCAATACTCGTATAACCGGAGGAAACAACATATGAAAACTCAAACTGGAAGATTTTGTTCGATTAAAAATGTTGTGTTTGAGACTATTTTTTTATACTCCATAGTTACGATATATACATAGATTTCATTTTTATATCAATTCTTTGCTACACATATTTCTCTACTTTTATATTGTTCTGGGAAAACTATTGCTACTGTGGCCAAATTTTATATAAAAAAAAATATAAAATCGTTTTTTATTATTAATACAGAATTTATTTTTCACATATGTTTATCATCATAAACCGGTTTAACGTTTTTGTAAAACTATTTTTTAGACGATAGAATGAAATAATACAGCATCATAATGCGATCTACCCAAAAGTGGTATCTATTCAGAATTGATGATACTTTATTAAATTGTCAATCATTATTAAATTAAAATCGTTTGGTTAAACAAACATTCAAATATACGCAAACGCCCAAATAAAATAAAAAACATGGAATTATAACTAGCAATGCGTCATAAACAAACTGTACAAATTCCTAACGTGCTTGAAGATGGATTTGGATGAAGCCTCTTCTTTTTCCTTTTCATTTCTTTTGCAATTAACATTAACGTATTAAAGAATTATGGAAAGTACCTTTTAAAATGCAATCTAAAGCAGTCAAGCTACAATATTCCTTGAAAACTATGTTTTCAGAACTTAAAGACGTTAACAACAAGATAGACGAGGAAGTTCAAGGTACGGTTAAGGAAATGAAAGTTTCTGTTCGCAAAGCAAGGCGTGAGATGGATGAAGCAAACAAAAAAGGTACAAAACATGAATTTTAATAAAGAATTGTACTTATATGATCAATTTTATTATATTTAATTTTATAGAAATCGAAAGCTTGAAGCTCGACACAAACACTATGGTAAACAAAAAGTTTGCAGAAGTTACAAAATTGTGGAATGATGCACTAACTGAAACCAAAAATGATTTATCTTCCAAGATTGATCGCGGTAAAAGCTATTTATCATTTATTTTAAATATCTCTTTAATTTTTATTTACTGTCATTGAATTGTCACACCAAAACAAAGCAGTACAGTATGTAATCCCTCACAGTACCGGTACGGTACCATAGTCATCCGCATTGAACTAACTACCAAATCGCAATGGACGCGGAAGCGCCCCAAGGTGGGCAATTCTCAACTTTGATGACGTTATCACGCACAAATACCAATTGCCATAGAGCCCACATATCTTTTCTAAAATATATAAAAGTAATAATCTTCTAGCGACTCGACAACAACAATCTTCATCTACTGAATATTTTAAAAGCAATTGGTGTAGTAGGCGACTTTTTTCACGACAACAACAAGAAAAGAATGTAACAACAACATCATAATAACGAGATTATCGGTCAGAGACCGAAGACTCATCGATCGAAAGTTAGGGGATCCCCCAAAACAGCGCTCTTACTCCATAGTGACACCTTGATTAAAATCGATAAGTAATAACAAAACGCCCCACTGGTTCACTTCGTGTTCAATAAAACTCATAATGTGTTTAAAAGTATAGGAGACTTGTTCGTATAATCGTTGACAAATATTACATATATATTTTATCAGAAGACGGAACAGGCATTTCCGACTCAAATGAAAATATGTAGAAAGTATGACTTGAACAGTATATGCTTACGAACATGCATATAGGTGACATTATGCAATAATTCTAATAAAAAACGTATAACGTTTAAAATGCTATTTATTTAATGCGACCTTCATTGTTATTGGATATTTTTCAGCCATGGAAAAATTAAAACAACATATTTCAGTGGAAATAGAAAATAAGATAAAAGAAGCAAATGACACAACCAAAAATGCTGTAGACATGGCAGTATTAAAATCAAAACGAGAAAATGATGAAGGTAAAAATATTCTCGACAAAAATTTCAAAATTTTGGTGTTTTTTTACAATGTGAATGTGATAAAGCTAAGATGGAATGCTTCATTTTCTTTGCCTTTTTGGAGTATCAATAATTCATCATTCATTTAAATACTTTATTAGTACTAACTAATTACTAACCAATATACTCATATTTGATATAGCAATCGAACTGATGAACACCAAGATTCAAAAAATGGATGAGAAATTAACATCAATGTCTGATCGGTGTCATTTATCCATTGAAAAACTTGGACAAGATATAAAAACACGTCTTAGCAACATGCAAACAGGTGGTTAAATTACGAACTTAGTCAATGGTTTAGTGTAGTGGTTTTCAATCGGGATTTTGCATCTCTGGTCCAAAGGTTTCGCAAGTTTCCATTCAAATAAGTAAGTTTATTTTATTATATATGTATGTATAGTGTTAAAATATAACCAAATACATATTAGATTTGTCAGTTTATTTTTCACTTATTATTACAACGCTGTAAAGATTATTTTGTTTTGCCGGTATTAGGATTGATATATATGATATATTTGTGGTTTATACAATTCAGACAATAAACAAAAATTAACATATTGCACAGAAATTCCTTTGACTTGTGGAATGTTTCATTGGGGTACCGCTCAACCAAAAAGGTTGAAAACCACTGGTCTGTGGCAGTGCTTCCCAACCTATATGGGTCACGACAAAAAAAACTGGGTCGGGTTGAGATCTTTTTGAGTCGCTTGTTTTTTTGCAAAAACCTAAAATTACTGGTTTTTCTTTTCTAGTTGATTTTAATGTTTATTTTATATTCGGTATTGAAGTGTTGCCAAATAGTAATTGTATATGTGCGAAGCGTAAACACTTGGATGCATGTATTTTGCTGTAAGTGAAGCCACACAAAATTTGCGTCGCTTGAAAAAAGGTTGGGTACCACTAGTCTAAGGTATGAGAAGTTGCATTTATAATGCCCTTCTTAAACTACCAGTTAAGAAATAGCAGGATTATTATGTATAATGAACATTATGATTAAAATATATTCTAGAAAACATAACATTGAATACAGTTGAGATGATGATCGATGCTAAATTCAAAGAAGCGTCGAAAGATTGGATTAAAAAAGGCGGCGATAGCGATGACGATGTCATATATCTTGACGAAGAGGAATACAAAACACATAACGTTAGCATAACTCGAAGAGGTAAAAATTACTAATGGAAAATAATGAATTGAAAGACTATTATGTGATTAAATAGATATTGTAGCAATTGTGAATTACTTTCTCTCCCTGAAAAAGAAACAACATAAGTGCAATAGTTAAATGAATGTTTTAATTTCTACTCCATACTACATTACATGAGTATTTGTCGTTTTCAAGAACTTTTGCCTAGTTTTTTAGGCATAATTTTTTTAAATTGCACTTCTATATCGTGCAGGTCTTTGTAAGCTGTTTTATCAGGGAAAATGTTATTGGGTCATAGAAACGGAATTGGCCATACCATATGCTGAAGGTACAGAAGAATGTTATGCACAAGGAGGAGAGATAGCTAACGTATACAGTAGTGAACATCTGGAGTTGCTGAAAATTTATCTTCGAAGTCTCATATCTGAAACAAGAATGTATATTGATGTATGGCTTGGAATGACGATCAACATTGAGGTAAAGTTAGCCTGCCAGTTATTTTATGACTCACTTCATCAGTTTCATTTCGAGCCAAACAGATTTCATGTCATTCCATTCCAATATTATTCCAGTCATGAAGGCAACATCGCTGCATTTTGTGGCACACATTTGGCAGAGTTAGACATCAAGTTAGTCAGACTATATGCCTGTCATAAATTTCAACATTTTGTAAAAAGTACAATGTTTATGGCGATAGTGAAAGAAGTACGTAATTTGGTTTTGAAATTACTACTTTTTTTCATTTGATGTATGCCGGCCTACATTTTCAATTTGAAATATAGAAATATCAAAGATTCTATGAAATCATACAAAAAAAATATTTCATTATTAATAACTATTAAAGATGGGTAAGACAATCGTTAATAGAGCAAATCTGGAGCAGCACGATTCAAAATACGATACGATTTTTTTTTAAATTATAATTCATTTTTCAGAATGGAGAAGTTAGATACACAAACGGAACATTGGCGACATTCCTGGAATGGGATTTAGGATCCCCGTCTCTCGGAGAATCTTTTTTTTCTTGGACGGGAATCTACGTTATTGCAAAGAAAGATCCAGATGACAAATACGAAGGAATGGTCAATAGTTCCCCACACAGTATTCGGGATGGCGTTTTGTGTGAAATTTGACAGTTTGAGTTGTATAAAACAGATTCTTCGACACCTCTATCCGTGTGATTTGGTGCACCACATTACATAACATTGTATTTTATATTCTATTAACTTAAACGTTATGTACACTTTATTGTTTTCAATCAATGCTTGACATAAATTTTATTGATGAAACGCAGCTACTTATAAAAAATTGAAGTAAATCGGAACAGATTTAACAACTTGTTAGTAATATTCTGCAACAGAGTCCACAAATTATAAATTTTATAGCAAAACAATTAGATAAAAAACAAGTGGGCTATGCTCAAATATGTGGACACGGAAGGCAAAAATATTTTATCATCAACTCCCCAAAAATCATATGCGGTTTGGGTTGCCAACTTAGTGTTAAACAATTCCGGGACACCCTAATGTCTAGAATTTGAAGATTGATGTAACAGAAGCTCGTGAAACACGGAATACATCAAAAGCAACAGTGCGCGCTGCGTGTCCTAGAGTCATGATCGTGCAGCGTTATTTTCACAGACTGCAGGTCTTTAAATAATTTTATTATAATCAAAGAAACTTGTGAAATGTTGAATCTTTGAGGCATAAATACAAACTAATCAATCTGATCCTATCTTCATTTTTAACCTTCTTACTTTACCGACTTAAAGCTACAGAATCGTTTTAAAACTACCTGTGTCTTTTCAATCGGTATAACAAGTTGAAAGATCCTCTCAAATTAAGGTGACTGCTATAGGTACAATGTTATCATCCAATTTGCAACTGTTTAACTTAATTGATTGTGATGTCATCAGGAAGTCATAGTTGACGAAACATGTATTATCCGCAAGTTTCAATTCACTATTATTTGAATGACACATACAAATGTAATCGCTTTCATTTAGAAAAAAATATTTGCGTGGATTACATCAGTTTCCAGTTTTAACGTAGCCGACACGCTCACATGGCCTTCTATTATAGAATGCCTCGGTTGTCAGTAAAATAGGGGACAGCGGACAGCCGTAGCCCAGCCGGGACACGGGACGCCAGACAACGGAAGACAACTCGACTACACAGGGTACCGTTGATCCACCGATGTTCGCTGACACCGGATCGGCTGATTTCCGTTCGCGGAACCGCCACAAGGTGGCAAATTTTGGTGACGTCATTGTACACAAAAAACGAATCCCACAGAGCTCACATACATATTTGAAATAAATAAAAGTAAAAGCCTTCTAGCGAAAAATACAATCTTTAACCATTGAAAATTTCAAAGCAATTTGTCCAATAATGAAAGGGAAAAGCGACTTTTTCATAACGATAAAATTCTGTGTCAAAGAACAACAACAACATAATAACAAAACGATCCATAGGTCCATTACGTTTCCAAAAATCGGAAGATTGTACAATCCTTATATAATTTATTTCTAATCCACTTATTTGTTATTACATATATTGTCACATATAACATCCTTGATTTCCTCTCAGAGTTCTTGAGCCAATCAATGCGTGCTTCGCATGATGCTTTTTAAACCGAAACGGACTCATTTTTAGTCATATCACAACACATTATCCCGCTAATCCACTAATATATATATAGAGAGAATAAACTCACCGAGTTCGGGGTTCAAGGCCATGCAGATAATGGGTACTTGAGATGTCTCGAGATTTTGGTCAGTTGGGTGTGAGCAGTGCCGTGGTAAACTTTATATATATTTCACAAATATAGGATAATGTTCGACTCGGGCACACCCTTCTAACGAGAATATTTGAGAAAAAAAAATTTGGCATAACTCAAAATATTCAGTTAACGATAGATATGAGGACGTCCAATATATGACAAACTGACATCAATTGCCAATATATCAGCATTGCAAAATATCGATATATTGCTACTGTTCCTTCTAATCGAAACAAACCAGGTCAAATATTATTGAATGACGAGGTTGAGTGTGTCCGTGTTGAGTAGTGGTTTTTTTTTAGTGGACGTAGAAAAAGTACGAAACCACTGAATTGCAGAAGCTCTGGGAGTTTTATCTGACATATCTATCGCAGTAGTCTGTTAAATCAACAGCTGACTCATTTCAAAAAAATATTTAACAATAATTCATTTTGTAGCATCGACTACAATATATTGTACGAAATGTTAGCATGCCCATTTTATGAAAATTCAAGCCTTTTAATTTAAGCACTGTCAAATTAGTCGCTTTATGATTTGGATCGTCCATCTTTACTGTAACGTAACAAGTGACTTATTCCGCCGCGCTTTGCGATCTTCTAGAATTTTCTTTGCCACGAGGTAGACGCTTACGGAGGATGCTGTGCGACTATAAGATTTATTGTTGATAGGTTTTCCTATGTTGGGATTAGACCTACGCCATACACTACGAGATTATAGTTAGAATATTATTGGACACGTAGCGGACCTATGGATCGTTTTGTTAATATGTTGTTGTTGTTGTTGTTCTTTGACACAGAATTTTATCGTTATTAAAACATCGCTTTTCTCTTCGATTACTGGACCAATTGCTTTGAAATTTTCAGTGGTTAAAGATGGAATTTCTCCCTAGAAGGCTATTACTTTTAGTTATTTCTGAATTTTGTATGGATTCTATGAGATATGATATTTCATCCAAAAATTTTCTGTAATATTTCCATTCATGAAAACATGGTTAGCTGTCCTTTTTGATCCAGCAAATTCTTTCTACGCGAAATTTGGAAATTTTTTTGACGATACTAGTAGTGGTAAGTTACAGTACCGCATATGATTATCGGGGAATTTATCTTTTATTCCTGGTAATGAAGAAGTAAATCGGATCACTTAGTATTTTAATTCACGTTGAAATTGAATGGAAAAGAATAGATCATTGTCACAAGACATGGAAAGGCTATGACAGGCTCTGTACCGTTATTTGTACGCCGATTCAGGGGCTGGTAAGTTAAAGCATATGAGTTTGAGACTTTTTTGTGGAAAATGGTTGACTGCGGTACCTGATCTGGTAATACCGAAGTTACTCGGATCACGTGATATTTCAATTGATGTTGAAACTGAATTATGAAGAATTTATTATTGTCACAAGACCTAAAAAAGCTATGACAGTTCCTGTATCGTTACGGTACCCCGATATGGGTACTGGTAAGTTACCGCATATGATTTTCGTGGAATTGCTTTGCGTGTCCATATATTTGAGCATTGCTCTCTTGTTAGGTTCATTCATATATTGGCCGGATAAGTTTTGATGATATGTCTGTGTTTCAATGTCTCGATATATTGCTTATTTTCTTAATTTGTATTGTAGCATACTTGTCGCTGTTCTTTGGGTCATTGTCAAAAACAGTCAATTCATTACTAACATTAAGACTGTACACTAAAGTCAACACTGACATCAACACTAGTTGTATTTAAGCCTGCATTTCATAACTTCATTCAATGCATCTACATCTATTAAGCTGTGAATATGATGAAATTTTTTGCAACGCAATTGTACGCTCCTTGAGATTGCAGTGTGCTGCCCTTTTAGGCATTGGTTGGATTGCTACAGTGTTCAGATTGCAGTGCTGTCAGTTGTTGGTGCATGGATTGAAGACATTCATTTGGGGACTCAGAAGACAGGACAAGACTTCAGTTACCTTGTAACTCGGAGTCGTAGTGGGAGATATTACCCTACGTGTACTTATCCCACATAAATCTTAAATTACAGATTAGGTCGAATCTCGCTCATAATAAAATTGTCTTTCTTTACTCACAGAATACATATGCGGTATACATCGAACTGTGTCTAGTTCGCTGGACTTGGCCAATAACCTTTGGGGAAGATGAGCCTGCAGGCTTGGTTAATTTTATTTACCTCTATAATAAGAAGCAATATCACCAGTTTCCATCCCTTCGTACTCATCACGGATACCGTACATTGCAGTCTGTCGGGCAGAACACTTTGGGCAGGTGATGTGCAGGCCGCATATTGGTCGACGTGGCAAATACACCATAGGCCATGTGCAAAGACTTTCATTGCGTCGGCATCAATTTAAAGTAAATTGACTGCGATTAGATAGCCATAATCAAAACATAACTACTCCCCAATATTACAAAACTCATAGTCAAAAACTGGCTTTTATATTATTAAACGTAGTGCATAAAATAATAAATGAAAATTCGTGAATGCTTTTTATCACCACTTGTTGATTCAGGCCGCAATGTTCATATGAAAAAAAAACATAAAAGCATAAAACATTGGCACAGTAAAGACATTTTAAGGTGCTAACATAAAACGTTCTTTATATAAATAATTGCAATAATCCACCAATTAAAGCAAATGAGAATTAAATATTCATTGCGAAAGCAAGTTAATAATACTTCTGCATCTCCTCAGCCGAACAAAAGACTTGATAGCAGCATACGAATAAAAATTCAATAAATTGATTACCTTGTGCCATTGTTGTTTAAAAATAGGTCTGACGCACATTGTCACCAACAAACAGAATAGCGCTGCTGATTTTTATTGCTATTGACAACATCTAGGTACATTTTGTAATAGCCTACGTTAAATTTTAAAATAAGTAACGAATCTCAACGCTCTGTCATAGTCTTAAAAATACGTGACGAAATTATACCCGTTCTCAAACGTGAGAGTCCCAATGCTCAAATCGTACCTCACGTAGTTGCACGTGTTAATCATTCTCTGTCTTTCTGTTTATTCAAATGCTCAACAAAATAAACAAAACAACATAAAAATAATAATAAGAAGTATCTCAAATAATGAAAACAATGGCACTATAAACTTTTGCTTTGTGAACGATAAAATATTAATATTTAATAATCGCCATTCGTTTTGATTAGGACACTTTTTTAATTGTAATTAAAATTTGACTCTGAATTCCCTATTATGTTTGGATGGGCTAAGAACGTGTTTGTATTAAACATAATTAACGTAAGAAGCATTCGTGTAAGAATTACAGCCATAAAAACAATATATACAGTCTCATAATTTTGTCTCATTAATAAACGAACTGACTTTTTGAATAAGTAAATTATCTCATGAGTGATTCAATAAATCAATCCACTCTCGTAATTACAATATATCTGAAATATTTGTCAATTGTTGAAAGAAAAATAAATTTATAATATGAATATGCTGGATATGCTGTTTGTAACCTTGGAACTTTGTTGTAATAAAGAGTAAAAAATGGTAAAATTACAATAACAACAAAAAATACAACAAAATTGAATAAACTTCATTATACATGAGCTAAAGTAAAGCAAGACATAAAATCTCTATTGTAAGCTAAAATCTGGATTCAGATAACCCTACTACGCCACAAAATGACAGAAACCATTAGTCAAAAACTGGCAAGCAAAGAGGCACACAAGATCAGATGCTTGTTCAGGTTTCAAGAATTCCGCATATGACAAATATAAAGTAACTTTTATTAATTTTATACAAAATCATTGGTTCAAACTTTTTTTTACAATTATCCCAATTTCGGTCACTTAATCAAATCTTACGGAATATGGTATATTGCTAATTGTATGTAAATTATAAATATCCAATGTTTGATGGAGGCAATTTATCACCTTATTACATTCAAAATCACAAATATAAGGAACGTTTATAATTATTATTTCATTTTGATTTTGCGAATTGTTCTTCGACTTCCATTCACAAACATCATCTCTGCCTGTACTATTTTAAAGTAAGTAATATAGAAAAAAATATAACGCAGTATTCTACTTTCAAAAATGATTCTAGTTCGTAAGACTAATCTTGCATAAACATTTACAACAAAATATCGTTTATTCGATTTAAAAAATGAGCAACTCACAAAACTTGAAGTAAATATATCACATTTATCTATTTTAAAATGTTTTTCAAAATAACGCATGTTGAAAAACGTTTGGAAAATAATTTGATATCATTCTCGTATGTATCGTGACATTTTTAAGTTACGTAGATTCGATTATATCTATCAAATTTTACAAAAACAATTTTAAAGTCACCTAATACAGTAATGTGACTTTTTGAAAATGAATATTTTGTCATTTGAGGCAGGCATGTTATATATGGACGATAGGAGATCATTAGAATGTTATCGTACCGTGGATTAACATCGTATTATGTGTGTTTAACAGTATCGGACAGTCTATTCTTTATCGCAAAAGATTCTTCTGTAAGTATTATTTCGATTTATTCTTTAGATATTAAAATTGTCTTTAGTTAATGTTATTAAAAAGAAAGGAGCCAGTGTTCGGTCACGATGCTAATTACATGAATAATTTATGAAGCGAAACATGATGTAAATGAATGTGAAGCACTCTACCGTGCTAAGCTGAAATCGAGAAATACTCTCAAATGAAAATGTGTTGTTATTTACTATTCGTACATCTTTTGATACACCTTTTTATCCAAAGATTGGTATATGCAGCAGTGGGATGAGTTTAAACCGACCAAGTTCTTTTCCTAAAGAAATACAATCTTTATCGCCCTCTCGAGCTTATACCGTCCATTACCCAACTATAGGACTCTTTAGTGGGCAGACAAGCCACAATGCAAGTTTCATCTTGTATTTTCACAATATCTAAAAAAATTGAAGTTAATCTTGATTTGTGGTCTTGGAGATGAAATGGGGTATTGGTGCAAATTCTGTATAGTATATATATATATATATTCTTTGGTGACCGTACATTTGAACCCATGCGTATATCCACGGGTTCAATCTATATGCGGGTGCTAAAACCCATGGGTTAGGGTTAGTATGGGTTCAACTATCCGAAAAACAAAAAAAATTCCATAGGTGCAATAGCAGATAGGTGCAATTGTCATGGGTTCAAATGTACGTGGGTTCAAATGTAATGGAACCATATTCTTTAACCACTGAAAATTTGAAAGCAATTGGTCTACTAGAAGTTAAAGCGGAACGCGGAACGATAAGAAGAAAAAAACAAGAGGAACGAGAACAAGAGCAACATAAAAACAAAACGATCCATATGTCCACTTTCTGTCCAATAATGTTTATAAATCATTATTTTCTTTTTCATATAATGCCAAATGTTAATTGGTGTAAAACATGTTATATACACGCTACATAAACCAGAACAGTGTTCGTTAACCACTGCTACCGTCACCAATACATTATATAGCCTATTTTTATTTTATTGAGAAGGGAAACCGTATCTTTCTTTTTACTGTTACATAGTCAAAAACAAATTTAATATATTCATCAGTTTTATTAGATTTATTTTGCTCACCCCTTACTAAAGTTGGGTAATCTCGTCGTTGTTATTGCCAATGGGTTGAACATTTGGCAATGCAACATATAATGCTCGGTTCAAGTCATGTTGCTCATTCTTTTTCCAATATATTACTCGACTTCCCTGAAGAATATAAAAAAAAATTCAATCACAAGTTAGCTAAGGTGTCAGTTTTTAAATATTCTGAGTACTCCCGTAGTATTTGTACCAGGTTAGGGTTAGGTCATAATTTAATTCCGATATTCCTTATTTTAGTTCTGTTACAAATTCGGGGACCGTCTGTGTTATTCAAGTAATTATCCCCAAGTCCACAGGGTTCAGACCCTTTGCAAAACTTGATGTAAATAAAGCCGAACAAAATTAGTTACCTCCATATTGATACACATACTTCTGGAGCGCCATAATTTATTATAACAGATAAATCGCTTTAAACCAAGGTTTCGAACTCAAGTTTCCTCATATGCAGGAATGATATGAAGTTAATGACACGTCAGTGTTATCGTGTTCACGTTGACGACCCAATAATTATAACACAAGTACCTGCTTTTTCATGAATCTCATCAGGGTTATCGAAATATTATGTCCATTTTTTGCTTTTCTTTTTATTTCATTTTTTATTTCTTTTCTGCAGATAAACACAAGTTTCAAATCTTTCTGCACGTTTTGATTTAATCCCTGCAATTACAAATTTATGAAATTAGTTCAAGTAATGGGCCGCGGAACTGTCAACTTTAAGCTAGTTTAAATTTCATTTAAACGACATTCAATAGAATAGCAGTCGTATGTTAAAGTCTGTAATCGACTTCCGAATAAGGATTTTAAATTTTGACGGTTCGGTAAATCAGCCTATAGTTGAATCACCATATTACCATAAAGTTCAATGAAGAAATTGATCTGTGCTATTTTCAGTACCACGTTGAATAAATGATACACGGGCAAGTTGATATTATGTGAAAAGTCAAGTCAAGTTTCTTTTTTCTAACCAGTTAAAAAGTCAGTTTTACACAAAATACGAGAAAAAAAGGAATCACACATTTCACCTAGGGAAAGGAAACCGCGAGGAACCAAAGTTGGTTATCGAGCCGCGACACCCAAGGATCTAATATCTAATTAAAAATATCGGTGAGTTTTACTTTCGTAACTACTGTTTTTGTCGACGAGAGTATAGTTTTTATTCTGTATAAAAAAACAATCAGCAAATGTATTGTGGATAAAAAAAATTGTCATCTAAGCAGATCCACAACATATGTACAGACACACACATATATCAGGATATATGATGCCATTGTTAGCATGTCAAAAACTAAATAACTGAAATTTCAAATGTAAATACAGAAATATTAGATGACAAATATTAAAGACAAATTTCTTAGCGCAAATAGAAATAATGAAATAAGCAATCATAGTATCGATTGGGCAAAATATAACTGATCGTATAACACTGGTAATGAAGATTCAACATATATAATAATAATGGAAATACTGGAATACAATGATAAGACACATCATTTCTAAGAGCCATGCATGTTAGACACTTTATCAAGAATGAGGTGCTTAGGTTTTTCAAATGGTCACAGAAAAACAGTTTAACCAGATCTATGCAATTGCTACTTTTCGAACTGTAAGTCCATTTGTAATGGTGGTTGGGAACAAGGGATATGATATAGAAAAAATCCTATGCTAGGATATATATTGCGACAATAGGTGGTTTTTCAACATTGCTTTGAAGAGTCGGGTGGGCATGTTTCTTAATTCACTTGGCAAGTCTTGTTTCAAATTGGCAAATAATTCACTTGGCATATATTTCAAATAGGCGATACTGGTCTGAAAAATGTTTGTATTTTACTCACCTCATAAACCTTAAATATTTCGATTTCGTTTTGCTCGATCATCTGTGATGTCACAATAACAACCAATCTCAAACATCTCTCAAGAACAGATTTGTAATGCTCGGCGACAGGTGCTAAATAACATTTTATAGTTTAATTAGGTACACTTTTAACAAAATTATTTGTGATAGATGGTGTCGTTGGTGTTTTATCCACTATACGACATACGAAATATAGACTCACCCCCAGCGTCTTCAGGTTCAACGTTCGGATCATATATATTATTATATCTAGACGTATGCAAATATGTTTTCACGTCTCCGACTATGTTATCGCTTCCGATATACGCACTCGGTTCATAGACCAGATAAGCGACGAAGTATCCACCTGGACGTAATAAAATATTATTGGTGTTAAGTCGGATATAAACAAGTGAGTATGCATTACTATTTCGTTTTACCCAAGACCGTAAAGTATATATAAAAACACACACGAATTAATAATATGGACAGAAAAATAATTCAATCTGCAAGCATACGGCAGAATTTACCATGGAGGGGTGGATAATAACATGGATCATTCGCTAATAGCGCTTTTTCGCTTTTGTTGTGGTGGTATTATTTTGACAATCTTACGGAGGCATGTTGCAGATAATGTCACATTCCGGGTTTGTTGGCCAGAATTTATCAAGTATGCAATTTATCAAGTATTTTACATTTTGGTCACATTTATAATTTCAATAGAAAATTTATAAAACCTAATATCAAATAAATTACTTATATAAACGTTGAAAATCACCTTCAATAGCCACAGGCGAACTGAAGTATTTCTTCAACAGATATTGAACTTCTATCCGGTATACATGGATGAATACTATTACAATAATTGCGAGCAAGACCAGAGCTGCAAAAAGAAGAAATACAGTGTGAACAAGGTTGTAGGTAATGGCATTCTTTGTTTAGTTTAGTGGTTCTTTTATGATTATTATGATCTGAGGTCCCCTTCCAATAAGTCTCAACACTTCTTGGTCTTGAATAAGAATACCTAACATTTGCTTCCACTGCGTTTTCACCAATTAATTTATTTGCAACCTAATAACAAAAAAAGTCAACAGAAGGCCAAGTTTGAGAACCCTGTTTTAGATTTACATATCAATATTTATTTGTTGATCATGAATGAATATCATTTTACATGAAGATAGGAAATTGTCCTAATAACGAGAATCCCCGCATGTGTGTTTCTGAATTACGTGTCTTTCATAAATATTGTGAAAAACAAGCTGGTAAATTACCTCCCATTACACTTAAAGCCACCGTCAAATAGTTATGTGTGTTGATTTCCTCTTCGACGACCAGAGTAAAGTTTTTTGTGACGGTGCCAGCAGTTGTACTTAGAGAGCATTGATATATTGAACCATTGTCTGTCTTGTTTAAATTGCTGAATTCAATAAAAAATAAGTATGAAAAGAAATTAAAATTGTAAATTAGAAGAGCGGTGCATTTCGATGGATAAATAGTGGTTTGTACAAGAGATTCGTTTTATTCTCATTCGCTCTGCTTGATACGGTAATAATATTTACAACAGGTGGAGAACATAAATCGATCATGAAACAAATCAAGGTCTATCACATGGTGAGACGAATTGGGTAAAATGACTCTCTCCCCGATTTTTGGTGTCTCAAAAATGTTGTGTCTCTTTTGCCCCACGTGTCACACTTGTTCTCCGTTTCCCACTTGTGCCACGTGTTCCGCTTTTCCCGTATGCCACCCTAATTGTCCCACGTGTCCTTCTTATCTCACGTATCCGACGTATCACACTTGTTCCACTTGTATTACTCGCACAATATGCACCGATGATACTCGTATTACAAATTAAACGCATGCATATATTATTGCATTTGTACTGCTTGTCATCATTCTTTCTATGTGTGTGTCCCATTTACACCGTCTGTATCGGCGATAAAAGTGGTATCGGTATATCTATAAAGTATCGCCATTCTAAGAACAATTTTTATAAATAGTAATTACAATACTTTAATCAGGTATAGCTCGCCTATACGCGAATTTTCTCAACTTTGGACAGGTAAGGCCATGTGGAGCAAGTGGGACACGTAAAGCAAGTGGGATACGTGGGATAAAGATAACAGGCGTGGGACACGACATTTTCAAGCCACCTATTTTATATACATGAGTGTCGTGACGAGAAATGGTCACATAATTTATGAATAACCTGATATAAGCTTATTCATACTAAATTCACCAACATGCGAGGATAAATTTCTTTAATAATGAATAGTAGCTAGCGAACGCGAACAAAGTGAAAGTTACGGCTCAGTCTCAGTCAGACATTTATTTCATAATAAATATTGGAATGAGTGGATCATGAATCTTGACAAACATTGTGGTACATATAGTCGAGACAAAATTTTAGAAACGGAAAAAAACTGAAAAAAGTCCTATTTAAATATAAAACTCACATATATTGAAACAGAGGTGGAAGCGAAGCAGTGTAGATCTTATCTAGTCTACTGTACGGTAGAACGAAAAAACTTTCTACACTCGCGTGTCATGAGAGAGGTCGCAGAATAAGGATTCGGAAAAAAATTCGTGTTCAAAAATATTAATATTCTACTTTTAACTTTGAAAACCTGAGAAACAGTGACACTTTCAGCTATATAACATTATTTTGTTACAAAAATTACGTACTGTATTGTGTAGGTTGCTGTAAAGTTATCATCTAGTCCGTGATTTGAGATTTGCTCTATTTCTTCTGCAGTCAGACGTTCGCAGTAATTCTTGTTTTCATGGAGTTGCCTTTATAAAATGTTATACACGTCAGCGTTAGAAGGGAAATCGTGATGAGGAAATAGGACTAAATTTGGCTACATCATCTCTAAATCTTTAGGAAAACGTTCCGTTGCTTACCAGAGAGTATTCGTGGTGTAGTTATAAAGATGTCGATAACCATCTCTTTCTAATATAGTAATTACTTGTTTTAAAAAGTCAGACATGAGTTAGCTCAAACAGTTGAAAAATCAGAAGTTTGGACGTTGTTATTTTACTATATTTTAATAAACAAACTTACGATTTACATTTGTTTGTTGACGATGGTGCTGGTATGCCCAAAAATAATAAACACTTAATTGCCCTTTCCCATTCTCCCACCAAATTGTATCTGTAAAAATAATCAGAAATAATTTCAAATGCATCTTCAGCATATCGCGAGCATTTTTTACAGGTGTATTGAGACACAATGAAGTCGAAGCTTCTGTTGATTTTGTGCTAGCCTGTATAATGTATATGGGTAAACGTTTTTGAATACTGGCAATTATATCTGCAAGGCTAAATAGCACAATTGCTGAAAAAAGGAAGGCTCAAAAAAGGGGGAAAAATTAGAGTTAAACATTTTGCGATGTTTGACTTTGAAAGCGTGTAACTAATAGAATATATAAATATGGTAACTCTGGCTTTTATGCTAAATTAGTTATTGATCACAAGACAGAGAGATGCAGGCAAATGTATCTTTTTAAGAATGCATTTGTAAAACAATAATACCGTTTCGACATCAATAACGCCTGAGATGGTGTCATAAATTGTTGCGGACGTTGCCACAAAATAGTTTGATAGTCAATGATTTTGTGAATATAATTTTTATGAACTAATTTATAGTTTCTCTTTGAACAAACTTCTCAAAAAATGTCTATATACATTTTCAAATAGGTTGGTTGTGAGCAGAAATGGTGATATATTGTCTTAGTGAATCGTAATGTAACGTAAAAACGTAGACATGGCTCGACAACAAGCTACAGAAATAAACCGAATACAAACTTATTCAAATTTGTTTTTACTGCCAAATTTTTGGGCTTTTCAAATAATCTTTGGTATATAAAGTTTAATACTTTAACGTGAATACTCATTTTTTAAAACTATCATTCTAATAGCTTACTCTATTCTTTTGAACGTAACTTTCTGACTGAGAGACCCCGCTTCAGTACCAGTATGACCGATGCATGTGAAGGTAACGCTGTCTCCTGGTTCGACTTTGTAAACTTCTTGTGTAGGTGTGATACTGGGGTTGTTAGCATATACAAACGGTTCTAAAAAAACATGAATTTATTTCATTTTTGGTGCAGCCAAATTGGCGCAAAAAAATCATCATTATAGTGCAGAGCAATTGGAAAACATCAAGCAAATTTGTGCGTGTCCAATGGTCCGGAATCTTCGGGACCGATCTTCTAAACCTTTTGCGATATAACATTGCATCCGGTTAACATTTTTTTTTTTTTACTGTAATGAGTCTAACAGTAAACAGTCTTGCGGTATTATAAAATCCAGAACACCTGTTATCATCACAGTGACAAAGATGACTTACGTTTTAAACAAACTTTGTACACATTTCTTGCCAATTCAAATCCGTTTCGCCTTAATGCACATCTGTATTTTCCTGGTGATGTACTGAATGATAGATTGGGTAACTAAAAAAAATTAAAAATTGCATTTCCATGAATTTGTCATTGTATTTTCTTAGATTCATACCTAGTTTTGAGCTGTGTCTTTATTTTGTCTTATTTTCATCAATGACATCCCTAGTCATTAACATAACCTAGTAAAATATATGAGATATAAATATCTCATAGTATCTGGGGAATTCGGCTAAAGTTAAATATATAGAATCAGAATAGAAAAAGATGCAATTTGATGGCTGGTTCAAGCTTTTCTGTGGTAAAATTTCATTGGTCGCTCCAGAAGCCAAACGAACAAAATAAATGTGATTTACCTTTAAAGAAGCAAACAACAACTCGTTTTCGTTCTCGTCATATTTCATTGGTAAGTACTGAAAGTTTGGATCATCTCTAGATATTTCATCACACCCGTGGTACCAAACAGTTTCAATGGATTGGTATTGTGTTTTGTTCATGCTCATGTCGCTATCGCCTGATAAAAAATGTTATGTGTCAGAAGTGGGATAATATAAGCCATTCATTTATTATTTTGATGGGGACACTTTGGTGAATAAGACATACTACATACGTCATGGGATGAAGATAAAAAAAAAACTCAATAAAACGTTAGTCCGAACTGTTTTTCTTCTTTCAGATCTTTAATACGGTATGAATTATCAAAATTCAAGAAGGCGCATGTATACAGCTACCAATATAAAGCAAAATGAAAGGAATGTTTTAAGTAACGAAGGTCTTTTCAAATTTAATCGACTTTTGGAGTTTCTTCCTATCTAATATTTTTAAATGCTTTATAAAATATATAACGCTTACCAAAACATGCTAAATCGTCCTTATCCTGACTTCCTACTGTAAAATGAATGATTTCCGGAACAGTTTCCAATTCAGTGGCACAATTGTGACCAACAGGTTCCTTTAGAATAATTTTGAAACCACTCGACAATTGTCCTCCGTCTGTTCCCCATGTCTGTAAATAATTTTTTAAATGACCAATGCGAGCAAATAATCGAATATTTGCGCCACAAGGGGATGTATACTTTTTTTATTTCGAACCGTTTAATTATTGATAATTGTATACTACGCGATATGCCATGACAAAACTCCTATGGCACTTTACTATGCGGTCGATGTAAATGGTGGCATATTCTCCATACCAGGCAGTTTGTTATGCCTGTTCTTTTTTTAAAATTATTCTTTTCTAAAACCTTGTAATACCGATCACTAAGAATACACGAAATATTAATTTAAAATATTTGCTCACTCTCATTTCTTTGAATATAAACGTTTTTTCAATCTTGATTGAATTCTAAAATCGTTAAATCAAGGTTTAAGTCACTTACAGCAGATACGTGAATTTCAGATTTATCCCAACTTTCATCCGCATCAATAAAGATACCCTCTGTAGAACGTTTTGACCATATGATAGTTTTGTTAAAAATTGTGATAGAGTTTTTCTTTATGATGCACTGAAAACAAAAGGTTATCAATTTTAACACAAATTGCGCCCGGCACTTCATCCATCGGTTTGGTCAACATATAAGTAAATAATTTTAGAGTACCCAAGTGTGGTTCTGGTAAGACGCCAGATGGTCATGATTTGCGGTATAGAAATTATTCCGCTGAATACATATATCTATAAACTGATATCAATAAGGCAGCATCCGCTTAAAATTCCCATTCATTTATTATTTCAATAGCGCCATATTGTCCAAGTCATTGCACACTTGGCATGAAAATTGACTGGTATTTTTTGTCGACTGTTTGTTATAGTTTATATTGAAAAATGTCGTCAAAGATTTCATTATGCTGGTCATTTAGCAGATGTTTTATAAATATATAATTTATATACAGTCACTCATTCTTTTGCAATAAGAAAAGACCATACAAAGTTTGTCTTCAGCTTCACAAAACGTCAATAACAACCACCTATTATATACAATGGAGTTTGTATAATTCGCAATTCCTGGTAATATTTTGTCGCACAAGTGGATATGGTTTAGTCTATCTACTTTCTAATTCTACTTATGGAATATCAACACCGGTGGCTGTTGAATGATTGGCCATCAACACCGAGTAAAAATGGCCATCTTTACCTTGCAAAATTCTTAAAAGTTTGGAAGCCATATATCTCAATTCTACAATATTAAAATAGTTGAGACTATTTCTAATTTTCATTAAACGTAGATTTCAGAAAATACGGAAGCTAACTATTTAATTATCCCTCATGTAGGAGTAACATTGTTTATCGTAAAGATGAATACCTGAACGTCGCCATTCTCATCTGGATAAATGGCGTCATTCTCATCTGGCGGAAAGTCAGGATTTTCATTCTCGTCAAAAACGTTAACATCAATTCCATCAAACTGAAACAGAGCAATACATGAAGTATAAAAGTTGGCAATATTCAGGAATAAGAATTTTGAGACGTCACTTGAGAGCAATATAAACGACAGCGACCGGACTACGAATTTAAACAAAAATCTCTTTTTTGCTAAATTCTACTGGTGAAACATGGATTATTTAATCCTCTTTTAGGTTTTGTGAATTCGTTTTTAAAATGCCCGGGCCCGAACTAAAAGTTAATCAAGAGAGTTACCTCCTCATTCGAGTCCTCCATGTAGCTGACATCCATACCTATTGGTGCAGGGTGCCCTCCATCAAAGTCCGGTAGCCCGCTATCCCCAAAATAGTCCGACTCCGCACAGCTAATCCCAACTGGGAAACCGCTATAGATTACTTTTTCTGAATACAAGAAAACATTACAATAGCCTACAATCTGGCGGATATGAAAAGAAAAAAAAACATTCGTCGAACAAGCCAGACAGGCTATAGGTAGGTTTCAACACAAATCAGACTGGCAAACAAACAACAACATCCATAACAAACTGAAACTGCGTGCGCTGCTAAAAGAGTGAATAGCTAGAGGTTTTCAAAATCAAAACTAAAAGCCTGATACATAATCTGTTATTGTAAAAACGTGGTTGGGGTCATTTCAGCATAGAAACAACCAAAATTATTTTTAAGCATGTGGGGCATAATTACACCTAAATGCTTAGGAGAACTTCGAGTTCCTTGATATAATTAAAAAATAGATGCAATGATAGCATACGCTGATGACGTATTAGGTTTGTTACATTCATGAAACATAGTGTTAACACTATTATAGAGACTAATAATACTAAAAATGCGATGTTCCTATATGCTTCTAAAAATTGAAAACGTTTGCTTCTTATTTAAGTATTGTGTTGATTCAAGCCTAATAGGCAATCTATTGGTAAAATAAAACGTAAAGAAAATACACAGTTTTCATATTAGTATATATATCCAGAATTTTCATAAAATGCAATGCACAGAACGACTTACGTCTCGTAGGGTTATCCGAGATGTCTCCAATCATAATCTGTGTCTCCACTGAATTTAAAAAGCAAAGAATTCCAATGTAAATAAAATATATCTCCATCTCGCACTGTATTGCGTTTGGTCTTATTAGTGAATTTGAGCTATATATGCTGTTAATAACAGTAAATAAAAATACGTTTGAATGATGTAGATCGTAGAATATTGAAAGTTACGGCGTAATGCAATCAGTTATTTGGGTATAAGTGAGGCTTAATTAAACACAAAGACGTAAACTTTCTACCATTGAGAGAATCTTCCTGCACGACCAACTGATTTCAGACATGAGTATGAGAGGAGGTTGTGTTTCAATCGAAAATATAGAGAATTGATGTATGAGTCTAGAGCCTAATTAATTAAACTACAATATTTTAAAAACTTTTAGTACACTTCAAAAACTTATTTTATTGAAAGAGATATATTCTAATCATACATGACTACAACATTTTTTTCGAAACAAAATAATTTTGCAAACGCAAATTGAAACGCGGTATATTTAATCTGTCTTAAGCTAGTCCTGTTCGTTCCGCTAGCTTTAAATCTTATTGCACTTGAAACTTCTTACGAGCACATACTCAATGTAATAAATCGTTGTACCTCAATACTCGCTATAACTCAAATACCACTGTTTTGTTTTCAATTCACATCCCAACGTATAGGCGCTCAAATGTTTACTGTACGAGATCACAAAAAGTACAACGAAATAGATTTTGTAAGCATAGATTCACACAAAGCCTTCTATTGTTTGCCTTTTGGAATTTCACTATTTAATTTTCGCGACGGAAAGGTACTTTCTCATTTGATGCTTAAACGATTTGTATTGCATTTATAAAGAATTCAATTATTAGACGCGCCCCCATAAGCTCCCGATTCTAACATGACTCTAAACAAGAAATGACTTCATATAATACTCTTCACCGAGAAGCTATCTATACCTAGTTACAATTTCTCTTCCGAAAATAGTCGAATTCACAGTGTAAATCGTTAATTTGATCCCAACAACACAATTTTTTTTAAATAATATTGGATTACAATTTCTGTCTGGGCACAAGTCGATAGCTCAAACCTATGGTGTCAATGTAACAGGTTACAGATATGAGGGATCATTTAGAATATATACTATAAAAATTGTTGGAACCTCTACATTTATTAACAAAAATATATGAGTTATCCATAAATAGATAGGTATGAATTTATTCTGGAAACTAATGAGAAAAAATGTCCAAATCTTGTATTGTTTAATTAAATTTAATATATATACATCAGAAATGCGGAAATATTTGCTTGTATATTCCCAATATTGAGGTTTCAATATAGAATTTGCCTCCAATTTTACATACTGACTAGTGAAACCAATATCATTGTCTAAACGGCTAAGGCATGCACTTTAATGAAATTTGATATAAGTTCAAAACCAAAAAAAGTGCCCTTAAATGCATCCAGCTACTAGTTCAAAATACATTCATGGCCGTAAATCAAAATAAATTACACAATTTGCCACGATGTCGGAATTCAGTGTTTTCGAGTTACAGATGGACTCTACAGATAGATAATATCATAGATTTGGATACCGCCTGACTTGCTCAAAACCTTTGCAAAACAATTACTGCTTATGGTTGTGGATGTATGTCGGGGAAATCAGCTGGTAACTCTTTCCAAAGCACAACAGATTTGACTTAACACCATACTTAATTCAAAGGAACAATAGTTTGATCCCCTTTCAAATAAATTCCAAAAGATGATACGCAAATTAAACAATTACGTAACATTATCTCGAAGTTTATAGTTTTCCAAAAGTATAATCTTTAACGATATAGCTTTTTACGAACAATTAATATAGCTGTAATAATGTAGCGTGAGGAGTAATGATCCTTTATTTGCCAATGTTACCAGATGGTATTCGATATAAAAGAGGGGAAATTTTGCATATTATTTTTATTGTTCTATTGTTTTGTACTATTGAAAGGTTTGCAAACTTCCCGGAGCCGTTTTCAAACAATATCGATTGTATTGAAAATGCGAGATCCCATTCATAAATTCTGACTGGTATTACAAAAATAAACAATTTTTTCATCCTTACATGAAGCCTCGTCATATTATGGTATTTCTAGATCGGATTCCCATCTTGATATAATCCAGACCCATTTCAAATTGAGTTTGCAAATTGTAGACAGACATTCAAAGATGAACATCGATGAGTATTTCTTACATCACAAGCCTGGCGTTCCCGTCGTTCGATTGATTAGTTAGTTATAACTTAAATGCAAATAATGGAAGACGTTTCTCAAATCACGCAACAAGGGCAACCAGTTCAAGCACGGCACGGCACGGCAGCTTTTTACTTAGTTTCAATTTTTTTTCTCTAAGATTAAAAGGGGCTGGGACACACAAGCTCATTGTTTCATTGGAAAATGTGCTGTGGCACTATAGACTGAATATGTTACTTTCAAACCTCTATAACTTGTTACCTATAAGTAGCTGCCTTCCCAGAGCCTTTCTAATAGCAAATTTGTAAAACACTTCGTAATCATTATAGAAATAAATCAACAATATTATATCAAAATATTTGTACAATTAAATTATTATATTTGAAACTAGTATTCTTAAAAGAAAATAAAACAATACTTCCAAACGATTTTTGTGAACATTCCGAATTGTCGCTGTAAAGAAGAATTTTTTTTGAAATACGTATCATGCACCAACGAAATTACTACTTCTATTGTGGGAAACTGTGGTATATACATCACGTCACAAGTAAGTACTCTTCGAATTTCTGATATAAATGGACCTTTACATGAACTGGAAACCAGATTTCAATGTTAAGCCTTCGTGTGGAGCTGAGAGTAATCATACAACCAGACACCTCCACGATTGGCAAGTATTTATTATTCGTATATATTTGATTCATTCGATAAGGTATGGATTGTAATCTTCTACTAGGTACCTTTCACAAATAAATTGTTCAGCAGAAACGAGTGTCACGCATGACTGGAGAAAACAAGCGAGATTGGCGGTGAAAACTTTAGTCGATATCGTCATCTACCTATGGATGATGACAGTCAGCACGCCGTGACTAACAAGTGTGTAACATTCGCCAAAATTTTCGACGACGTCCGTAGATGGAAGATCTGCGTCAACTATAACAATTCATCTACAGTTAGTCAACCCAATGTCCAATGTTTTGAAAAAGGGTTTCAATGAATTGAGGCAAGCTTATTTTTTATTATTACATCTTACCACCTAATGTTTTTTCCCGATCTTCCACCTCTTTCATTGCAAAATATTCAATCCAATTAACTAATTAGTACTGATTAAGCATTTAGTTGTCAGCTAAAAATAAAATATTACCGTACATCAATGGCTAGATTGAAAGAACAAGTAATGGTTTTGATTCATTCGAATAAAATTTCATACAAAGGAGATCAACCTGTCCATTGCTTCAGGAATACGTTGGGTTGATTTCTAAACACATGCACAAACTCTATTTCGGCCACAGTTAGTTGGAAAAGGTCTGATTTTATTCAGACGATTTTCTGAATAACTTCATTACAACACTCTATGTACACCACAGATAATTACTCTGATTTTTTTGTCTAGTTACATAACAAATATCTATGTCTTTTTACCATAAAATACAGTTTGCATACCGACCCTTACCCTAGACATCCCGCAAAACTAATTCTCCTTCCTGTTATTTTATAGCCGACTGCGCGCCGCTTCACCAGCTATGGTATTTATTTGCTATATTCTATTGAAACAAACATTTTATTATTTATGCACGGCCGAGCTTTGGCTATACACGATAAAAAGATTATTCGCCAAATTCGTTAGAAAAATGCATTTTGCAGTTCCAATGATTGTCGTATTTCTTTAGCGTAAGCATGCAATCGACGACAAAAAAATGAGTGTATAGCATGTTTTTAACCACATGGTTCGTGTACCATAACGTTGAAAGTTTTTACGAAACGTTCTGTTTGTTCTTAAATTCAAGGTTGTCAAAAATCAAGTTTACAATATGACGGACGTCATCTGCCCAATTGTTATCCAACCGTTTGGGAATGTAAATCGGAATAAATCAGAAATACGGTAATTTGTTTTAACTAACAAAGTTTATCTTTTTTGTTGTGCTGCTAAATTGCTAGTACTTGCGCACGTAATGAAATCCCTAAAACCACCTTTTTGTCAAAATCACGAGTTCGTTGAGATCACGGAAACCCCTGACCTACCCATCTGTTTATATACCTTTGTGCTTGTTTGTTCCGGCATGATAAAAGGCTTTAAAACTTATACAAACATAATAAAGCAGAATTGCTTGAACATTCTTGTAAAACTAACACGCACTTTACTGTTAAAATTAAAGTAGTGCTCTTTAAACATGAACTACGCAAAATATTCTCGAATCAACCATGCACACAAAAACCGATATTTATCCAAATTTAGCAAGACCTGAACTCTTGAGTATAACTTCAGTGGTATGTCTACTGTTTTATTCTTAATATCGGAATATAAAGATGTTGCATATCATAGGTTTCCACGAGAGAGGCAACTAAATTTTATTTTGTAAAAGCATGCCAAATATCATGTCTAGAAACCACGCATATGTGAGGATGAGCCAAGCGGTCGGGTATTAAAATTTACCAGAATCGCACAAATTTATATTTACAAAAAATAAAGTTGAAATTTTGCCGAATGTGTCAGACAGGGTTAGGATTAAAACTAAATGTTTCTGTTTAAAAATTACTCAGGAAAAAATGAATTTTCTCGAATTCTCAAAATAAGAAAAACTGCATATTCTTATTGAGTATGTGACCTTAAGCTGTGTTTTTGAACACATGTTATTTTTGATCGAACAAACCTTTCGGGTTGCTCAATATTTGATAGTACGTTAAAAGGAGCATTGACGTTTTTGTGCCGAATCAACGGACGTTACGTCATAATTGTCCTACAGTTATGCAAATTTGGATACTTTCTGTTTCACGAGAATTGGTCTCAAAAATGTCAATTTTTTTTAAAATAATATAATATTGCAGAATAAATAGTTATTATTTTTTTAATATAAACAATCCTATTTTTATGTACGGCTTCCTCATGCCCTCTATTTAAACAAAGCTCTGTGTAAGTAGGCTTCCTGCGAGGGAACGAACGACCCGACCTTAATAAAGTTACCCGAGAACAAAAAATGAAAGTAATGTTACGAGTCAAAATATTACGGGTCAAAAAGCTGACATATATGTGACAAAAAAGTAGTTCTGTTTACAACCAGCAGTATGTATGCATCATTAGTTCAAATCCAGTACTTCTTTCTGTATATGATACTTGCATTTAATTTCGTTAGCAAGCGGTTAAGCGACCACAAAAATATAGTCTTTCCAATATGTCCAATTGCCAAGAGTTTATGTTGATTTTTCACTAACATTTTGATAAAGCATTTGATCTAGCATTTTGATAAAGTTTTTACTGTATAGACCGATTGTGACCACGGTTTGTCGCATGCCACAAGGAACGAACAGCTGAATATTAAACAATGTTACAAGTGTTTTTTAAGCACCAGGATGAACAGATAGTCGCATATTCCAGTTACAATTTAACAAGTTGTGTCTGATTAGGTGAACGACTTGTGCAAGACGATAAGATCTCTACAAGTCAACAAAGCAAAATTTAGATTTTTAAACAATTCACCATGAATTTACTATATCAAACTGAATTTTCTATTTTGCAAACAGTGGAAAAAAACAAACAAACTTCGTAAACAGATCTCTTCTTGCATCGTTTGTTAAATTAGAGAACTGGAACAACGACTTCGACGAACCATGAAAAAGTTGAATTCCGCGGTCGCTATGATTGATAATAATAGAATAAGTGCTTATTCGGCATATTTTGCAAAATAAAATGATTAAGAATTATCTGGTTTCTTCGTAGATTACTTCGATTTTTTCACTTGGTATAGTTTAGCTATAGATTCTACTCTACTGAACATATACCTGGAGTTTTTTAAATTAGAAAGAGCTAACACTCATCTAACTCATGCAAGATAATTAGCACACTGATGTTAATGCTCTGCAAAATTTCTCTATTATACATACTAACCGTAAACACAGTTAGTCAAAAATCAAAAATTCAAAGCAACTGTGATCCGATGGACAGAGAATTGTGACCGAATATTGAAAATTTTCCATTTTTCCGCCATTATACAAACCAAAAATTTCGATAATTTACCATTTGATCGCACGCGTACAAAGACACTGGTCAAGTATACAATCGCGCAAGTACGCCTAACACTTAGCGTGCTTCTTGGCTTTCTGACGCACTATTATGCAATGAAAAGAAGCCTAGTGTATAGTAAATCGGCAAAAAAGATAAAAGTAAACAGTTCTTCTTAACACTGACTCATCCCTAGTCTATACACAATTGAAAGCATCTTCAAAAGTCCCCTTTAGATATACTATTAACAAAATCCTTAAATGCTTACAACAAATTTAGTATATTTATTACCAGCAAATTTATAGCAGATTTACAGGAATTCAAACAGTATTCCCAATATCGAAAAACAATCGAAAAAGTCGGAAAGAGTCGTTTTACCATTCTATGAACTATGAAGTGTAAGTAAAAATTTACATAACTTAAAATAATTTAGAGTTATTTAAATAGGCGAACAAGTCGAAATATGATAGATATGGTAGAATTGAAATTAGAGGTATATAAAACCTTTTTCTTCGCTATTTTTGGTTTCAATTGACATACTAAACCTAACCTTAAAATTCACAATAATTCACGATTTTTTTTAACTAGGATTCAAGAACGTTTATTTATCATCTATAACTTAGGAAATTGTTTAAAATAATCATATCCTATTACTTGAATGGAATCGTAGAATAGGCTATACTATACTCATAGGATAAATAGCCTTTGCCCATGTATACTTATACTTCAAACTGGCCAATTTTTCAAGAAGGGTTTTTTGCTTCAAAGATGCCAAGGCACGCATCAGATGTTTGTGCAAATGGAATGCGAACGAAAACAGAGGGAAATTACAGACACGTTGGCAAAATGCGACTCTACAAAAATTTCTCGCAAATATTACAAATTTTTAAGCGAAGTGCAATTTGTAGAAAGTAGATCAAAAAATATTAATTATTTTTTTAGCTAAAATATGAGTATAAAAGTCATTTACAGAGCGTTCACAATGTTATCACAATGATAATCATTAAAATAATT